ACTTTTGAACCCCCAAAACCTTTTTTTGATCGAGGTCTCTCTGAAGTGCCTCCCGATGAGCCAGATCTACAAACATGTCAACCTCACATCCCCAAACCTAATCCCCAACCCTTAAACCCTAAAGCCTAAACCGCCCCTAAACTTTGGAACGCCCAAAACCTAATCCCCAATCCTTAAACCCTAAACCCCCCTAAACTTTGGAACCCCAAAACCTAATCCCGAACCCTTAAATCCTAAACCGTCCCTAAACTTTGGAACCCCCAAAACCTAATCCCCAATCCTTAAGACCCTACATAAAGCCCTTTGCTTCTGACTCGCCTGGCGCAGGAGGTCGCCGACCCCCTCTCCGAGCTTCGCCAGATCGAGGTCTGACGCGTTGTCGCTCTCCTTTTACGATGCAAGGTGTAGGGCTTTAGGGTTTTAAGGGCTTAGGGGTGTAGGGTTTGGGGGTTTAGGCTTCTACGATGTAGGGTGCAGGGACGACTATGCTCTCGCAACTCGGACTGCGCCAAACGAGGTCTCTCAGTGTAGTGTAGGGCTTTAGGGTATAGGGGTTGAGGGCTTAGGGGTTTCAGCTTAGGAATTGGGCGTTTAGGGCTTTGGTGTTTGTCTCAGCAGTCGCCGTCGTCCTCCTCGTCGGCGTCGCCGATGTTGCTGCAAATGGCTAATACACATTACTCAGGCTAGTGTGATCTAGCGAGTATATAGTGACGACGGTACCTCTATCCAACCTACTGGTTTGCGAAATAAAATACTCGCAGCAGCCGTAGGAGTCAGTCATTTAGTCGTGGTAGCAGCCGCAGTAGCAATGCTAGTAGTGGCAGCCGTACTAGTAGTAGCAGCAGAAGTATTGGTAGCAGTAGACGTAGCAGCAGCAGTCGCAGTGGCAGTCCCCGTCGCCGTCACTATCGAAGTGGCGATAGTAACAGTGGTGGTGGTGGCGGCATCAGTAGCATTGGCAGTAGCAGCAGGAGCAGCAGCAGCAGGAGAAGGAGCAGGAGCAGGAGCGCAGTCGCAGTGGCAGGCGCAGGTGGCAGGGGCTTTGTGGTTTAGGATTCTGACAACGACTTTCTTTAGCTTATGGTTCTTTATCATCGGCTTCGTTTAAAGGTTTTAAAGGGATGCGCAAGTGGTTCATTGTGAGCTTGATAGGGGATTCCGGTGAAGGTGTCAAACGAGAGGGGTACCTTATTTAGAGGGACCCGTCTCTTCAGGATCCTGTTGATCGGCTCTGTAGAGCCCCCTAAACGGAAACTCCCATATAGTTAAAGCCCACTGCTGAAGAATCACTGCTTTACTTTGGCCTTAGCACTTTCGGGCATCGGGGGGCCGCAGCACACGATGATTTTTCGCTGATTTCCGCTCTTTGCACGACGCGTTTGCCGAGTTTTGGTCGTCGTGTCCTCCTCTGAAAACGATGTCAGGAAGTCTATAGGACAGTGGCTTCTTTTGGTCTACCAAGGACACCAAGGTCCATGCTTCACTCACATGACTTCTCCCAAGGATTCATGACTATAGTCATGGTGCTTAAGAAGACAGTAAGAGACCACTGTGCCAATGCCAAATAAGTCAGAAAGCTCCAGACCTTGGTGGCAGACATCGTGCCCAGAAGGTTCCCCCAAGCCTGAAATCTACAACCTCTATTTCTGTGCATCCTCCCATATGATCATGGACCGCAATCGGACCCACTACAGGGCCTAGAAGCCTGCCTCCAGGGTCCAGAAGAGCTGTCTACATGCGGGCCGCAGCCCATCATGAGATTCTTCCACTTCCACTTGGGTTTTAAGGCCCGAAACCATAGAGCATTCATCGCTGGTGTCAGACTAACATCGAACGGAGGGTGCAGGCGAATATCACCACAAGTCGCAAGACTCGCTGGTTCTATCGCTAAGTCACCCGACATGCTTGAACAATCGATAGAATCGATTGAAGTTGGGGAACACTCCATGGCTCACCCAGCAAACTTAAACGCTCTCGCGTGAAAGGAAGAACTTCATGTGGGTTTGGGCTGTCGCAACAGCAAAAGCCCGAACACAAGTTCGTGACGCTAGGATCAAGGCTCCCTGATGCAGGGCAGGCTTTAGCAAAGGAGCCTCAATAATTCGAACAGAGGTTGGGCATGTTATGCTTTAGAAGCTGCCCCCACCCTGTAATAGTGACTACAAGGATTATTTTAGGGCCCTATCATATTTCTATTATACCACTATTACAGGGTGGGGGGCCCCTTCTAATACATACCCAGCAGGGCAGGCTTTAGAACAGGAGCCTCAACATTTCGAACAAGGATTGGGCCGTATTATACTTCAGTTACACTCTCTTCGTCCACAGCCGGGCCCAAAAAAGTTCAAACTTTCTAAGATAGAGCTCATATATCAGGCCAAAAACTTTAAAAAGTTCCCCCGTTCACTATCTAAGCTACCTGCCCAGGAACCCTGAGCCCGAGGAGTGAGCTTCAAAACCTTTCTTCTCAACACCTCTGACCTCTACTTGGAGGGTCTTTAGGGGACTTAGTAGGGGCTCCTTTAAAGGGGATTCTAAGGGTTCCTTTAAAGGGCTCTATAAGGGTAGTATAGGGTTTAGGGTTTAGGGTTCAGGGACTTAGTAAGTAGGTAGTAAGTAGACTATAAGTACCCTAAAAGGGACCCTAATTGGGGTTATGGTACTTATAAGTTTCGAGAATAACCAGTTACTAAGTCCCCCGACCCTCCAAGTATGAAGCTGAATCTGAAAAAAAATGAAGCCTCTCCTAGCCTGGGGTAACTTAGGGTCTCAGGAATACGGCCTGTGGTTGAAGCATTTTTTGCAAACCTCCAACCCACCCAAAACCCTTCCTGCCTCCGAAACCACCAGTTAAATACCTTACCCCCAAACTCCGAAAAACCTCAACCTCCAAACACACCTGAAAGCCCAAAATCAAAACTTCGACTCCACCTCAGAACGCTTCAGCCCACAAACACCTACATTTCTAGACTCCCGAAACCGCCGAAACCCTATAAGGATTTGGGGTCTGTCATGCTATATACTTGTAACAAGGAACACTCGCAAATACTATTAACAGTTTGCAAGCTTATACAGTAACCCAAATCCTGAATTCCTCAACCCGCCAAAAACGAATGAAGCCCACACACAGCCCCACACCCTTCGAAATTATCTTGCAAGTCCTAGAGCCCTGTGACCTAGCAGGAGCCCTATCAAAAACTTAGCTTTCCGCAACCTGAAACAGAAATACCCAAACTCTGAGCCCCCAAGAATTTCTCGGTGGGGCTTTCAAAGCCTTTGAAAAATATTAGTAAATAAGATCCTCTTAAGCCCAATAAGGGAAAATATAAAATGCCCCAAAGCCCTACCTAGATTTGCATAAAGCCCACCTGCGGCAGGACTCCCAGCAAGCTTGGGACTGAGCCCACAGCTTCTCGTTTGCCGAGACTCGCAGAATTTGGGAATCGGAGAAACACTAGACCCAAGAGTAACCTAGGAATAAAAAGGGTGCCCTTTGTGGTTTAAAAGGGCTTATAAGGGAACCTGAACCCTGGAAAAATGGAATAAGGGCCTACTCTAGGTCCCAGGAGAAACATCAAGGACAAAACTCACGAAGTACAGCCCTCTGTGTGTGTGTGTGTGTGTGTCTGTTCCATGCATGCATACATGAAGGCATAAGTACCATGTACCATACCCAAAAAACCATACGATGTGCCATGCCATGCCCTGCTTGTCTGACAAGTGAGAATGTGGGAATGCACAGTCTAAGCCATAACATACCAAAACTCCATGCGATCCTCAATCCTGATAATGACGGCTCTAGATGCTTGGGCCAGGGGTTTAGGGCTGGAGGACGGTTGTAAACACACCCGTAACTTTCCCCAGCAGGTACCGGTCGCATTGTACGAACCCCACTAAAGAGTGAGATATACCTCAGACCCTAACCCTGAACTCTCATCGAAGCCCTAGACCCTGGACCCTACGCTCCTCATCCAAAAATCCGAGGATCCTTTCCCAACTCTGCGAGAGATTTCGCCACATGGAGCTGCGCCGTTTCTCTCAGCCCCATTGCAGCATCGGAAGCTTCGAAATGCTCGGGGTGTGGAGCTCCAAATGAGGCTTCTTAACTGGATTTCAGGATATAGGGTTTCCAGGATTGAAGCTGCTTAACGGATTTCAGGCTTCCGGGTGCGGGTTTGGGGCTCCCGCGTTGCGTTTCGCGGTTTAGGGTTCAGGGGCCTCTCTGAAGATCTTCATGGTTTTTGTTAGCGAGGATCCGGACCATACTAACTAAAACCCGAGCATTCATGTCTTGTCGCAGAAGAATGCTCCTTTATGCCAGGGCTCCTACGACACCTGAAGCATGGGGGGCTGCTTGGCCAAAGATGACAATGCGTACCCTAGTATTGTGATTGGGATACAGGCAGAATGCTACCGAGCTTCATTGAAATGCTGCTTGAATAAAAGGATACAAGGAACCTTTTGTCTGGGATGTAGCACTGAGGTGAAAAAAACTGGAAGCAGCAACAAACCGAGTTAGAGTTCTGGTCAACAGCCATACTCGTCAAACCCCCAGTCCTGAACCCCAACCATACACCCTTTACAAAGATACTTCCTCGGAGGCATTTCCTGCCCACTTGGAGGCCCTTTTGAGTTAGTAAGTAGGGTTAGTAAGGTGGGTTATGGGGATTATAATGGGGTTCCTAGGGGATACTAAGTAGACTTACCAAGTCAAAAGGGCCTCCAAGCAGTTCTTGAAAACTCGGGTAAACAAGGGCTTACAGTCGGGTTCAGGGCATGGGTTCGAATGGCGACCCACCCGGAGCTTTCCGAAGTCAAGGCACGCCGTGTCAATACATACTTCTAGTATACTGCCGCACGGAAATATCCCAGAATAGACCTCTTCCCTAACACAAGAAGTGTCGGGGGACATTGAACCCTAAAGAATAGGAAAAGCACCAACCCAACAACAACCTCAGCAAAAAAACACTGTTCAAATTCTATAGGACCCAGGCAGGGTCTCACTCCAGCACCGCAGCCATCACATTGAGGGTTGCGCGCATGGTCGGATGCGCCCAGCCTCCGAGGTTTAGGGCTTTCATAAACTTATAGGGGCTGAGTACCCCAGTCCCAAAAAGGCTAGCCTTTTCAATTCTGGTCAGATAAAATAAAGCCCAAACAGGTTGGAGGTTATACCTACTCAGCCACTAAGTGAAGGGCTTTGGTTATGCAAGGCTTCGCAATCGCGGAAGTAGTTTGGTAGAATTACGTCACAGCTTGAGCTTCGGGCGGAGTAGGGTTCAGGATCTAGGCTTTATTGTGTAGTGCTACGGTTGATGATATGAATCCTGCATTACCTTAAGGACCCTAGACTATGGGAAGTATGGTATATTCCTTACTATGGGTAATGCAGGATTTACATTATCAACCGTAGGGCTTGTAATAATAGAGTCGAGGGCACAGGGCATCGGCTTTCAGTCGCTGCTGTGTCCGCCCAGCAGGTGGGCCCGACTACGAACTTTGTGGTGCACGCATGCTTGTCACGTCTTCGGGTTTCTACATAATATGTATCCGCATCTTCTGTCGGTGTACAGAAGACCAGATCTTGTCACGGTCCTCAACTAACTACCTGGTCAAAACCACGTGCTTAGGTTAGTTCAGTTCCTGGCGCCACCCCAAACACCCCAAGCCCTTTCCGAAAACAACACTCTTCTCGCGTACCCGAACGCTCCTAGTGCTTATGCCTCTCGCCTAGCTAGGACACTGTTCGCATTGCGAGGTTCCTGTTTCATGTTCGCGATTCAGAGTTTAGGGATTGGAGTGGTTTCGGGCGTAGTGTCATGCCAGCGCTCACCCTGAGGCTTTCGAGTGCCGAAGTTCTTGCACCTTAATTACTGCAACCCTTCTACTTCGGAGTTCCTCGTTTTTCAAACGATTATCCAGGCTTCTTTTAAAGGGTAAGCGAAGACAAAGTCTGCACGTGTCATGTTGTTAAAATGAACGATACTGCCAAGATGCACCAAGCCCTTGAAATCCTAAGCCGCGAATATGTCAGGCAGGTTGCGGCAGGTGTCGCCGAAGTTGCACATCCCCCACTGAAGAATGTCCCAGCCTGGTTTTGGGGTTCGGTCTTGGAGTACATGGGGTACTTTAAGATTCAGGGATATTTTAAGGGCTTGAGGTTTTCATCCATGTTCCAACTTTGTGTTACAGCGTGGGCCTTTCAACACTTGTAGACCGAAGCTTCAGGCAGCAGGAAGCCCTACGACTCAAAAACCCTAGGTACGCACTGCTTCCCCACATAAAACTACGCACCATAGGAGGATCGCTAGGTCGTACATGGCACCGAAGTTTTTCATGATGAATAAGGCATACACAAGATGTGGGGCTTCGCGCCCGCACTACTGCCAACCGACTACCGTCCAACGTTGTCGTGATCACAGCGCAGCCATATCTGCTCAAAGCAGGCTACGACCGAAGTCCAAAAACAACTGCGAAAAGTCCTTCGCAACCCCCACCCCACCCTTGCTAGCCTACCGCCTCAAGCTTCATCCCTGAACCTTATCAACTCATCCGAATCCTCGACCCCTAAACCTCAAACCGTCGCCCTAAACCCCTGGACCCGCATGAAGAGGTGCTGGCCCAGTGGCATGCACAGGAAGAGTCGGGTACATGGCAAAGGAGCGCTGAGAAGCCCAAAGGCCTCGTACAGAAAGGGTTGACTACAGGGTTTATAGGGTTCACCTGGACCCCTAAAGAACCTACCGTTTTAGAGTTCCCGGTTATGATTTCCTTATATAGGCCCTTAAAAAGGTAGGTTATTTGGGGTCAAGGTAGGGCCTAGGTTTTTATTTGGTGCATTTTGTCAAGTGAAGGGTCTGGGATCTCTGCGAGATCCTCAACCCTACTCTACTCACCCCAGCCCAATCCTAAACGCTGCTTAAAGGATCATGGGACTTAGTAAATGGGGTTATAAATAAGGTTACTATACCTATAAGTACTTATAACCCAAATTAAAGGCACTTATAACCCTACTTACCAAGTCCCATGATCCTCCAAATTCCTCCAAGTGAATCCCCAAACCCAAGCTTTCAACCCCCAAAATAAAAACCTACACCACGAAATCGAAACCCCAAACCCTCAAGCCTAAACCGACATACTAAACCCTTCTTTTGTTTGCTACTGGGCTTGAGGACTAGCGGACTACCAGATCCGCTCGATCTCTCGAAGGGTAAAAGGAGGGACCCTTAATAAGGACCCCTAGGTATATACCCGTACTATAGCCATTATATACCCATTATATAGCCCATCATAGGGTAGGGGTCCGCATTAAGGGTCCCTCCTTTTCCCCTTTGAATCTCTATCATCACGACCGACCCTAAAGCCCGAACCCTACCTGAAGGGTCATGGGACTTAGTAAGTAAGGGTTCCTTAAAAGGGCTCCTTAAAGGGATCTAAAGGGTTCCTTAAAGGGATCGAAAGGGTTTAGGGTTTATAGGGTCTACTTAAGGGATCATGGGACTTAGTAAATGGGGTTCTTAATAAGGTTACTATACTTGTAAGTACTTATAACCCCAATTCAAGGCACGTATAACCCTACTTACTAAGTCCCATGAGCCTCCAAGTAGACCCTAAACCCTAAACCCTATAGACCCCTTTAAGGAACCCCATAATTAGATCCCTTTTAAGGCCCTGTTAAGGAACCCGATCCTCCAAGCAAGCCCAAAGCCCTAAAGTCCTAACGGCTCGGGTCCCACAGGCGAATTTTGCGGGGCCTAGCAGTTTTGGAAGGCGCTTCCTTTCCCTAGGGATCTAAGGACTCACATATTAAGGCTTTTGGGCCCAAAGGCCATACTATATAAGGCTTGTGGGCCATTTTGATCCCTAGGGTTTGAGGCTCTCGGCAAGATCGTTGCTTGATACAGGGTTCTCTGGGCTTTGAAGTAACCTGGGAGAAAGATGTATAGACTTTTATTTCATACTGGCTCACTTTAAGTAACAGGTCCCATAATAGTATTCAAGTATGGTCCTCCAGAACCCACTTCTATATAGGGCCTCGTGAGTTCGATTAGGGACAGGGGTTTGTTATGTTTTGGGAAATGGGGAGCACTATCGGGATGTTTAATTATTGCGTTTAACAGGGGGCGGCTGACAGTAGAATTATGTCTTGGTGGTATATTCTACTATGAATGTCATCAGTAACCTATCAACAGCAGGCTGCCATACTAAATTCGGAACCGCGGGGCGTCTCCAGGAAAGGACTGGCACGGTACCCGAGTACCTCGTCCCGCCAAAGAACAGGCTTAGGTTTTAGGGAAGCCCCTTGTCTCTGCGTCTGCAGGTAGCCTCACCCAAACTAACCCAGGAAGTCAGATCTTGCATACATTTGAGAACAATCGGGCCGTAGAATCGTAGACCCTGTCTCCAAGCTCGCAAGCTGGTATCAAAGGAACGACCTGCGGGACCCTGGACCAACACCATCATATTCAGCCGGCATCCACACACACACACAAACACACTGCGCACAACATACACTTTCATCGGCGCTGTCGTTCTACAGTAGAAGCCAGAAAGGTTGGAACATCAGTATCCCCATACCCTTTTGAGGTATAGTATATGGAACCCTATAACAAATCATCCCGAAGCCATGTTCCAACTTTCTGGGGTTCACTATAGGGTTGAGGCGGCCCCCTTGGACACACGCGTGCCTTAATGAGTTTTTTCGGATGACTAGAATTAGAACGGCTCAAGACTAGACTATACTAAGCAGAGTTCCTAAATCCATCGATTGGGTCCTCATCACTTTCGACATCATCCCAAACCTACCAGTACTGCTATTAAATATTAGTTTAGTAGTATTACTGCATAAATCTATTCTGCAGAGATCGACGCAGGGTTCAAGACTCAAGTGTCAGACTCGGCTGAAGTTTTGACGAGAAGCATAGGTCGCGGAAGAGTTCTCTGCGGCCTGCATGGCTTGGGGTCTACTAGGGCTTAGGGGGTAGTTAGGGCTTCCCACTCTGAGCCCTTGGATTTTTGTCCAAAGCCTCAGTCCGAAATTCTAAACCTGGAACCTTGAACCCTTTTGGCCACTGGGCTTGGGGCTAGCCAGAGGTTCCCTAAACCTGAAACCCTCTACACCCCTAAACTCTAAACCCCATAGACCTAAACAACCCCAGAACTATCTACGGAGCCCGAAAGCCCCAGCTACTAAATCCACACACGCACACTTAAAGGATCATGGGACTTAGTAAGTGGGCTTATAAATAAGTACCGACACTTATAATTACTTATAACCCCAATTAAGGTACTTCTAACCGTACTTACTAAGTCCCATGATCCTCCAAGCAGGGAGCCTAGACTTCGCCAAGGCCAACCACCCAAGCGAGTAGGGTTTAGGCGTCTAGGGTTTTAGGGTTTAGGGGTTTAGGGTTTAGGGGTTTAGGGTCTAGGGTCTACGTTCCTGAGTAGACCCTTTATAATAAGGGTACCCGTTTTCCTACTGTTCGGTTTTAAGCAGGGGACCCTAAACCCTAAACCCTAAACCCCTCAACTAAAAAGGACAAAAGGATACTACTCATGAACCTAGGGGTTTCGGCGCTCACACTCGGACAAGGGAAGGGTAAACCGACCCCTGAGAAAACTTCTACTATAATATGAGCCTTCATTCGTGGGATAGGTCGGGGTAGAGTAGAGTACAAGTCGTACGAAGATTAGGACCACTCAGGAATAGTATTCGTAGTTACAGGGTTCTCCATTAGCTGAAGGAAACCCTAAACCCAAAAGGTTAAAGGTTACATTCTCAGCCACTAAGAAAAGCAGAAACCGCCGAGCCGCAATCTCTAAGTGCAAAACCCGAAGCCCCAAACACCACACCTCAAAACCAAACACCAAAACCCTGATAAAGCTGTAACATCCAAAGCCGAGAGCTCGACATCCCTTTCAGCACGGGCTTCGGGTGTGTGCCGGCAAGCTGGAATCTGTCCCAGACCTTCCAAAATCCCTTAATTAAGGAATATACTTTAATTCATATTAGGGGTCCTATTATAACTTAAGGTATATTCCTTAATTCAGTGATTTTGGAAGGTCTGGGGTCTTCATAAGACACCAGCAAACTTGAAACTCAAGTCGTCATCCTGCGACCCAAAGGTACCTGAGCCAAGCCTTCATAGGGCCCTTATGCACGCCCCCCAAATTCACAACACGGAGCACCATACTTGTCGGGTATCATGGGGAAATAAAGGTTAACCTTTTTGGTTACAAAGGGATTATATAGGGACTATACTACCCAAAAATGGTTAAAGGTTACCTACTCGACTACTAGGGCACAGAACCCGAGACCCTAGACCCTCAACCCGGAGTCACCCTAAACCCTAAACCCTTTTTGCACAGGCTTGTGCGAATCCCGCCTGATGTGTCGCGCCTGTTCTCCAAATCCTAAACCCTAAACCGCCCAGAATCACAGCCTGAAGGACGGACTCTTGGGCGATGCGGAGAAAGCCTTGGGTTCAGAACTGGGGCCTAGCGGCCCTAGCGATTCCCTTCACCCGGAATAACCTACCTGTTTAGGGTTCCTTATTATGACTTCCTTCTACAAGTCCTTCAAAAGGTAGGTCCTTCAGGGCTAAGGTATGGTATTCCTCTCAGGGTTCTATAATACAACAATAGTGCACCATACCCAAGAGGCTCTTCTAATTCAAACCATCGAGGTTTCGGTCTTCTATGTTACGCCTAACCCGACTGCACTTGGAAGCACAGAACTTATTTTTCCCAAGCTGGCTGGGGTTTGGCTCTACATGGAGGTTTTACAAGGGCCTTTCTTGCAACAGCGCCCAGTCTTGCCAACATCATGCTCTTTCTAAAGCAGAGAGAGCCGGGTCAGATCTGTCTGGTACATCTTCATGATCTAAAGCCCTCATAGCTCCATACACTTGACGAATCGTTTATTTCGGCCCCTGTCGGAAATGGGGCTCTGATGTCGTACGGTTTGGGGATTTGTGTCTGAATGACCATGTCGGAATGGAATGCCAAAAGCCCTAAACCCCAAACATCCCCAAACCCTAAGCCCACTAATATCATGCCCCACATCTACTTCTCGGGTTGGCTGTTAGAGTAACTGTTAGAGGTTCTGGGGGTGGCTGCAACACAAACTGCTCTTGAAATGCACAGCCACCGCATGTATCTCTAGACATAACAAGGCTAATCATGTACAAAAACAATTACAGCTCATAATAAACATATATATATATATATATACATATTTATTTGTCTATACTTATACACACACACATAAACATAAAACTGTGCATATATATATATATATATGTGAGTGTGTGTGTAGGTATGTATGTGCGCATAGAGAATACTAATACCGTACACACAGGTATGGACACATACAGAGGAAGATGTGAGGCGGTCGGGTCCTTCAAGACGCGCAACGAATTTTATCCCCCGCCCTGCACGAATGCATGAGACCCCGAAGCCGTGCTATAGCGGCCTAAATATTTACCAATACTAGTTGTGTGGGATTCCTTCTTATGATTATAGCATAATATCCCCAAGACCCTGTTCTCATAATTGTACTTAAAAGCCCAATATTAAACTCTAAACCCCGCATGATCCTCCTTTAAAGGCCCCTGCTTGGCTCCTCGGTTTCCCAGACAGCCTCTAAGTGTGAGGCCCTCCCTTGAAATAAGGATCCCTCAACGGCTGTTTTAAAGGTGCTATGAGGTTCCACTCAGTTTGATTCTGTTTCCCGAGTGCGCCTGTAGGTAAGGACAGTGCCCGTTTTCTTACAACTCAGTCTAAACAAGTAGCAGTCTCAGCAAGGAACCCCCAAAAGAATGGCGCAGAAGCCCCAAACACAGTAACAAAGAACCTTCCTTCTCAAGTAAACTCGCGAAGACAACCTTAATTAACCCCCACTACAAAGCCCTGAAACCCTAAACAAAACTCTAAAGCCCAAAAAAAACTACCACCCCAATGCTGAAACCCCCGCAACCACTCCCCGCAACCCTAAACCGTAAATTCCATTTTCACTTTACCTTAAACTTCTAACCGGCAAGGAACCCGCCCGCGCTTCAAAAGACTGGCGCGGAAGCTTGACAACGACCTGATAGCCTCTCAAAAAGGTTGGGTTTTCGGGCTTAGGGTGTAGGGGACAATGGGTGGGTTTCGGGCTTAAGTGTGCACGGCTGCTGCTGTACAGCAGTAGCAGTAACAAGACACTGTTTAAATATTATTCCAGTAGGCCAAGACAGCTACTTACAATATCACTTCGGAGAAGTTTGCCTACTTGAGAGTTTCCGAAAATAGGGGACCCTGATATAGTACCCTGAGTAGTAGGATCCTTATTATAAGGACTCCAAGACAAGGTACCCCTAATTTTCGGAAAGTCTCACTGATGACTTATGTTATGACTTAGGTAAACGACACCCCCAGATCCTTGAAGTGCGCTGACGGGACTGGCAGAACAACTTTAAAAGTCGGTGTATGGGGCTGTAAAAGGTGAAACTTCTACAGCTGCTTCCGGGCTTCGGCCTCAACTACTAGAAACAGAGCTTGAGGGAACTGGGCACTGTGTACTGCAATCGTAGATGCAACATATCCTCTCGAAGCAGCATAAAGCATAACTAGGCGGGGCTTTTTTGGGAATTGAAAACGGTAAGCAAACAAGATCCTCTTAAGACCAATAAGGGAAAGTATAAAATGTCCCAAAGCCCTACCTAGATAACATGATTCTAGTGGGGCTTGTAAGGAGCCCGGTAGTTCTACAACTGCAAGATTCAACAAAGAACGAAAGAAGCTTCGATAGAGTAGCACCACCTGCGACCGATCCTCAACTACCTTGACCCCAAATAACCTACCTTTTAAGGACTTGTATAAGGAAATCATAATAAGGAGCGCTAAAAAGGTAGGTTCTTTCGGGTCCAGGTAAACCCTAAAATGTGGAACCCCAACCCTAAGCTTTGGAAGAACTATGCGTTGCAAAGCCTAAACACCAAATCCTGAATCCCGTGACGCGCAATCCCTGATGCCCTGACCTTTTATGCCGTCTAACCGTGTAAGCTTTAGAACATGTTAGCACCTTACTTTTAAGACAAGTTGAAACCGGGAAAGCCTGAATAAGAAACAAAAATTAGAACGGCAGATCAAAACCCACACAAAATTCAGCCTGAGCAGTATTGGCATTCTTTCTGCACGAAAACTATTACTATTGTAACTAGTGCCTTTTCCTTACCTCCTACTGCAGCAGCACTGCCAGCCCTGAAGCACAAATAAGCGCCCAAAAAAACATCATCGAAGGAATTGGACTGAACTTCGGTGACTTCGACGGCGCTGCATCCCCTTATGAAAGGGAACCTTTGGGGAGGCATGGAGGTGGTTCTCTACATTACGATCCTGTTTATTTGGTGGGGGGGGGTTCTGAAAGTTAAGGAACCAGGTAAGAGATTAAATGGGGCCCGAAAGTAGCCTTAGTGTTGGCACGCCCTCGATGTAACCAATATTGAAACCCGATATAAGAACCCACCCTGTCGGAGACCAACACTCCATTCTGCTTGAAGGGCAAGCAGAAACTTGTTTGGAGACCCTCTGAACAGAAACCATAATCCACACTAATTGCAAGGAAACCACCAAGAGCCTTATACCCTAGTTACCTTGGGCCCTACAAAACACAAGCCGAGATGCCGTAGCACGATGGCTGCATCTCAGTCGGCCCATACGTAGCCAAGGCAGAGAATGCGGCCAAAGCGATCTTGGACATTGGCGAGCGGATGTTTAGGGAATTGAAATTATGAGGCTTTGCTTTGGAGCTGCGGTTTGGTTGGGTGGCTTGAGGCTTGAGGCAGGGAATTCGCAAGATTCGCGACTTTCCCCGTCAGACGCAGACACGAGAAGCAGAATGTCCGAGAACTGGATTCTGTCTTTGGTGGTCTCAAAAGATGAACTAACTCAAAGTGCCCACGCTCAACTGCAAGGCTCAAAGGGGTGGTGCCAGAGTGATTCGCCTTGTCAGAGTCAGCTTTGGCCTCCAGTAAGAGGCGGGCAACCTCCAATTGCCCACGGAAAGCTGCCGCACACAAAGGAGTGTCACCATTGTCAACGGCCTTGTCCTTGTCAGCCTTGGCCTCCAGCAGTAGACGTGCGACCTCCAATTGCCCTTCATAAGCTGCAGCATACAGAGGGGTGATGGCACCGGTACCTGCAGCCCTGTTCTTGTCAGCCTCGGTGGCCAGCAAGATGCGTGCAACCTCCAAGTGCCCTTGTTGAGCCGCAATTTGTAGAGGTCCTGTGCCATCGTTCCTGGCCTTGTCCTGGTCGGCCTGGGACTCCAGCAAGAGGCGCGCAACCTCCAACTGCCCCTGCTGAGATGCGACGAAAAGAGGAGTGGTGCCATCTTGCTCGGCCTTGTTCTTGTCAGCGCCGGCCTCCTGCAAAAGCCGAACTGTCTCCACGTGGCCATGCGCCGATGCCACCCACAGCGGGGCCGGATGACCTAAATCCGGATCTTGTGGCCTTTGCAGAATATGCTCCACGTCAGATATTAGACCTTTGTACGCGACATGCTGGAGCTCTTTGATCTGCGCGTCAGTTGCTGAGCTGAAGTTCAGGAGCACGAGCTGAACTTCGCCAGGTCGTAGGGTGCTTTCGTCATCTAGAGCGGCACCATCCAGGAATACCAGCCTTTGTCTGAATCTCGGCAGCCCACACAAACTGGACAAGCGTTGCTTCAGAACTCGGACAGGAAAGCTTCCCGAGCCGAGCTCCACGAGAAATCTCGTCAAGTCAATCGTATCCAATACCTCGCCCGAGACTGATTGAATCCGCAACATCGTCGACCCAACATGGAAAGACTTTGGATCTAAAGAGAAAGACTGCATGGATTCGATGCTAGATATGTCCTCTCTTGCAATGAGATAGAAATATTACACGTTAGACTTTGAGGCATATGCGAACTTCAACCACCTCTGCAAAGCCAAGAGGCCTCTATAAAACTATGCTCATGCGAACTAGCCTCCTCTTGTGGAAAGCTTGATCGCTAGCATAACAGCCTGTCGAGCACTGCGTCAGGTACCAGACGATGTAAACCATGAAAGGTGCATAACATGCAGGAGAACACGAACTTGTAAACATATATATTTATGTATGTATATATATATGTATATCATAATAATAATAAGAAGAAGAAGAAGAAGAAAAGATATGTATAGGTGTATATATATATATGTGATATATGTATGTATAGACACACTTTATACTTAAAACCCTTTTCAGCATGGGCTTGGATTGTGTGCCAGCGAACACTCCTCAACAGCAGAGCCTTCTCGTTTGAAAGCCCCAACCATAACCTGTCATGCAGAAGCTTGCGAGCATGAGTCCCAAGGTGTACTGCGCGACATCAAACCTACGAAGCTGTATGCACCCAGACCTTCCAAAATCCCTTAACTAAGGAATGTACCTTAATTCATATTTGGGATCCTATTATAATTTAAGGTATATTCCTTAATTAAGGGATTTTGGAAGGTCTGGGCACCACTGGGGGTCTCCGAAAATGGGGGGACCCTGATATAGTTCCTTTAAAGAGTACCACAAAGGGTTTAGGGTTTAAGGGTCCATATGGGAGCTTCCGAAAATAGGGAACCCGAAATTTTCGGAATCTCCCACTGGATTTTTTGACACTCACACTCGGAGAAGCCTGGCAAGGTCTGCAGTTGTAGGTTCGATGGCTTCGTTAACTCCTCACTGGGTTTAGGGCCGGTTCGGGTTTACGGTTAAGGGTTCAGGGTTTACCTGGACCCTAAAGAACCTAGCTTTTTAGGGTTCCCCATTCTGATTTCCTAATGTAAGTCCTTAAAGAGGTAGGTTATTTGGGGTCAAGGTAGGGTTTAGGGTCCTAGAGCCCGGCCCACATGGCAAACCCTGAAATCCAGAAGCCTCCAATCTTTCAGAGCCCCAAAACTCATCGCAAACCCCTTAAGAATTTAAGAACCTTACATAAGCCCTATACTGCCCCGAACCCTGAACCCCAAGCCCCACTTTACAGGATAGGTTAGAGATCCGTCTACAAACTTGAAGACTCAATTCGTAACCCTCTAAGAGCCCTTTAAAACACCCGCGAAGTTTCAAACGACTGAAGCTCTACAGGGCTCAGGGCTTGTGGTTTTTGGCCTTTCGGCCTGACAAAAAACGGACCAGCTTCCAGCCGAAGCACAGCGCGGAATCCTTCGCTCACGGCCGGTGGTGGAGTCACAATCACTTGAGGAGCCTGAGATCAGAGGCGGCCTTTCTCCCCGCCTACCTAGCAAGGACGAAGCCCGCGGTGCAGGGGTAAAGGGTCTGTGGTTTGAAGAGTGCTTCGGAAAGAAACTTTGGAGGGTCTGCTTGGAGGCCCTTTTGACTTAGTAAGTAGGGTTAGTAAGGTGGGTTATTGGGCTTATAATAGGGTTTCTGGGGGATACTAAGTAGACTTACTAAGTCAACAGGGCCTCCAAGTGGAGGCGTTTGGTGGGTGAAATGGGGTTCATTGGATTGTCACAGGGAAGACTGGGGGTTCGGAAAGGGGTGTTTAGTTAGGAGCCGCTCCAGAGTTTTTGGCCGAGTTTATGGTTATTGGGTACCGGGACCATTAAGGACAAGAGATCAGATTTAGGGTTTACGCTCTCACAACTCGGACAAGCCAGGCGAGGTTCTTAGGTGCGAAGTCGGTGTGAAATTGGAGACAGTTGGATTCTCAGATTTAGGGTTTAGGGTATACTTTCAGGGTTTAGGGTTTAGGGTTCAGGGTTTAGGGTTCAAGGGCATATTCAGTCCTAAACCTCAAATGCTAAATCGATCTCAATCGTGTTCTCGTGTCCCGACTCCTAAACGCCTCAAGGAGCTGGGTCTTTAGGTTCTTAAGGGCTTGGGGTGTTCATTAATAATATACGGCAATACAACTCGATATGCTGTACTACGCTTCAGCAAACTATAATATGCAGCTGAACATGAAAGTATACATTTCAATATATCATATTCTAACACGCAACATGATATAGTATAATGTAATATAGTTCAGTATTAAACTATTATGTTTTAACTTGTTTACATTTATACAGAGTACAGCATGTATATAACTCATAGTGGTATAATCCCAAAATGTAGTACAGCATGGTGTAATAAGAAAACAAGTTGAATATGAAATTTTAGGGTGTAGTAGAATTCGAAAAAATAGTACGATACCATTTTTTGGAACCCGTACGATACCATACCATGCCACATCATCTAAAACAACATGGAAGAATGAAATGCTAGAGAACAGTTCTATGTATCTCGTTATGATGCTTCTTATGACTATCATTATCACCAATCAACCACTCAATCTAGAAATCAGTCAACCAATCAATCAACCAACCAGCCGATCAATCAATCAAACCATCAACGAGTCAGTCGATGTTCAAGTTTGTAAGTATTACTATCATTAGTGTTCGTATGGTTCTTACGGTTTTTACAATTGATACTCTTATTACTTTGCTGCTGAAGCACCGCCGGCGGCTTTTGGCGTAGTGTGGTATCGGCATGCGCAAGCTCCTGCGGTGCGGGTTTCCGGCTTTCTGGCTCGGTGTTTAATGACCCAGACCTTCCAAAATCCCTTAATTAAGGAATATACCTTAATTCATATTAGGGATCCTATTATAATTTAAGGTATATTCCTTAATTAAGGGATTTTGGAAGGTCTGGGGAATTGGGGTGAGGGTTTTATGCTTTTGAGGGTTCCAGGGTGTAGGGATCAGGGCTGCCGGATTGGTCTTTGCTGTCTGGCAGAAAGATGAAGCCAAAAGCCCTGCGGACTCTGAAAGTCGCTTGCCCAAGGAAGGTTTCTGCAGGGCCGTTAGCCCTAACCCTAATCCTCCCCAAGCCCAGAAAAAAGCCGAAGCCCTTTTTCTGCACCTGGAGCTATGCCAGCTAGGCATGCCGATATAGAAACCCTTACAGGAACTCTTAAAGGAAATAGCTTCTACTTGGTGGATCATGGGACTTCGTAAGTAAGCTTATAAAGTACCTTAATTGGGGCTATAAGCAACTGTACGTAGAGTTACCTTATTTATAACCTTACTTACTAAATCCCATGATCCTCCAAGTAAGCCCTGCTTGGAGGCCCTTTTGACTTAGTAAGTAGGGTTAGTAAGGTGGGTTATGGGGATTATAATAGGGTTTCTAGGGGATACTAAGTAGACTTACCAAGTCAACAGGGCCTCCAAGTAAGAAACCCTAAACCTTATAGATCCCTTTAAGGAACCCCTATAGATCCCTTTTAGGACCCCTTTAAAGGAACCCCTACTTACTAAGTCAAAAGGGCCTCCAAGTGCTAACCCTGAGTCCCAATTGGTCCAACCCGGATTTCGCCGACGCCTCCTCGGAAGTCGTGCACAAAGAACAAACCTGGTGGCGCAAATCTTGAGGAAACCACCCAGAGAGCCCAATACCCCTTAATTAAGGAATATAGCCTAAATCATAATATGAAGCCCCTTATAATTTAAGCCATATTCCTTAATTAAGGGGTATTGGGCTCTCTGGGCAGGGTGTAGTTTCTGGCCGGGTTTAGTCGTACCAGGTACCAGTAATAGTAGGAGTGGCTCCAGGCGGCAGCGGTAGGAGTAGCAGTAGGCGTAGGAGTAAGAGTAATGTGGGAACCTGATTCAGAAACCCTGGTCCTATAACCCCAAAAAAGGATCCATATAAGGAACCCTAATGAAGACTCAAGGTTTCTTGATCAGGTTCCTGCATTAAGCCTTCTGCCCTGAACCCTAAAGCCTAAACGGAGTAAGCCTTCTGCCGGGATGCTGAATAAACATCTGCGTCAGCCGGGCCGGTCGTCTCACTCGCAGTTGCATCGCGCGGATCCTTCCTTGGTTTAGGCTTGGCGTTTAGGGCTTTAGGATTTTAAGGTTTTCGGGTTTAGGGTGTAAGGCTTTAGGGTTTAAGGCTTAGGGTTTAGGGCTTTTCTTTTTTAAGACGTCCCTTTTCCGTAGGGTTTTAGGGTCTCGGGTTTAAGGCTTAGGGTTTAGGCTTGGATGTACTTTGCGAGAAAGGGCTCTAGAATTGTTGTGTAGCACTTTAGAAGAGAGCCTCGGGATGAGGATTCCTTTCGGCTGATATCGGTTTAGGGTTTAGGGTTTAGGGGACGAGGCTGTTACAGAGGTTGTGATTTAGAACTTTAGGATTCGAGGGGCAGCAGAGCCCTACTGGCCGTGGTACTTCTGAGAGAGGCTGAGAGCAACGCTTGAAGCACCCTACATCCTAAACCCGAAGAAGCCTTAAACCCGCAAACCCCCCAAAAAATGCCTAAACGCTAAGAATCTGTGGACTGTAAGAAACCCTAAACTCAACAATTTCTCAAGACAATGGTACCATTCCTGGCAAAGCCGGACTCCCAATCACCACCCCGATCCAAGCCAGAGTGCTGAAACTCCACAATCTAGCTTCTGTGTGTGTTAGTTAGTTATTTAGTCAGTCAGTGCGTGTGTGCGTCTCTGTGTGTGTGTGTGTGTTCATTCTCTCAGTCTCTCTTTCTCTCTCTCTCTCTCTCTCTCTCTCTCTCTCTCTCTCTCCCTCCCTCTCTCTATATCTAGCCAACTTTACATTACCCTTGCACCCACACCAGGAAAGCTCCAAAACCCTTAACCTTAAAAACCCTAAACCCTCACAAAACCCAACCCTTGACCAGCTTCACGTTCCAAACCTCAGATGGCAAGCCGCGGAGGTGTCTCCGGTAGGTCGGGGAAGGGTGACCTCCCGGTAAGTAGGGTTCGGGGATCAAGAAGTTCAGGGTTTAGGGTTTTGATTTGCATCTGACCTTGTGCCTTGTGCAATAGCCTGAACATTGACTTACATACTGCAAACAGTTATAATATCATAGTCGAAGTGCACGACCACTTGGCACTGTTCCTGCTAGTTCTGTTCGCTCCAGGTAGTGGCAAGTCGTCATCAGCCTCCTCGTCAACTGTAAGCCACAACTCCCCTAACCGGCCCTAGCCCTCAATCCTTCCTGAAATTTCAGAAGCCCTTTAGCTTCAGAGATGTGCCTGATTCGAAGGAAATACTACAGGCAGTATGCGCAGCCACAGAGGCGCGAAGTTTGGGGTCTAAGCTCTACAAGAAAACCCGCAAGTCGTGTGCGCCTTGGGGTCGGGTAATGTAGGGGCCTTAATAACTAACCAGACAAGGGCTTTGGAGCATACTATACTATAATAACCATAATAGAAAGAAGCCCTAGGAATAACATTGGTAATTATCTAGGCCCCTGTAGTAGACCTCGCTCGGAAGGGTTTGTCGAGGGCACGCAGGGGTTGAAGGTGTGGGGCCTGGGTCCACTGCCTTTTGGAACCATGTAAAAAGCATGACAATGGCAGAAGCCCATCAAGAAGCTTAAGGCCCACTCTTGCATGGCTAAATTCTGTAGCTCGAGATTCGAATCAATGCTGCAATGCCATGGTACCTTCCATTGAATGACCTACACCTCGAGCCCCAGTACAGTTGAAAGCATGTGTTCCGTCAGGCTGCAATCAGTCAGCAACCTCACCACCTTATGTCACAGCCCTCAGGCCCAAAATCACATTGATGCAGAGTTGTTAGACTATACTAGCCTCCCCATGATTGCAACAGCTAAAGATGCCCTCACCAATACAGTAGAAGCCAGAAAGTTGGAAACCCAATAGCCTCAATCCTTAAGACTAATGTATAGGGAATCCCAGCACTATTTGGCCTTAACCCGGTTCCCAACTTTATGGGGCTTACTGTATCCCTAATTTGCGGAGCCCTTTATACACGCACCCAAAACCTTAGATTTACAAACCTTACTTCACAATCGGCCTACTCGTTGGCGGCTCTGAAGACGCCCGCCGTGGAGTCAGCACAAAGCTTTCCTGCCAGACGGTTCGGTTGTCTGGACTGCTCCAATGAACAAGATTTGAGGACCTAGCAAGGGCGTAGCCCGCATTGCAGGGAATCTTGGTTGAAGCTATGATTTCATAGCCAATTCACCTCCAAAGCGATCAGTATCTTGTTGACTCATCACTCAAAGGCTTTGCACAGTTCGAGGCTCATGTGTTACGGGATCGGGGCTTTGGGGTTTGGGGTTCAGAGGTTTGGGCTTTCGGGTCTTTAGTATGGATTTGGGATTTCGGATTTGGATTCGTTCTGCTGCTTTGAGTTGCGGAATTAAGCTTCAGGGGATGGAGCTTGCGTCTAGGGTCAGGCATTCACTCGAAACTCCTTCCCCCAACTCTTAAAACCTAAAATGACCTAAAACCCTTAAACTGAATCCGAAAGAAGGGTTGTTCCCGCTTTTATGCTTATGGGCTGAGGGAAGTGAAGGGCTTTGGGTTTAGGGATGCTAAAGATTTGGGACATGGTATTGTGGGTCTATGACAAGTCTATGAATGTGGGGTTCAGAGTATTCGGCTTAGGGTCTGCGCATCTCTCTGAGTCGTGCGACTGGTGGTCTTCGATTTAGGGCTCAGGGCTTTGGGCTTAGGGTTGCTATCCCCTTGCAAAACTCTAGAAAGATCCAAAAACACCCCTTGAGAACGCTGTAAAGACCCTTACAAAGCCAACCACACATTCTCAGCGGAAAGCCGTTACTTCGATCGGGACACAGCTTCTCCGAAAGCTCTACGCACAGCTCTTGGGTTTCGACCGCTCGCGCAAGGCAGGCACAGCTCCACGATCCGATGGCTACAGTACCCTAAACCCTAAACCCTGAACCCTAAACCCTGAATCCTAAACCCTACACGCTAGAAGTCGGCACATGGCGGGGGGCGCTTTCAAACTACTGTAGGACAAAAAGCCGAAACACAAGATCCAAGAATTCGCCTAACAGCTCTTGGGACTAGGGATTCGGGTCTACTTGAAGGGCCAGGGCAGCAAGAAGTGGGGGTAGGCTCAAGCATGATTCATGATTTAGGCCCGTGCCTCCGGATCATCAAGCTCGAGGAATGTGTTTTTCACCTGCTCCAGTCAGTCAGCTCATACTCGGGACTTGACCTATAAGTTAAATGTTAAAACCCTAGACTCTAGCCGCCAAAACCCTCCCCTAAACCCTAAACCTCTCAACCCCTAAACCCTAAACCACAACCACCCCAAAACCCTGAACGGAGATGTAGCAGATCAACCCGAAACCCTTGAGCTTGGAGCTGGGAGACATAACGCCCTTTGAAATCAGAATCTCTCACTCATGTGACGCAAGAAAACACCCACAGCCAGAAACCAAATACCCCAGTAAAGGAACCTTTATAGTTGTTGATGTTATTGATACTCTTCTTCTTACTATTTCTGATATTACTACGGCTGATGATAAAAAACAAATCCTGCATTAGCTTAAGGACCCTGAACTATGGGAATAATGGCACATTCCTCATTATGGGTAATGCGTGGTTTATATCATCAACAGTGCTACCAGTGCAAGCAGCACCCTTTGACGAGTCCTCAGACTACTGTACCAAGGCCCGAGGGGTCCGCGCCTAAACCCGTCGAACCTCCACATGGGTCGTCTTCTAAATTCGAGTCAACTTAAGTGACCTAAGAATAACCTAGGAATAAAAGGGGTGCCCTTTTTGGCTTAAAGGGTGTGATAAGGGAAGCTGAACCCTGCGAAAGGGAATAAGGGCTTACTCTGGGTCCTAGCTGTTGATTACATCCCCAAATTAGTAGACACCCTTCTAAAATGGCGGCCTTTGATGATCTCACAATACAGGCTTTTGCAGCGATCTTCTGACCAATTTTTCGGATCCCCATCGTTACCCCATCAGTCAAGACTATGCTGCTTCTAGAACCCTGCAAACTTTGACAACCCCCAACAAAAAAACTTGCTAAAATGTGCTGGTACCTAAACGCCCAAGCCCAAATCCAAAGCCCTCAATGTCGAGCCTGAACCCTAAGCCCGCCTTGAGAGAAGACATTGTTGAAAGCTGCGCTGAGTTTGCGAGAAAACCAATCAGCCTGAGGACGGTCTATTTACTGTCTGTTTAAGAGGGTTCAGGGTTTAGGGGTTTAGGGGTGTGGGGGTTCAGGGTTTAGGGTCTGTTTAAGAGTTCTATCAGAAATCCCGGGACATCGTAAGTAGGGCTATAAGTAGACGTACGTACTAAAGATCCGGGCGTGACTAATAGCTAAGTCTCCATTTCCTCTATGTATGACCCGTCAATTTCGTCGCAATCCGCGGAGGAGGCCATCATACTGTTGGAAGGGCAAGGCCAAAGTTGTTCTTAGGGTGGGAAGTCACAAAGGGTTAGTACTTCATTCCAGGACCTCCTTTTCTGACTAATATAGGGGCCTTGATAATTAGAATAAGGTTTTGGGGCCCATTATACTTTAATTATATTTAAGGAAGCCCAGAATAGTATAGGTAATTATTAAACGGCCCCTTCGGGCTGCATTCCTTGGGCAAGCTATCCTAGGATGCCCAGTAACCTAGGATTAAAAGGGGCTCCCTTTTTGGTGTTGGGAAACTCTATAAGGAACCTAGGACTACAAAAAGGGAATAAGGGTACTACTGGACATCCTAGTATCTCGCAAACAAACAATGTGTCCTGGAGCTTCCCAGAGCCCAATCCTTGCCTTTGACCACCGCCAATACCTCCGCAGCTTCCCAAATCGATCGGGTTGTTTGACTGGGAGGATCATGGGACTTAGTAATTAAGCTTATAAGTACCTTAATTGGGGCTCTAGGTAATTATAAGTATAGCTACCTTATGCGTAGCCTTACTTACTAAGTCCCATGATCCTCCAAGACACTCCGGTCCGCACCTGTCCGCCGAAGGAAGATGTGAAGGCCCCAAAAAAGCACATAAGCAAAAATGAGGATAGGGATATCCCATATGAATCCCCTTATAATGAAGCCCAATAAGGTAGGGATATCCCTATAAAATGCTGCTTTTTTGGGGTCCCTAGATGCGAATGGCCGTGCAAGTGATCCGACCCGGAGTTCTACTTGCCTGCGTCTAAACTCTACCTTAAGCCGGACTAACCCACCTTTTTAGGGTTCCTTATTATGACTTCCTTATATAAGTCCTTAAAAAGGTAGGTCATTCCGGCTTAAGAAGGTAGTATAGGGGCCCTCGTAAGTTTCATTAGGGTTCCTTTAAAAGGGATCTATAATTAGGGTTCCCATCACGGCTTTATGTAGGAGTCTTGATAATCAGAATAGGGTTTTGCGGCCCGTTATTCTAAAACTGTAATACGGAACCCCCCACCCCCCCGAAAAAAATAAATCAGTAATTATTAAAGCCCCTATATTAAACCCGCTAGGCCACTTTTTGAGCAGGGGCTGCGGTGAAGATTGCCCTGGGGTTGCTAAACCCCAAAACCAGCATCCCGGCCACCAGCACCCAGGTGCGAACTGGGAGCTACTGTGTTGAAGGCTGTGCCAAAAAGGACAGAGAAGGTCAGAATGCTGATGATTGGACGATCAGTCCGCTTGAGGCGTAGCCGTTTTCCGCTTGAGGCGTAGCCGATGAAAGGCTTTAGCCACGGTTTAGGGTTTAGGGGTTTAGGTTTTTTTTGGTTTCGACGCTCACACTCGCACAGGCAGGCAAGGCTCCACATAGTCCAACGGATCTCCACTAGAGCCGATAGCCAAGGAGGGTGAACTAGTAGCTCCAAGACAAGCACACCAGATATAGCCGCACAGGTTTAGGGTTTAGGAATTTCAGGGTTTTGGGTCGTCGGGCTTTGGCTTCTTAGGGTTCAGCGACGGCTTTACTTTAGAAGCTGCCCCCACCCTGTAATAGTGACTATAAGGATTATATGGGATAATATTAGGGCCCTATTATATTCCTATTATACCACTATTACAGGGTGGGGGCAGCTTCTAAGCTTTACTTCCCGACATCACGGCATAGTTCGCAGGGTGTTGGGGTTTTCGGTTCAGTCCCTGCTCATGTGGTCTCAAAGCAAAAAAGCTGAAGGTGGTACCCAGAGAGCCCAATACCCCTTAAAGCTTAAGGAATACGGCTTAAACTGTATAGGGCTTCATATTATGATTTAAGCCATATTCCTTAATTAAGGGGTATTGGGCTCTCTGGGTATCTCAACCCCGAAGTGCTACCAGTTTCAGACAGGAGGACCCCCACAAACCCACAAAAGTTTAAACCCTTTGGCTCCCTTTGGCATGAACCCCAAAGCCTTGGGTACTGCACCCATACAGTAACAGTCCATACTAGGGCTACTATTAGGGTCCTAGTAGATCTATATTATGAATAGTATCAAACTGTTACTGAGTGGGGGCAGTACCCAACCTAAACCTCACAGAATGGACACGTACTTCTAGGAACTCCCCCACAAAACCTGCGAGCCCAACCCCGGACAGTTCAAGCAATGAAGAGACTAGGCTTTCCCGAATTAGAATACGATCACGTTTTTTATTGTAATCTCGCTCAGCTACTGCTCTTCTTTGTAGTCAAACACATCGCACAATGTTGCTGCTGTCACGATTGCTACTAACTGCCATTGTGCCGTATGTTCTACACAGGTAAGTTTACACCAAAGCGCACAGCACCCCTTAGGGAATATACCTCAAAAACCACATGCTGGGAAATGGTTGCATAGTTGCATAATTCATTCTAGTGTTGCTCGTTTACGGGTAAATATAGGGGCCCCAATAATTATAGGAAGGAACTCCCAAAATAGTGTTGGTAATTATCTCGGCCCCCATATTAAGGGGGTCGCTGGGTAAGGGCTACAATCAACGAAGCCTGAATTGGCTCACGGCTGCCTTCTGCGGGTGGTACTGAAAACATATACAGCTGAGCAGCGCAACGCGGGTAAGATGAGGTCAACGATAGCAAGGCTACTCAAACGATCGCATGATGCATGATTGCCTTGAGCCGCAAGCAAGTTGGCTGAGGTTTGTGTTTGCCTCCAGCCTGCGATGCAGGGCACAGGGTGGGGTTCAGAGCTCGTACACCATCGGACACCCTACAATCTATCCTGCATTTATTCCGGGCTTCGCGGTGTCCAGGATTTAGAGACTCAAGCCGACGGTAGAGGGGCATCGTTAGCCTACGTGGGGAATGCCCGGCGGTCGTAGTACGTGATTGCAGTGCAGGGCTCATGTAGTCGGCTGCATTGCAACGGTGACAGTGTTTCGGTTTTAGTGCTCGAGGTTCAAGGGCTTACGCTCTCACAACTCGGACAATCCAGGCGAGGCAAAGGGTTTAATATAGGGGCCTTAATAATTGCCCATACTATTTTGGTGGTTCCTTGTTATAACTATAGTATAATGGGCCCCGAAGCCCTAGTCGAATTATTAAGGCCCCTATATTATAGTACCCCAATAGATCCCTTTAAAGGAACCTGTATACCAAAAAACTAAGGCCCCTATATTCGGGTTTCGGTTTCAGGGCTCTTGAGACTTCTATACTGCACTTAGAACCCTAGCAAAAAGTATAATTTTAGCTGTTTCTTAGGGATTATATTATTTCTAAGTACGCCTAAGACTTCAGGATCGAATGGGATCAGGGCAAAGGAAGGGTTTCAATGTCGGCTCGCGAGGGAGTGGTAGTTGGGGTTTTAAGGTTTAGGGTTGAGGGATCTGAACCCTAGTGGCTACGGTTTAGGGTTTAGGGTTTAGAGCCCAAGTTTAACCCAAAACCCCCAGAAAGTACCATTTCCGACTTCGAGCTTCGGGCGTTAGAGGACTGGCGCTCCGCGCTTCGTCCCCGTAGATCTTGCGTAGAAATGACCGTGGTGATCACGGCCCGGGGCATTGTTCAAGATCTTCTCAATCGCCACAGGTAGCGTGTTCATTTCAAGACGTACATACCCTAGTCATTGAACAGGCCCCCATTTAAGACTGCCTTGGACAGCAAGCCCTTGGCAAAAAATGCAATTGAATTGATCGGAACGATCTCACTCCTACCTGCTGTACATGGGGCCCAGATGCCAGACACAAACGGATGTAGAGTAGCTTTCTGGGTTCGGGATCAACATTCGGGTTTAGTGTTGGTAGGAGCCATGAGGTAGCTCGGCCTACTGCAACTCCTCCATGGACGGCCACGGCATCCAGAGCTTTGCTTGCATGCTCGCATGAGCAATGCATGCACAAGTTGTCTACAGAATGTACAAGAGGTTCATAATACACAAATTGTACACAGGCTCTGCCCAGTGGGGTGAGGGCGGCCAGCGCTATCCCTTGAAAGCATCTAAAGCACGGAGTTGACGAGGTCGGGGCTCAGGCTTCTCTCAACTCCCACAGGACAGGTCGTCATGTTGGGTTGCTTCGACCTACGGTGTGGTATGCCAAAAGCCAGCCAAAGCACAGTAAAATCCAGTAAAATCTATTAACCGCGAGTCGCGGAACCATGCACGTTGGACAATGTCGGGACCCCCAAAAGCACATAAGCATAAGCATTTTATAGGGATATCCCTACCTATTGGGCTTCTGTTTAACGGACTTTTTTCTGGGATATCCGTATCCGTATTTTTGCTGATGTGCTCTTTTCGGGCCCCACAATCGCTGTGCGGCGATCACCTCCGGCGACGAGGGCATGCGAACAGCATCAATGCTGTCCCTACCTGGACCCTAAAGGGCCTACTTTTTCAGGGTTCCCTATTATGATTTCCTTATATAAGTCCTTAAAAAGGTAGGTTATTTGGGGTCAAGGTGAACCTTAAGCTTGTGAGGTCTGTCTAGACCCAAGAGTAGCCTAGGAATTAGAAGCGTGCCCTTTGTGGTTTACAGTTGCTTATAAGGGAACCTGAACTCTAATGAAGGGAATTCTTAAAGGGATCCATAGGGTTCCTTAAGGGGATCTATAGGGTTTAGGGTTCTACTTAAAGGGTCATGGGACTTAGTAAGTGGGGGTGTAAATAAGGTTACTATACTTATAATTACTTATAACCCCAATTAAGGTACTTATAACCTTACTTACTAAGTCCCATGATCCTCCAAGTAAGCGCCTACTCTAGGTCCTAGTAAACCTTAAGCTTGCAAGGCAGAACCGTAAAAACCAAACCTCTATCCTTGTAACCCGTCAACACAAGAAGTGAGTAGAAATCTGCAGCCCTATCACCGCGACGAGGTCCAGCCGACAGCGAATTTTCACCCGGAACTGTGCCTAGTCCAGTCTGGCATGGCCGGAGGTACATAGACTAGACGGCAAGTTGCTGGCGCGCAGGCACGGGCAACTTCTGTCGCAGTATCAAAGCGATGAATGCAACTGGCCAGCCGTTGCCACCTCCTACAGGCTGAGAATTCCCTAAACCTTGAACCACTCTAGATGGCAACTCGAAGATGGTACCATTTAAAAGGTCTCACGCAGAGACAGGGTCAAGGGCTAACGGTTGTGGCGCACTTATAACCTCACTTAAAACTCCCTAAGCTCAATAAACCGCTAAACCCTAAGCCCCTAAACCCTAAGCTCCAAAACCCCAACCCTAATCCCTAAACCCTAAGCTCCAAATCCGTTGCAGCCTGATGTACACCATGAGACTCAAAAAACCTGCCTCTCTGTGCCTCGAACCTGCGAAACCTCAAGTCGGAAACTGGGATTTGAAGTAGCCAGGGGGAAATAAGTAGAGACGTTTACTTCAAGATGCCTCCCTTTAAGTAACTGGTCTCCCCAAAAAAGTATTCAAGTATGGTACTCGGTTCCCAGGAAAATCGCAAGTCCAACACCCTGCCCTCGCGGGCATGTCTTAGACATGACGGACTGGATCCTACTGCTCAAGGTCCTTTCGTAAGTAACATAGACGCCTGCATTGTAAGTACTAATCTTGGCCCTTAAGGTGCCTCACTATACTTGTACTATCTTGTGCTGCTTTTTCCCACAACCTACTCGACGTGCTAATGCCCCTTTTTACGGGTCTCCTCCTCGAGTTGCATGGCGGAGAAGTGTAAGTTTCGCCGCGTGCCACCAAGTCTTGGATACTCGACTCGCTCATTACAGGGTTTAGCATGCCGGGCCCCTCCACCCCGAAGCCAAAACCCTAAACTTAAACTCCCTACACCCCGAAACCAAAACCTTAAAACATAAACTGCCTACGCTCCGAACCCAAAACCCTAAACTTAAACTCCCTACACCCCGAAACCAACTGCCTACACCCCGAACCCAAAACCTTAAACTTAAACTCCCTACACCCCGAACCCAAAACCCTAAACTTAAACTCCCTACACCCCGAACCCAAAACCTTAAACCATAAACTCCCTACACCCCGAACCCAAAACCTTAAACCATAAACTGCCTACACGCCGAACCCAAACTCCAACACTCTGAAGGATGGCGACAGGGCTTGGCCAGCAGAACCAAATTGTTGGTATTCGCTGCCCCCTGTGGCTGGCTGGACAAACCCTCCGAACATAGAGCGAAGAACAAGAAGCTCGCAAAGGACCCCGACAGCCGCACCTTCAAGGGAAAAAGAAAGCATATATGGAACGCTGCAGCCCGAGAATGCGAAAAAGTTGCATACTGCCCTGGCGGTTGAAGGTTAGGGCTTTAGGACTAGGGCTATAGGGTTTAGGTTGGAGGATGTCTGTCAGACTTCCGAAAGCCTCACACAGGGGTTAGATTGAATTAAATTGCAGCGGGGCGCAAGATCCTGTTCACACGGCTCATGGCATGGCCAATTCCACTGGAGAAGATGCCTCGTCAGCTCTATATTATACTATAGTGTATTGTCGTGCATTATAGTACATTCTAGAATATAATGTTATATGGTATTGTAGTATATTACAGTACCTTATAGCATACTATAGTATATTAGAGTATATTGTACTATACCAGCTACTATAATTACTGCGGTATTTTGTATGCTCGGCATGCATCCTTGGCTCCCAACAGCAGCCCTGCCCAGAAAATCCACACGCGTAGCCCCTCACTTCCAGTTTAGAAGATGTTGCCAAATAGAAATGGCGCTAGCACTATTCCTTTAAGGGACCTATAAGGGAGTTTCCGAAAATTAGGGGTACCTTGTTTTGGTATCCTTCTAATAATTTTAAGGATCCTATTTTTGGAAACCCCCAAATGGCGCTAGCACTATTCCTTTAAGGGATCTATAAGGGTTCTAGAAGCGTTTGGGGTTTAAAGGTCCATGTGGGAGTTTCTGAAAATAGGGGACACAAATCTACTACCCTGAATAGTAGGATCTTTATTAACAAGACCCCCACAATAAGGTAGCCCTAATTTTCGGAAACTCCCAAATGGTGCTAGCACTAGACGAGTGACCACAGCAACGGTCTGGAATAAACCGCAAATAATCAGGAACACTGACTGAATCGTACTGCCGCTGCCACCAATCCTCCTCCTACACCGTCTCAAGCTCCTACTCGCCATCTAATGCTGACTACTTACTTCGAACAACAACACCTACTACTACTACTCCTCCTGTTGCTACTTGTTTCCTTCTTATGTCTTTCTCTAAACACACCAGCTGCCATGATTGCAAGAAACCCGTTGGTTTACATCTCTGCAACACGACCCGGTTATACGATGGATAAACCATATCCCCACCAATCCTTCATCTTCTCCGATCACCAAAACTGGCCTCTTCACCCAAATGCCGATGTTCACCCCTACGAGTGCCGTTGAACACCAACACACTTAAGTTCTGCATATCTTTCTGCTCTATATATTGACAGGAAGGGGACGGGACATGGGAGATATTGATGATATTGATATTAACCTTCAAGGGGCGGCAGCTGCAGCTGCGAGCATGGCGGACCTCATCTTCGCAAGTGCTCCTGACATGTTTCAGGTAGGATTTTTTTCGGGACGAAATGGGAGTTTCCGAAAATTAGGGGTACCGCATTTGCGGGGGCCTTATAATAAGAATCCTACTATTTAGGGTACTATGTTAGGGTCCCTTGTTTTCGGAAAACCACCAAATGGCTTCCTTCGATTCTTAAGTCGTGAAACCTCACGAGGTCCCGGTTGTCAGGACATCATACAGGCACAAAGCATTGAAGGAAATGTGCTTGCAATAAAAGTTCGCGTGGCCTAGTATCATCATAATCACTGTGAAACACCGGTGCAACCATGTAGCATCCGCAGTTGCAACTTCCAAAATTAGGCGGTCTGTCACACAACGCCATGCATCAGGACCCTGGGCCCAGGAGTTCATGAACATATTAACGCCTAAACCTCCAAACCCTTAAACTTAAACCCCACAACCCCCAAGCCTGACACCCAAAAGCCTAATGAAGCCTCAAACCCGACGCCCTTATACCGCGTCCCTATCTACCCCTTAAAGGAACCGCAGCAGGTCTGAGGAGGCCCGGGTCTCCTGAGACATCTGCAACGAAGGTGTCGGTGGTGTAGCGCGACTTCAAAGCCAACCCGATCAGGGCCTCTTGGTTAGAATAATAGGATTTTGGGGCCCATTATACTATAGCTGCAAGAAGGAACCCCCAGAATAGTTTAGGTGATCACAGTATTTAGACCCCTATAGCCTTTAGTACATTCTATACTGAACTTAGAACCCTAGCAAAAATTTAAAAAAAATAGCTGTTTCTTAGGGATTATAATAACCATAAAAATTAACCATTGTTTCTAATTACCCGTAAGGTTAGGGCTTAGGGTTGTGGTGCGATAAGTCAGGGTTTAAGGGATTACGGGTTTGGTGCCGTAAGGGTTTAGCGTTAAGGGCTTCCGACAACGCAGAGAATCATCGAATGCAAGCAGGCTCCTATCAGCGCAATCCCAGACATAAAAGGCAACACTTACAAACAAAACGCTGCAGGGCTTGCAACTCTACCCCCGAAGACGAATCCGCACACCCATTTAACGCCCTAACACTCCGTTGTCATGGGCTTCGGGTTTGGAGTCTAAGGCTTTAAGATAACGTTTAGAAAGGCTTCAACAATTCCGGCAGTTTGCGCCTCACCTTTTGCGGATACTCAAAGTTAGTAACTAGGGTCTTTCAAAATCAAAAGGTAAGTCTATCAATGATTCCAATCACAGTACCCCTAACCTGTAGGCATTAAGTCCTGTGATCCTCTAAGTAATGTATGCTTAACCCTGTCCCTGCCCCCATATGCCAACACGTTTCCGTGGTAAGCTATCTTCTGCAACGCAATATAAGGGCCAGATGTTAGAACAGGGTGCTTGTTGTATGCTGTAGCACAACCATATAAATCCCAAAAGAGATCCTTTTCTTGTCTATTCGAACCCCATTATATAGTTAAAACTCAGCAGAAATTCCACAACCCTGCCTGCCCTAACCCCTAAAACTAAACCCTAAAACGTTAGATAGACAACCCTAACCCCCTAAAACCCAAAACCCCGAAAAATCAACAAATCCTACGAAACAGCCCCGGCCTGAAACGTCATCTTCTGCATCATGTAGTGAAGTTTGGGCTGACACTGTCGGGGAAGCTTCGGCATTACCGGCTCGGTGCCTGAAGGTGCCAGGACCCGTGGGGGGAGTTTTATGTAGGGTAGGATAAGGTCTATAGGGCTTGAGGGTTTGAGCTTCGGGGTTTGGGGTCAGGGTCGAGTGCAAGACAGCGTGAGCGGTACGATATGGGTTGCTACGGTCTTGTATGGTTTGAATGCTTCAGGGTTTGGGATTTCGGGTTCGGGGATTAGTTGAGATCTAGCGTTGGGGCAGGGGGTTTTCGTAGTTTAGGGTCTCAGTGTTCAGTGTTTAGGGTCAGGAACCTTGAGAAGCTGGATCATCGAAAAGACCCACACGCAAGGGTCACGATGCAGCAGCTGTGGTGTTCCGCGTACTCTGGCTGAGGGTCTTGGGGTTCGAAGGATTGGGCACCCTAAGCCCTACCTTAACCCTGAATAACCTACCTTTTTGGGGCTCCTTATTATGAGTTCCTTCTATAAGTCCTTAAAATGGTAGGTTATTCAGGGCTACGGTAAACCCAACGACAGATTGGGGAGCTCTACTCTGTCTTCGAAGTCCTCTGCGCATTTGGACGGTCGCCCTGTAACCCTGTACGGCTTTTGTTGAACCCAGGCTCGGATCCTGCGTCAGCTGGCAATCGGCAAGCAACATGACTACTGCATGTCAGCAAGCTACATCAACGAATCCAGAAGCGCCACCATTTGGCTTGCAGGGTGCTCGCGCAGTCTTCTGCTCCAAGACTGAACTATCAATAGAAATACCATGTAGTACATGGTGATAATTTACCCTGAACCCTTCAGGGCTTTTGTTCAGAGCTCAAACCGTAAACCCTTTTGCAGAGCTCCCTCCGCCCAGAACGCAACCCGTAAACACTAAACCCTGAACCCTACTGGGAGGATCATGAGACTACGTAGGCAGGTCAAACATAGACTCGCAAGTGCCCTGAAAGGGATCCTAATTGGGATTCTGAGACTTACAAATCTGTAAAATAACTACTTCCTAATTTCCCCGACCCCAACGTAACCCCTGCGCAGCCTGGTTCCAGACCGGCCCGCTCCCGGAGTAGGCTCATGACCTCTCCTGCCTGAGACTCCGTCTTTGTTGTTCATGGGAAGTTCTCTACATCAGGGTCCTTTGTAGAGTCCTGAAAGAAGGGTGCCATATTATTTTGAGAACCTAACAAAAAACCCTAAAAGGATAGGTTTGTAGCGCACCCCAGGGCCCGTAGTGTCAAAAGGGCCCAGCACCGGCGTTTCTAGTCCAGAATATCAGGGTCCGGGGTCCAATTACATGCTACCGTGATGAAATGAAGCCCATCGAAGTCTGGTAAGACGTAACTACCCAGAGGCTCCATAGCAGTTCTTCTTTGGGGTTCATAATTAGAATCCTATAAGGTAATCCCAAAAAGGAACTACTATGGAGCCTCTGGGTAAGTAGTCCTCTACGGGAGGCACTAACTGAAGGACTCCTGCTGCGGACCTGCCTGCATCAACGTGCTACTTGGGTTTACTTGGAGGCCCTTTTGACTTAGTAAGTAGGGTTAGTAAGCTGGGTTATGGGGATTAGAATGGGGTTTCTAGGGGATACTAAGTAGACTTACTAAGTCAAAAGGGCCTCCAAGTAGGGTTTAGGGTTCAACCCGAAGCTCCAAAGGGGAAGCGAGTAAAACTCTACTTGCTACAAAAAGTTTAGTGCTTTTTGTTTATCTTAGTTGCTGAGTTCATAAGCCCCAAAAAGGGATAGTGGGTGAAGTTATCCCGAAAAGTGTAAAGTGTATCCACTCAGCTGCTAAGTTATAGGGATGAGGAATCCGGAACCTCGGTCCCCAAAAGTAGGGCTTTACGGAATACGGGCTTGCACTCACGACCTCCCACGACGACCTGCTCGGAAGTCGACACTTGCGCAGATCACATGTCGCACTAGTATTTATTTAGGGTTTCGGGTTAGCCCAAAACTAACCGAAAGCTCTCACTAAAAGAACCCAAACCCGCAAAACAATTAATCTTGAATCCTTCAATCCCTAGACCCTCTGCAGGGGGAAGGTGGGGCAAGGGAAACCTGAAATTGCAGACTTCAGGGATTCTGGCGTGGTATGTTTAGGGTTTAGGAATCAAGGTTTAGGGTTTAGGTTTCAGGGTTTTAGAGTATGGAGGTTTCAGTTTTCAGGTTTAGTAAGTTTCGTGGTTGACGTTGTAGCTTGGAGCGCATGCTTTCCCCAAACAGCTGCGAAACCAGAGAGACCCTGCATCCACCCGAAATGTGGTCCTGGGCGGCGAAGCCACCAAGCTCAGCACGCTCCTTCAGGGATTTTAAGCTCCAAGATTTCACTTTGCGCTGCTGGTTTTGCACCGACGAAAACGGCTCCATCAGAAAAATGTCACGGCATCCCAGGCAAATGAAGCTGCCTTCTTCTATCGGGGTGGTTGTCAAAATTATGGTCCCTAAATAGTAGGTGCCGTATTATAATAGGGACCCAACAAAGGGATCATAATTTGGACAACCACCCATCGGAACAACCACCTCAGGAATAAACATACCCACGCCACTGCAACAGAAACAGCTCGGACAGCAGAGCCTGCAGGTAAATGAGCAGAAGGTTCATGAGCTGCACCTAAGGTAAAAGCCAGAAAGTTGGAATATGATTATCCTAACCCTTCTATGGTAAATTATAGGGCATCCTACCAACAAACCATATTCCAACTTTCTGGAGTTCCCTGTCGGGGTTTCCGAAAATGCACCTATAAGGGTTTCCGAAAATGGAAGACCTTAATATAGTACCCTCAATAGTAGGATCCTTATTACAAGGACCCCAAAAGAAGGTACCCCTAATTTTCGGAAACTCCCATCTACTGCAGCAATCGTGGAACACACCCTGCGCAGTACGGAGAACTTGTCCACTACCTACGAAGCGGCTCAAAACTACCACGTCCTACAACCGTGAAGGCAAGGCTGGATGAACAGGGCACTTCGGAAAGGTTGCCGACCAGCACCTCAGATGGCTGAGGTTCGGTCTCAGGATTTGGGGCTCAGGGTTGCAGGGCGGATGGGTGGGTTTCATGTTATGAAGCATCTGGAGTTTGAGAACCTGACGGAAGGAAAGGGTACAGCCTATAGATATGTATGGAATCAGAAACAAATTTTCTTTCGTTTCGCCGCAGAACTGACACTCAGGTCTGCAGCTTTTGAACTGCATGTGCCTCGCTTGGGAAGGTCGAAATACGTCTGTTTCTGAGCCTACGGCCTACGGGCTCCGGGTGTTACATGCAGAAACTTGGCTGTGCCCGCCGGTAGGGGGGGTTAGCCTTCAGGCAAAGACTCGAATACCTCTGTGCCAAGAAAACACGATACACTAGATGTGGAAACGGATACAGCTCTACATTTGGCCTCAGTTATAGGCACAGATATGTAGTAGACATAGATAGGTAGATAGGTAGATAGATAGGCAGATCAGGAAGGCAGATAGGTAACCACATAGATAGACAGTTCGGTAGGTAGGTAGACAGGCGAGCAAGCATACAGGCAGGTAGGCAATGAATAGATATACCGACATGAAATCACAGAAAATGAAAAAACTATACTGAACTTGGAACCCTAGCAAAAATTGTATTTTTAGCTGTTTCTTAGGAATTATAATTACCAAAATACCAAAAATTAAAAAATATTTCTAAGTACCCCTAAGAAAAGCCTCAGCGAATGCCGAGGCACACGCTGCCTCTTGTCGAGATGCGGCGCGCGGGATTCGTGGGGCATGTGGCAGTACTCGCAGGAGCTCCCGTTGCTGCAGTTGCCGGCATTGAAGAACAAGCACGGGCGGCGGCACATGTCCGGATGCCCCACGCAACCTTTTCAGGCAAAACGCTCTCCATTCCTAGCGGCGCACAAACTTGTACAGTAGGACTCCACATGGACATCCCATATCGCGCATGACTATCCCCTCAAATCCAAACCATCTTGCACCCCGAGTCGGCCCCCGCACCTGGCTGTGGCGGGGCCGGACCTTCAGGGCCCATTGAGCTTCCCCAAGGAACATAACTTAAATAATAATATTAGAAGCCCCTTATATTTTAAGCCATATTCCCTAATTAAGGGGTATTGGGCTCTCTGGATTACACGACAGACCCATTTCGAGTTTACAAGGGTATCTGCTGGATCACTACGGGCCAACAATGGCCAACACGCCCCCCTTTCGTTCCGGAACGCATCGGCTTGCCCTAAACCCTAAACCCTTGCTGGTGCCCTAGGCCGGAAAGAACGCAGAATCGTGGCCTCCTGTCGTCGACGCAAGATCGAGGATTACGTCCACAACTGTCTGAGCCACCTTCACGATTTTTAGGTTGGCGGAAAGCCTTAACCCTAAACCCTAACAATGCACCACGACCCTGTGGAAAGCTCGACTCCTCTGTTCAACAGCTCGCGCCGGACTTTTTACATGTGGTATACCTACTTGTCGAGTATCATGGGGAACTAAAGCTTAACCTTTTTGGTTATATAGGGATTATACAGGGACTATACTACCCAAAAAAGGTTAAAGGTTCCTACTCTACTACTAGGTATAGGAAGCCACCTTCGAGATCTTACCATCTCTGTCTGGTTTGATCAGCAGTATACGGCCACAGATGAGCAGTACGCGGTGACGTTCCGCAAGTTACCACGTGAACATCAATTGCATCTAACGAACATCCTGTGGACTGTTGCTTGGTGAATTCCGAGATCTAAGCACAACATGAGAAACGAGAGCCTTCCAATGTCGCGACCCAGAGTAACGGAACACACTGGGCCAGCCGCTGGGCTGTCTGGGACTTCGAAGACATTGAATTGAACTTCCCACTTTCGACTGGACCATACATGCCACCCACGAAGCTATAGACAACAACAGCACCGAAATCCCAATCCCACAAAATCCAACACCAAGTGCAAAAGGGGAGCACTAACACTCACCCCCTGGAGCAAATACTCATTGCAAAGTCCTGAACCGCTACAGACCCTAAACCCTGAACCCCTGCTCGACCGCAAAGGGGTCAAGGCACAGGAATTGACGTCAGCACAGGCTTGGCTGCCTGTCGTAGGAGTTGATTTCCGAGTTTAGACTTCAGGGTGAAGGGTTTAAGGAGGGCTCAGGGATGCTCAGGGGTTTAGGCAAGAACATGTAAATCTCTCTTCCTCTTTGTTTTCTCTCTCTGACTCTCGCTCTCGCTCTCGCTGTCGCTGTCGCTGTCGCTGTCGCTCTCGCTCTCGCTCTCGCTCTCGCTCTCGCTCTCGATCTCTCTCTCTCTCTCTCTCTCTCTCTCTCTCTCTCTCTCTCCCTCACCTGAAAACGAATATTATATGTATATGTAAATGTACATATATGTATATACATTTATGTACAACAGGAGGTCAGCAAAACATCAACTTACTCATTTATTTCATGGCCATCGACTGGACAGAAGGTGGGGCTGTTATTCGCAGCCTTGTGACACTGATTCAGGATTGTAATATAGGGAGTTTCGGAAAATAGGGATACCTTATTTGGGGTCCTTATAATAAGGATCCTACTATTTAGGGCCCTATATTGGGATCCCCTATTTCCGGAAACTCCCACATAGGGGCCCTAATGCTTAGAATAGGGTTTGGGGGGTATATTATGCTATAATTATAGTAAGGAGCCCCCAAAACCCTGTTCTAGTTATTTAGGCCCCTGTAGCAAGCACTTGGCACCAGGGGACGGATGCCTCGTGAGAGGTTCTGCTAGCTGCCTTCATGGGGACCCCTGCCCCACAATGAATGGGCTAATGGGCATATACTAGCTCTATCAAGGGCATATACCTAGGGGTCCTTATTAAGGGTCCCTCCTTTTACCCTTGGATTAGAAGCTGAAGACTTTTCAATCATAGGGACCCTTAGGGGCGCAGGGGGGAGGGGGGTAGGGGGGTAGGGGACCATACTTCCTTAAATAGGCCTTATTAAGTCCTTATTGTAGGTATTAAGGCCCCCTACCCCACTCCCCCCCGTAACGCCCCCCTAAGGGTCTCTATGACAAGACTTTGCAACGAACAGTCAAGCGCATATCAGGTAAGCAAAGGGCCCAAGCAAGGACAACGGTGAAGTCCAAGGCAACCACCTAAGACATACCGGACAAGCCTGATTCAATTCGACGAGGGTTCGGGGTGTTATTTTGACATCAGGTACCTTGAAGAACAACATTACTAGTTCTACAAGCCCCTTACTGTATATTGCACCCCAGAGCCTGAACCACATGGATTCCCATGCCCGATGCAGGAACTGACCGCCGACCTGTGCATCGTGCCCGAGAATGTCCTTCTGAGGGATCAACAGTACCTGCCGTTTGCTCTGCATGGAAGGGCAAGCAGCGAGGGCTGCAAAAGCGACAGAGGCCGCCAAGAGGTGCCAACTTGTTGCTTTGTGGAATCTAGAACATGATTCCAAACAGAGCTAGTGCAGGTCTTCCTGCACGAACTTAGCTGTATCATTCTGTATAGGGCATAGGGTCGCTCTGACAGGCTCTCTTCTATTACGGAATGGAACGCCCAGGCCGAGATCCTGCGAGCCATAGACTAACAGCGGCACTTGCCCCATGTACTGGGTAAGGGAAAGGCGAACAGAGCCCGCCTGCTGGTACGACTGCGTGCTTTCCGCGACGACCTGCAACTCAAACGAGACTTTGTCGGTGGTCGGCTTTTCTGGGGGTTTAGCATGTGGCCTGATGTAAGTAGTAGTAGTCGTCGTAGTAGTAGTAGTAGTTGTTGTTGTCGTAGTGGGTAGTGGCAGTGGTAGTGGTAATGGTAGTAGTAGTGGTAGTAGTAGTAGTAGTAGTAGTAGTAGTAGTAGTAGTAGTAGTTGCAGTAGCAGTAGCAGGGATAGTAGTAGTAGTAGTAGTAGGCGGAGGAGGAGGAGGAGGAGGAGGAGTAGCAGTAGCAGTAGCAGTAGCAGTAGCAGTAGCAGTAGCAGGAGTAGTAGTAGTAGTAGTAGTAGTAGTAGTAGTAGTAGTAGTAGTAGTAGTAGCAGTAGCAGTAGCAGTAGCAGTAGCAGTAGCAGTAGCAGTAGCAGTAGCAATAGCAGTGGCAGTAGTAGTAGGACGAGGACGAGGAGGAGGAGGAGGAGGAGGAGGAAGCAGAAGCAGCAGCAGGAGCTAAAATATGTAATCTGCATCCAAATCTCTTTTCTACTTGGAGTTTTGGATTTTGAAGCATTTAGGCAGTAGAGTGTTTGGTTTTACGGTTTAGGGCTGAGGCATCAGGATCAGGTATGGCTCCGGTTTTGGGGCTTATATATATATATATATATGTATGTGTATGTATATATATATATATATATATGTTTAAGGGTTTGGTTTTAGAAAATCACAGACATACACACACACACACCACCTATATACTATAGACAGTCCACTACTTAGACTAATAGCTCTGAATCTTGCGGAATGATTCCGTGATAGTGAGTGAGACTACTGACAACAAGTAGCAGTCTCTTAGTGTGTAAAGCACGAAACTACACTAACCAGGAAACAATGGTAGAAATAGTCACAAAGCCAAACCCTAAACCCTACAAAATCCCTAGTCCCGACTTCTCCCGAAGTTCCTCGTCGGGAATGGTGCGCCGCAAGGCAACCTAATGGAGCACAGGAGCTAATAACAGGGGCCGTAAAAATCAGCATAGGGCGCCTTTAAGGGTCCCTTTAAGGGTTCAAGGTCTGTATAAGGGCTTTATGTATACAAGGGCCTTAGTAATTAGAATGGGGCTTAGGGACATATTATACTATACTTACAATAAGGAACCTCCAAAGCCCTTTTGTAATTATAAGGACATCTGGGAGTTCATGCCTTAGGGCGCGGTTTTCAGCACTGCTAGCTGGCGAGGTTCATTTTGTAAAGTATCTGGTTTAAGCTTCGGGTATTTTTGCCGGAACCCTCAAGCCAATACCCCAAACCCTCAAAGCTATTGGTTTAACCTCTTCCAACTTCGGAGTATGTGGCTTGGGGCTTTGGCAGCAACACCCGCAGCCCCAAACCCTAAACCCGAATCCCTATAGACACCCTAACGAGGATCCCTAGTAACCCTTACAGGAGTCCTTATAGTAACCCCTAAACCGTAATTGCTAAACCCGTAAACCCCAAACCTGTGAAACTCTGCAGCCCAATGCCGTCGAAGTTCTTGGGGTACCTTAACCTACCAAAACCTACTTTTTTGCAGGGCACCTATAAATTCCATAGTAGGGCTTATAGTAAGAACCTACAAAAAATAGGGTAGGGTTCATAGAGCTTTGAGGGCTTGGGGGTTTACGGCTGAGGGTATAGGATCTTTGGGTTTATAGGATCTTTGGGTTTATAGGATCTTTGGGTTTAGGGTTGAGAGTTCATAGTTGGGGGCTTAGGGTTTAGGGCTCAGGGTATAGGGTTTTGGGCTAGGGTTGAGGATTCCTAGAACGGTGGGGCTTAATACAAGGGCCTTCTTAATTCGAGTCGGGTTTGGGCGGGTCCTTGTTGTAATTATAGTATAATATACCCCCCAAACCCTATTCAAATTTGAGGACCCTGTATACAGCCCGTATAGGAACCCTAATCTTATAGAACCCTTTACGGATCCCCTCAAAGGAACACTACTATTATACTCAATAAGGCCCCGATAGTGTATAACCCTACTATAGAGGAACCCTTTAAAGGAACCCTATTCTAAGTATTAAGACCCCTACTTGGAGGGTCGGGGGACTTAGTAAGTAATTAGGTAGTAAGTAGACTTATAAGTACCCTAAAAGGGGGCCTAATTGGGGTTATGGTACTTATAAGTCCCTAAAATATCCAGTTACTAAGTCCCCCGACCCTCCGAGTAGAGTATGGCTTGGAGATTCCAACTTTCCTCGCTATTCCAGGCGGGGGCCTGCAGGTGAATGCGCAGCACTCAGAGATCCCAATATTCCTTAATTAAGGAATATGCCTAGGGTTCCTTTAAAAGGAGCCTAAAAGGATCTATAGGGATTAGGGTTTCCGATACACCTTAATTAGGGAACAGGCCTTAAATTAGGGGCCTTATGGTTTAAGGTATACTCCTTAATTAAGGGGTATTGGGATCTGTGGGCAGTATATACAGTGCGACGCGGTACGACGAGGACAGCTGCCAAAACAGCAACCATCCACACCCATCAACCCTGAACACCAAAACACTTGCACCCGTATCTTAGACTCGACTACAACGGAACGATTTAGGACCCTACCAAGGAATAATGATCCAAAATCGTTGCGCAAACCTGAAACCAGGGCCCCCGGCGTTGTCAGCCTGCATCCCAGGCGGTGCAGACGCACAACGCCGGAGGGCACATCGTACCACTTCGTCCTGGAGTAAGCAAGGGCTTATACCTAGAACAGTTCTGTAAGTGTTACTACGGTTTAGCACAGGGGCCTTAATCAGCCACTTAGGGTCTGGGTGTAGGCTCTGGCATCGTTATAACGGAACACGAAGAAACAGCAGTGGCAGCTCTTTAAGCCAGTAAATTAGATTTGGGTTTCGGAGTACAGCTTGTCTGGAACACTCAGCCGTTTTAAAGTCATGCCTCATGTTTCCCGACCGCCCCCCGAAACACTGATGAGCCATACGCACGCACAAACACACACACACACACACACACACACACACACACACACGAGACTCTATGCCCAATGCCCTATTGACCTGGAACACGAGAAAGTACGCATCTTAACAAGTAAATAGAGCATGGTTGGATTATTTGGCAGAGAAAGGAAAGGGACTAATCGAGGACGCTCTTACTGCTTGTTCAGACCCCTATATTAGCCCAGGCATCCCCAATGGCACTTCACGTTTCCTCAGGCTCATCCAGCTCGAGGAATGTGTTCTTCACCTGAAGCGCGATCTTACTTGCCTCCTACATACCCGCATAGCATCTCTCTCTTCATAAATAGGATAGGGCTGTGGGATCTTGTATGCTATGTTTTTGCAACGGACTCCCAAGTCCCCAATAAGCTGTGCCCTTTTGCAGGGTTGATGCCAAAAATTTCAGCATCTCGGTGCGCAGAACTCCCGCTTTGGGCTTGGGCGCCACAAACAATCCCCGAAGCACATGCACACTCGACGATGAAGACCCCTAGGCTGAACCCGAATTTGAGCAACATCCGTCTAGACTTCTTTCGCAACAGGGACCCTTGGGGGGAGGGGGAGGGGGGTTATAGACCTTATTAAGTCCATATTATAGGTATCAAGGCCCCCTGTTTAGTGTCCGATTTCCAGGTTAATGTAGGAACCTGCTTCAGAAACCGTGGCCCTGTAACCCCAATATATTAGGATCCACATTAAGAACCCTAACAAAGGCCCAAGGTTTCTTAATCAGGTTCCTACATTATGCTGCAAACATGAATCTCGCAGCTCCTGTACTTGGAGGATCTTGGGACTTAGCAAGTAAGGTTATAAATACCTTTTTAATTGGGGTTATAAATAGTTACAAATATAGTTGCCTTACTTGTAACCCCACGTACCAAGTCCCATGAGCCTCCAAGTAGTTCAGTTTTTACCCTCAGCCAGCCGGAAAACAAACATCATCATATACATTGGGCATACAGTAACAGTCTATAATAGGCCCACTACTAAGGTCCCAATATCTTTGTATTTCAATATTTATCCAACTGTTACTGAGTGGGGGCAGTACCCAATACATACAACCTCTCAGGACAGCCAGTTCCGAGAGAAGCCGAACTGGAAAAGACACTTCAAACCGACGTCCACGCCTACAGAAGCGACCGAACCTGTTAAAACGCAGTGCCTGCCTTAGTCACATAGGTAGGAATGGCAGCGGCGCGGGCGCCGGCAGCAGTAGACACTGGCAGTAGCATGGGACGTTCGAGTGAACCCTCTGCAAGACTTGCAATCCAGAGCGCACAACTCAGCCTCCAAACCCCGAGCCTTAAACCCAGCCTACACACTTCGAAAGAACCCCGGATGCTAAGCTCTACTTTGGACCTAATCTCTCAGGCGGCTGTCAGGTTGGAACCTCCTTGTAGTTCAAGTGGGGGTGCATGGCTCAGAATCGTATATGTTCAAGGTCTAGCGAAGGACAAATGTCCAACTGGAAAAACTTGGGGGTTCTACATATCAGGAGGAGTGTCTCGGGTGTGATGTCAACTTTAACCTGGAAACATTGAAACCCCACACACATGTAGACATGCTGTTTGTTCCTCATGATTTGCACAGGGTTTGGGCGAGGGGCATCACTAGTACAAGTAAGTACGAGGGTATGCGTGCAACTGTGGCCTACTTTACATTCCTCCCGTGTAACTCGTTTACGTTCCTCCCATGAGGCCGAAACCCTGAACCGTCAACTACAAATATTGCAGCACTGCACCTCCTAAACCTCACAATTCGGGACCGTGAATCTGTAGTAAGTTTTGGCTTGCGGCTTGGGGGTTGTGGCTTGGATTTTCGGGCTTTGAGGTGTAGGTAATGTAGGGGCCTTAATGATTAGAATAGGGTTTTTGGGCCCATTATACTATAACTATAATAAGGAACCCCCAAAATAGTACAGGTAATTATTTAATTATTAAGGCACCTACAGTAGGCTTCCACGGCTTTGGGATATTTTTGGTCCGATGCATAGGTTTTAGAGTGAAAGGCGGTGGTTAGCTAGATGGACAGATAAATAGGCGGATAGACGGATAACTTGATAGACAGACAGACACGCAGACAGACAAATAGGCGGATATATGTAGATATGGATACAGATATACATATATGTGTAAAGAGATGATACAGGATACAGCTATAGATATGTAGATATGGATATGCAGTAATGTAGATTCAGATATACATATTTTCAAAAAATAAATATAGATGTAGATTTAGAAATAGATGCAGATGTAGATGTGTGTAGAGGTTGGGGTAGAGCTAGATATAGAGATAGGTGTAGCCATAGATACAGATACTGATACCGGCACAGACATGGATATAGGTATTGTTATAGATTTTGATTTGGATGCGGATAGAGATATGGATACAAACACAAAAAAGCACAGACAGACAGACAGACAAATTTAGGCACGTACACATTCGTAGACACATATTTTGATGCTTTCTGCCCAAGGAGCTCATCATTGCGGAAAGTGGAGGTTGAGGAAGAGGCACAGGAGCTGCGTGGATCAAAAACTTGGACCCCAAGCTGCGGACATCCATGGTTCAATAAAGGTACATTGAATTCCTGCCGGCGTCTTGGGTTTAGGCTCAGGGTCTGGGGCCTAGGGTTTAGGGCCAACCAGTGGAATCTGATCCACAACCTGACACAACACTTCCCAACCGGTTGGCCTTAGATTTCCGCGTGGGGCATTTAACAAGCTACTATGCTCCGAGTCAAAGGAACGTGTCAACCATGCAACCACAGCCCGGGTTAAGCATCAGCTCTCTCCCTTCGACGCCTGAGGCTCCAAGAGGCGAACCCCAACTTGCAGTGGCGGAACTCTGGGGGTTGATTCTGTGTGGTACGGTTGATGGTATAAAACCTGCATTATCCATAATACGGAGTATACCGTAACTCCCATACTTTAGGGTCCTTAGGGTAATGCAGAATTTATATCATCAACCGTATGTTATACTACTATAACATTAAGCCCTTTCGCAACAGGCTTCGTACTTCGCCTGGAAGCACTGGAGAGGGTCTCTTGGGGCTGTCACATATACAAAGTCGGCTTAGGGCTTAGGGTTTCGGGGTTTGGAGGTTTAGGGTTTCGGGGTTTAGGGTTGGGGGTTTAGTTTAGGGGTTACGGAATTACAAAGTCGGTTTAAGGTTTAGGGGTTTAGGGTTTTGGGTTGAGGGTTTTGGAGAAGAATCCACCAGAACGAGACGCTTTAAGACCCCTCGCGAAATGGAATCGGCGGGGTTGCCTACGAAGCTCTTGCGATTCCCTTTTTTAATGGGGGCTCGGCAGGGTTGGCTCAGGCTGTAATATTCTTCAACCCTCAACTCCTTAATCCCTACACCCCTTAACCCGAAACCATCTAACAAACACTTGGACAACCGGAGAGACTTCCAGCCGTCCCACACTGTTTAGGGTTCTTAAGGTTTAGGACTTGCGGTATGGGTTGAGGGTTTGGGGTTCAGGGTTTTCGGATCTAGGATGGGCAAATTGAGGGTCTACGGAATAGCCTCTATGATTTTGTTCAGCGTTCAGCGTGAGGGCCAACAGTCCGAGAGATTCTGACATGCGACCCCTAAGCCCTAAAGCCAAAACCCCTAAACCCCAAACCCCTTTTGCATCCAGGCCTCCTGTGGTGTTGCCCCAAACCCCTAAACCCGTAAACTCTAAATCCTAAAACCCCTAAGCCCTACACCCTAGACCCTAAACCCTAATTGGGAACTACGGAAGCTTCAGAAGATGAAGCGACCCCGGCCAAGAAAGGCTGAGAAGTAGGCTCCTTTTTAAGGTAAGGGGTTTAGGAGTTTAGGGATTTGGCGGACCCTGGAAAGCCTGTGCAACACATGTTCCTTTGTTACGAATGGTGAGATGAAACCCAAAACCGGGTGCTTACCGCGTTTGATCTCAAGGTTTCGTGCCTACCTCGGGCTTACACGGATCCTCAACTCCGAGCACCAACAGCAAACACGACAGCCTGAATCATGTTACTCTCCAAAAAGCCAGGACCCTCGCACAACCAGACCCCTAAACCACACCTCGGCCTGAACACTAAATCCTCATAACAGACCTTATAGTAGCCCTTATAGACCCCTTTAAAGGAACCCTATTCTGACTATTAAGGCTCTTTTTAGGTTTCCTCAAGAGTTTGGAGCTTAGAGTTTCAGGGTTCCTCTAAGGGCTTCCCCCAAAACCCCAAACCCTAAATCCTAAACCCAAAACCCTAAATCCTAAACCCTAAATCCTAAACCCCAAACCCGAAATCCTAAACCCGAAACCCGAAATCCTAAACCCTAAACCTTAAATCCTAAACCTTACATAAAACTTAAATCCTAAATGCTAAACCCTGAATCCTAAACCCTATATATATACCAAACCCGACTCTAGGGGCCCAAGTTGGTCCTTCAAGCGCTGCTCCAGGTAGCCCTCGGAAGCCTGGACAATCCAGCCTCAGCACTCCGACGGTCGCCTCATGCTAGAATATAGGGGTCCCAAGAAAGGGTGTATATCCCAATCGCATGGGGCTTCATCATATGAGGGGCTTATGTGGGATATCCCTATAGTCGGTGCTGTGGTGAGTTGCGTTCTTCTTTTTGGTATCCGTTAACCTCTGGTCAGATAATGCTTGACTGCTAGCTATGAAGGAACCGACCTTGCACCCAGCATATGGGTAGTTGTCCAAATTATGGTACCTCTTTGGCACTCTAAATATTACGTGCCGTGTTGTATTAGTGACCCAAAAAGGGACCATTACTTTGTCAATCACCCATATCGTGAAGCCTTGCTTTCTGTAGAGGGGCGCATGATATGTCGCTGAAACCTCTGGGTGCTGCTGCATCGCTCGGGACTACCTTCTGAAGTCGCTGGAGCTACGTAATGTAAGGGGCCTTCACAATTTGAATAGGGTTTTAAGTTTTGGGGCCTCTTGTTATAAGTATAGTATAGTCTAATATACCCCTAACCCTATTCCAATTATCAAGGCCCTTATTTACGATTTAAGGGTTCAGGGCTTGGGGGATTTACGGTTTAGTTCTAACCGCAACCTATAACACTGAATTCTTGAACCCTACACCCTTGAGCGCGAAAGTCTTAACCTCATACTGAGCTGACCGGACACCTTTGCCAAAGAGTGCTAAACCTCCAGACCTTAAATCCTCAAACCCTAAACCCCTAACCTGAACGGCTACGTGTAAACCCCCAAAGACCCGAAACTCCGAAGCCTTATACCCCTAAACCTTAAACTCTCCTCAGTCCTGAGCTCCAAATCTCCGACGCGAGTTTCGCACTTTGAGGGAGGGGTTGGCTTCGCAATATTCTGATAAGGGTACGTTACGGTTGGTCTATGGGTTTACCATGGGGGTTCCTATAAGGGTACCCTAAGCGCCATAGAGAAGCACCATAAAGGCTTCTGTAAGTACCATCAGCTTCAAGCCGTAGCTTTTTGAGACGGAGGTCGCTTCTCGTGTTCATGTGGTGGCAGCAACAGCTCCCCCAAGCTCGATCTGGCACCTAGATCAAGGAAGCTGTGTGCACCATCGAAGCCTTAACATGGGATTCTCATTTGTAATATCATGGGTACCTTACTAGAGGTTCTTATCGTAAGGATCCTGATATTTGGGCTTTGTTCTGGGGTACCGTATGTTCCAAAGCCACAGCACCCTGCATGCTTTTTGACACCTTCGCGCGGTCTTGTTTTGAGTGAATAGAGCATCCTCTCCATGGCACTCGCCCGATCCAAACACCCCTATCATAGACCTTACAGTTGGCATTCCCCTGAAGTAGCACCCCTATAGTAGCCTTGTAGTAGCTCTTGTCGTCGCCCTTTCACCTAACTCAAGGTCTGTCTGGTTTAGGAGTTGGGGCCTTGGCTCTACCCTACAATGCCGTGACATGGGTACTTATAATACTGGGGTCTTACTCAACAAGTCCAACAGGGCCTTGACGCATACTAGAGTACAGTCACGCTGAGGAACCCTGAAGACTGGTAGTACTACTCTATATTAAAGGTCTTGCTGTGGTGGTCATCACCAAAAATCTTAAGACCATCGTATACTAAGTTAGGAGTTAGTAGTTGTAGTTATAGTAGCAGCGGTAGTAGGAGCTGAAGTAGTACTAGTAGGAGGAGTAGTAGTAGTAGCAGCAGCAGCAGCAGCAGCCAGAGTAGTAGGAGTAGTAGTAGTAGTAGTAGTAGTAGTAGTAGTAGTAGGAGGAGGAGGAGGAGGAGGAGGAGCAGTAGTAGTAGTAGTAGTAGTAGGAGATGCAGCAGCAGCAGGCGTAGCAGTGGTACTAATAGAAGTCATCGGCGTAGTAGTCCAGCAGCAGCAGCGGCATTACAGATATGCCTGCCTGAGCTCTGCACGGATATTATGTTGATGGAACTGAAACTGGCTCTGACATGCTCATATCCATCCTACTCTTGCCGTTTCGAATAGAACTCCTTGGTCAAACCTACCGGTTTAACTGGGCTTAGGGTGACCAGGGCAATTAAGGGTGTAGGGTTTAGGAGTGAAGAGTTATGAAGTTTAGGGTCTACGAATTCTAGTAATTTTAAAAGTTGTCTAAAGGTTACGGAGTTTGGGCAGTTAGGGGGCGTAGCTGCGCTTTTGGTTTTCGGGATCAAGCACCATAAACCCGGAACTGTGCACCCGAAAACCCCTGCATGGAGACGTCTCGTTACGCCGCAGGCATAGCAATCCTTGCTCTCACCAGCCTCGGAGACGGTATGGCGAGTCAGGGGTGCCCTTTTCAGACAACTTCATAATAATGACAATAAAGTACTATAACAAGAACAATAATAATGACAATGGTAATATAAGGCTCCGATTGTACGGTCTAGATGTGTCGGTGCTGGCGTTAAACCAGTTTGGATATCGGAAAACGGGTGTTTCTTTTCGGGCATGCCACGTCCGGTGATGGGTCAAACATGGGGCTCAAGGTTGGTCTAGTGGTTACTATAAGGGACCTCCAAGTGTTCACAGTGCTGTGTCGTCGGGGCTTTAGTACAGGAGCCTTAACCATTTTAATAGGAGGTTGGTGTATGTCTGAATATACCTCTAGTTAGATAAGGAACTTTTCAAACAAGTAAAACCTATTCCAAATACTAAGCCGGTCTCCATTCAGTTTAAACACTGCAACATGACAAAGCTTTTTGCCGTTATATCGAAGGCTTCTGAATGGTCCCACTAACAAAACTGATGAGAAGAAGAATGATAGAATCTTGGAGCGTCAGCATAGCCCAAAACCTTATGTACTATGGTCTTGGGGCCCCAGAACCCATGAAACACAAGTCTTCTTATATATATATATATGTCTTTATCCGCACACGTCATGCTGTGTAATCAAGCTTTCCAGGCTTTACGTTGCTGGCCTGTCACCTTTGGCTGTCGACCTGCCGTACAAGTTTCTACACAAGAGCACGTACGCAAACCTAGATGCTACTATGTCCAAGAGCCTCCACAAACCCGACAAGCTGCCCATGCCACCCATGCCGCCCATCGGGCCCATGGGCGGGTAGCCACCTGCTTGGAGGCCCTTTTGACTTAGTAAGTAGGGTTAGTAATGTGGGTTATGGGGATTATAATAGGGTTTCTAGGGGGTACTAAGTAGACTTACTAAGTCAACAGGGCCTCCAAGTGGGAATTCGGGGCGGTGCCAGAGTTGATGATCACATGAATCCCATGGGCGATACTGTAACTGGGGCTAGTAAAACAGGTTCTAGAAACTATCCAAGAAGCTATAGTTCTAGAGGATACTCGGTAGACTTACTCAGTCACGACAGCTTCGCAGCCTAAGGCCGCAGTACCTGAATGCTAAAACATACGACCTGCTTGGGATTCCCGAAGTGCCTCCTTCTTTGGGGGGGGCCGGGTAGGACTTTCTAAGCCATCAACTCTTGAGAAGCCTTCAGCACCCTCTGCAACACCCAGAGCCCAGTGCTCGAAGCCTTAAGACCACCTGGGGGTTTCCGAAAATAGAGAACCCTAATATAGCACCCGAAATAGTAGGATCCTTATTCTAAGGACCCCAAAACAAGGTACACCCAATTTTCGGGAATGCTGAACCCTTGTCGAACCCTCTAACCCTTGTAGTACCCTGATAGCAAGCCCTTTAAAGGAACCCTTTAAGGTTATGTCCCTATATACACCCTAAACCCTTTCTAGAACCCTTATAGAACCCCGTAAGTATCCCTTGAAAGGTACCCCTAACTTTCGGAAAACTCTCAACCCTGGTACCCATATAGTATCCTTATACTAAGCCCTTTAAAGGAACCCCTAAGGTACCCCTAACTTTCGGAAACAATAATCCCTTGTAGAACCCTTTAAAGGAACCCTTATAGTACCCGTATAGTAAGCCCTTTAAAGGAACCCTTTAAGGTACCTCTAATTGATCTATGTCTCTATATAAACCCTAAACCCTTTCTAGAACCCCGTAAGTATCCCTTGAAAGGTACCCCTAACTTTCGGAAAACTCTCAACCCTGGTACCCATATAGTATCCTTATACTAAGCCCTTTAAAGGAACCCCTAAGGTACCCCTAACTTTCGGAAACAATAATCCCTTGTAGAACCCTTTAAAGGAACCCTTATAGTACCCGTATAGTAAGCCCTTTAAAGGAACCCTTTAAGGTACCTCTAATTGATCTATGTCTCTATATAAACCCTAAACCCTTTCTAGAACCCCGTAAGTATCCCTTGAAAGGTACCCCTAACTTTCGGAAAACTCTCAACCCTGGTACCCATATAGTATCCTTATACTAAGCCCTTTAAAGGAACCCCTAAGGTACCCCTAACTTTCGGAAACTCTAATCCCTTGTAGAACCCTTTAAAGGAACCCTTATAGCACCCTTATAGTAAGCCCTTTAAAGGAACCTTTAAGGTACCCCTAATGGATCTATGTCCCTATATAAACCCTAAACCCTTTCTAGAACTCTTATAGAACCCCGTAAGGATCCCTTGAAAGGTACCCCTACCTTTCGGAAAACTCTAAACCCTGGTACCCATATAGTATCCTTATAGTAACCCTTTAAAGGAACCCCTAAAGTACCCCTATAACTTTCGAAGCTTCCCCGGACCTGGCCTTTGCCGCCGCCCCAGGCGGGAGGCCCGCCGAAGTTCGTGGGCGCCCAGTCCCAGCCAGCGCCTTTCCCTGCAAAGCCGGCTTAGGGGTTTGGGGATTAAGGGGTTTTAGGGATTAAGGGGTTTAGGGTTTAGGGGTTTGGGGTTTAGGGGGGTGGGGTTTAAGGGTTTGGAGTTTAGGGGTTTGGGATTTAGGGTTAGGGGTTTGGGGTTTACGGGCTGAGGGTTTAGGGGTTTAGGGTTTGGGGTTTGGGGTTTAGGGGCTGAGGGTTTAGGGGTTTAGGGTTTGGGGTTTGGGGTTTAGGGGCTGAGGGTTTAGGGGTTTAGGGTTTAGGGTTTGGGGTTTAGGGGCTGAGGGTTTAGGGGTTTAGGGTTTAGGGTTTGGGGTTTTGGGGTTTGGGGTTTAGGGTTTGGGCTTTGGGGTTTAGGCTTTAGGGGTTTAGGGTTTATAGGGTTTTTTGGTTTAGGGCTTATTTGGTAGGGTTTAGGGCGACGCTCTCGCAACTCGGACGCAGCCAGACGAGGTTCTTGGTGCGCGATCGGACTACGACAGCAGATTGACCGAGTCAGGCAAACTGAAAGACCTGCAACAAAGGTTAAGGCCACGGAGGGCGGGTTTAGGATTTAGGCGTCTAGGGATTTAGGAATTAGGGTTTAATTATAGGGTCAAGGGTTTAGGGCGGCTTTATTGGGTTTATAGGGCTTAGGAAGCTGGACTTGTGGGGTTTAGGATGTACCCTAAACCCTGAGCCACTAGAACCTCAATATGCGTTCTGTTCCGTTTAGGCGATGGACTTGGGGAAATACACAACACACATGCAGTTGCACGTGCAGGAAACAAATGACCCTGAGATGACCTAAGGGTGGCGTGACTTCTTGTTGCTCTCGTACTGGTCACTGTAAGCCGCAAACCATGAACCCAAATTACGTATTGCGTTCATGTAGTTGCCGGTACTCTTTCACATTCTTAGAACCTTATGTTATAGTAAAGATGTGTTAGATTAGCCCTCCCAGGCTATATAGACCCTACCTTAAGCCGGAATAACCTACCTTTTTAAGGATTTATATAAGGAAATCATAATAAGGAACCCTAAAAAGGTAGGTCATTCCGGCTTAAGGTACACCCTAGCATCAAACCCTGCCGCTGCCGCCTCCCGCAGCCCCGGGTCCGCGCACGAAGCCGGGGCGCGCCGCCTTGGGCTTTTCTTTTGACTTACCCTACGGATTAAAGGAGTTTAGGGTTTAGGGCTCTTAGGCCCAAAGACCATACTATATAAGGCTTTTGGGCTATTTTGATCCCTAGGGTTAGAGCTCAAACGCAAGGCTTGAGGGATTTAGGGTTTCGCGTGTTTGTCCCACCTGCCCAGCTGACGGTTTAGAGTTTAGATGCGGCTTGGGGTTTAGGGCTTTGGGTTTGGGCCCTTGCAACTCGGAAGGACCTCCGAACAAGGCCGGTGGGGGTCGGTGGTGACAGTTACCTGGAACTGTTGACACTCACACTCGCATTAGGGTTTAGGGGTAAAGGTTTAGGGTCTAGGCAAGGTCTGCAGAATTGGGGTTTTGGGGCCTTATGCATCGTCTAGGGCATGCTTTTTGAAATTAGGGAAGTCTGATAGGGGTTAGAAGTGAGACTAAGTAGACGGACCAGGTCAAGCGAAACTGAAATTACGACCTGTTTGGGTCTCAATGGTTTCATGTCAACTTACAGCTGAGTTTTGTTCTTGGTTTTGGACGATGTAAACGGAAGTCTCGTCCGAGCTGCTGAAGCTCCGGAGGCTGTGCCGGTGTTAGGGGTAAAGGGACGCAGCCGAAGTCAAAATTCGCAAATACCCCATTTGTTACATATATATATAATTAGTCCTAAGTTATAGCATGTTAATTCGTATATAGACTTCATAAACAAACGTACATGCAAAGCTGTTCCCCACATAAAGGCATAAGAGTTTCGGGCTCAAGAGGTGGGGCTTGGCCCTGAAGAATTCAGGGTCCAGGCTCATGATGGCAGAAACCCTCCAAGCTCAATAATCCAGAATCCAAGGCAGCGCACATAAAAGCGCTGTAGACCCTAGACTCTACGCCCTGAACCATCAAAACTAGAAAGGCTAGTGTTTTAAATGCTTTGCGGGTCCTAAGACCTAAACCCCTAAACCCTCGACCTCAAAAGCAACGAAACACCAAAAGCCCTAAACCGTCTCAGGTCCAGAGTTTGATCATAGTCATAAATCCTCTACCCGTAGCGGCAGAACCTGCCCTCGGCCCTTTTGCCTAAACCCGTCCTCCAAAATCCTTTGAACCTGGACTGTGGCATTACACATCCTGAATATCCGAAACCTTTTGCTGCAGGCTTCTGTCGCACGCAACAGCTGTCGCCGCGAAACCCTGAACCCAAAACAGAAACACCGAAAATCTAATGTAGGGGCCTCAATAGTTAGAATGGGGTTTTGGAGCCCATTATATAATTTGTATAATCAGGAACCCACAAGATAACGTATTAAAAATCAGAAACCCCCCAAAATAGTATAGGTAGTTAAGGCCCCTATATTAAACAGCCGAGCAGCAACCGGCGCAGGACCCACACCAGGCCAAGCCGCTTGCGTAGCCCAGGCCTGCTTCTCAGGTTTTCCGCGTAATATGGGACTTTCCGAAAATGTGGAACCCCAATGTAGCACCCTGAAAAGTAGAATCCTTGTCGACATAAGGACCCCCCAAAATAAGGTACCCCTAATTTTCGGAAACTCCCACATAGGCGTCTTCTCTTCATGCTTAGAACGGGCCAGTAGACTCCTTTAACCGGTATTTTTTTGCCGAAAAGCGCTGACGATTTTGCAAATGCTTCTGTAAGAGTTTTATGAAGGCGCCTTGATGATTAGAGACGCTGTGCGATGCAGATTGCAAACTGAGACCTACTTTTTGCACTCGCGCTCGGGAGGCTCAGGCGAGGTTTGTGAGCAAAACTGACACTTACTCACGTGCAAAGGGTATCAGGGGGTACAGGATGGGTATACATTATGCAGGCGGCTAAACCCCAAACCCAAAGCCCTAAACCCTAGTAGGGCGGCATGTAGCGTCTGGTGCGAACTCTTCTGAGTGTGAGGCTTCAGGGATTCGGGTTCACCCGCGCCCCAGAACAACTGAAACCCGACTCAAAAACTCATGATCAAGGGTTACTATAGGGGCCTTAATAATTAGAATAGGGTTTTGGAGGGCAATATGCCATAATTATAATCAGGAGCCCCCAAAATAGTATAGGTAATATTCAAGCCCACACATTAAGGGTTTAGTATTTAGGGGGGCCAGGGTTGAGGGGGTAAGGTTTAGAGATGAAAGCCGAAGCCTATAAACCCCAGCATTGCTGGTGTGCGTTTTCGTGAATCCAAAATGGGTTCTCTCAGGTGCTGCCCCTTCGTCCAGGATCCCCACACCCTACTTAAAGGATCATGGGACTCAGGAAATAAAGTTTTGATAAGGTAAATATACTTCTAACCCCAGTCAAGGTACTTATAACCTTACTTGCTAAGTCCCTTGATCCTGACACCCTAAGCCAGCAAAATCCTGGCCTTTGGTGCCGCCTTGGCCGCCCAAGGAGACCTCAGTCGAGGCACCACAAGGGGGTTTCCGAAAATAGGGGACCCTCATATCGTACCCTACCCCTAATTTTGGGAAACTCCCACAACCCAAATCCCCAACACTTCGTTCTCGAGACGCTGGCAAACACGAAAAGGCCTCAAAGCCCAAGCCTAAGGGTTGCTGCTGATAGGGCTTATAGGGCCTGTACTCAGAGATCCCAATATCCTTTAATTAGGGAATATACCTTAAATTATAGGGGCCTTAATATGATGGTTTAAGGTATATTCCTTAGTTCAGGGGTAGTGGGATCTCTGGGTAACCATGTTAGGGCTTACCTGGACCCTGAAGAACCTACCTTTTAGGGTTCCGTATTATGACTTCCTTATATACGTCCTTAAGAAGGTAGGTTATTTGGGGTCAAGGTAGGGCTTATAACCATGTTCAAAGTTTCAGGTTCGGTCTGTCATGCCTGGCACATTACACTTTCTGTACAGCTTCTGCTCTTTGGTTGCTGTTGCCGCAAGCGAAAAGAGGCTGCTATGCTTCTTCTGAACTTCAGTACCTTCACAGTCTGTTTCTGTGAAAACGGCAAGCTAACACAGTGGCGATGATCGCCAAGACGAGGAGATGATAGTGAAGCTGGCGATGATGATGTCATGGTGCTCAACCGTGGCCAGCGAGCCGGATTTAGCGACAGTGCGGCCAAGAAGCGGCTGATTCATCTGCTGCTGCGCCAACACGGACAGCTTTAGCCGAATACTTTCCTAGGAAAACAAAACACGGATGTGGAAACCTAGGGCCCATTGAACTGGCAGGCAAGCTTTGCATGGCGCTCACAGCAAATGTAGGGCAGAAAGCACGAGACAAGGTTTGGATGCATGACGTTTTCAACACATACAACAACTATCAGGTTTCGGCCGGGACAGTTAGAATATCGCCTTGAGGTGCGTTATGCGACAATGATAGTGAGGAACCCTGCGGGACAATGCTGGCAAAATTCCGACCCCCTATATTATGTCAGCAGGAATGTGAAATACTGAGACTCCTGTATCAGAGCCTCATGTGCGTCGAAACTAACTGGAACAGATTCTTGAGCCTGCCATTACAGGAACCCAAAACGTGGACCCTAAACTCAAAGCCGCCACGACCGACTCTGCAACATATTTCGCCTTAATTAAATCTGACCCACCGGTACACTGTGTCCATGAAACCCTAGTCATCTGCGCCATAGTGACGTTCCCGGAAAGTCCCTGAATCGGTCGACTATGTCATACTCCGAAGTCTATTCTGGGGACTCAGACCCCGGCGTAGAACCCTTGTAGAAGCCTCAAACAAGCCTGAACAAAACTCTGCGATCCTAGAAGTTGTCCACAACTCCTTTGAAGATCCTTCACCCCATAACAACCCTCCAGCATATCATCTGAGGGGACCCTTCGGCTAATAAAGCCTACACCCCACCCTCTGCAACCCGGCGTCGTCGCCGGCATCGATTAATCGTTGCCTTTCTCGTCGATCCTGTTCAGCGGCAGGATATCCCAAACCCAAAAGCCGCGACAAGTTTAGAGTTTGGGGTTCAGGGTGTTTTGCCTCCCGAATTGCTAGGTCTAGCGCGCTGTGTCGCTGCCTGGATGGCGGTTACCAGGTTTGCCGCCGCACAGCAGTTCAGGGTTTGGGGCATTGCGCTTGGGACAACTACCCAGACTATATAGTAGCTCCTTTATGGGATTCCCTTAAACTTAAAGGATTCTAAATATGAGACCCAAAAAGGAACCACTATGGAGCCTTAGGGTGCCCCACCCCGACGGCGTCTGTTGAATTCCATGCGCCCTCGAGCCTTCATACGCAAAGGAGATGCCGGTTGCTTGAATCCAAAGTTCTGGGGTTGAGGGTGTATATAAGTGCCAGGGATGGAGAGAAGAGATACAGACAAAGAGAGAGAGAGAGAGAGAGGGTTCAGAGTTTAGGGTTTAGGGTTCAGAGTTTGGGGGGTTTAGGGGCTCGTGACTCCAGACGAATACCTGGAGCGGCTGTCGATGGAATTCGGCTTCAGGCTTCTGGGTTCAGGGGCCTACGCTTGAAACCTACCCCCCCAAAATTGGAGCATAGCACTAAAATGCACAAGATATGGCAAAACAAGCTACAGTGTAAGGTTTAGGGCTCAGGCATCAGGGCTTAAAGAAGCTACATCATAAGGCCACAGCAGTACTGATTCCTCAAGCTGACCCTATTAGTCGCTGTGTAGGGACATGCTGTCCTCGAAAGCCTTGCGGGGTTTAGGGTTTAGGGTTCAGGGTTTCGGGTTTAGGGTTCAGGGTTTTAGGGTTTAGGGGAGCGACAACCCCAAACCATCAGGCCAGACTTCCCAGCCCAGTTCAGCATCTACCGACACAACGTGGATGCGTCAATCCCCTATGAAAACTCTTGCGGTTGATGATATGAATCCTGCATTACCTTAAGGACCCTAAACAATGGGAATTACGGTATATTCCTTAATATGGGTAATGCAGGATTTATATCATCAACAGTAGTTTCGACTCCTAACCCCGCTCCCTGCTCGACATGTTCCAAGCTCCAAGTTCCCGCCTCTTCGGTGAGTCGGGCGAAGATGTCCTGTTCATGCGGATTACTTGTCCAGTATCCAAGGAGAACTAACAATTAACATTTGAGAACATGATGGAATTAGAGTACCCCAAGAAAGCTCCAGGCTTTCCACTCTCGTACTAAGACGGTGTTAGGTTATCGTGCTCTTGAGGTTCGGAGCCTAGGGCTGCGGGCTTTTATCACTTGCGGTTAAAGCGCTTGGGGGGATTCGGAAAGGTAACAACCCAAAATGCTGCCAGAATTGCAACTCTTAAACCGAAAACGGTCAAGGGCCTGGGCCTGCGCTTGTCTCAGACCGCAAAAAGCCTGTAAAGTCCCGCTTACATGTGGGCGTCCGCTGGCAAGTGCCACCCAGTCACAGCCGTGCAAAGGCATACAAAGTGCAAGCGATCAGAGACAGATAGGCAAACAGGCATGTGCTAATGTACGTTTGTATGGACATGTACCCACGTATTACCTTCCGTACATTGCCTTGTTAACCTAACTCTGGCAAGTGTCTATAAATTTCTTTCCGCCTCTTTCTGTCTCTGTCCGTCTTGTCTCTCTGTCTGTCGCTCTGTCTGTTTCCGTCTGTCTCAGTCGGCGTCTGTCTGTCTGTCTGTCTTGGTCTGTCTGCGTCTGTCTCAGTCTGAGCCTATCTCGTCACGTCGCTGAATCTCTGTCTGTGTCTGTCCGTGTCAGTCTTACTCAGTCTCCATTTATGCGTCCTTTCATGTGGCTGCATGGATGCTCCGAACAAGCAGCTGGACAAACGTAAAGTAGCATGAGTATGAGCATCAGGCGAGCGTGGCAAAAGAACGAAGCTGTGATGAAAATCGAATGCAATACAATGCATAACCAAACTTGTAGAGTACAAGACGAACCAGAACTCACGTACTAACATTCAGAGACCTGAAGCACACGCAAATGAAGTCTTTTGAACTAGGAAGTTGTGAATCATGCCTGCGCTGTGAGATAACACACCGGACATTGCATGTCAGATGAAGCACACATGCCCAGACGCCTTACAGATTCATGCTGCATCCCAACCGCCGCTCCTTCTAAAAGTCTTCGCTGTCTGTTGTGCTACTAAGGGTGATGACGGCCATTTTGGATCTAGTCGTTCCGTGGACGTGAGCTCTACAAGCCCCTGGAGCACTAGAACCCTTGCAAAACTTCCAACGCCGACAAAAGCTCTAAACATCAAATCCTAAACGCTAGAACCCTTTTTTTGCATCCAGGCCTCTAGCGTTAAAGCCCCGCTAGAGCCCTTACAGCCAGGGACCAACAAAACTCAACAAAAGCCTCGAGGACTGATCCCCCAAGCTTTCCTGATTCCTTTCCGGCCCAGAAGCAAAGTGCCCCAGCCTAGAAAGTGGTGCTGCTACATATACAGACATACTTGGACCCTGAAGAACCTACCTGTTCTAGAGCCTTGTAGAGTTTCCTTGTAAATCCTTGGAAAGATAGGATATGCATACCGTGTCAGGCCCCTTTAACGGTACGGCACCCTTATAAAAAATACCCTCACAGGCGGCCCTAGTTTAGAGAATTACACCCCCAATCCGGGAGTCTTCATAACTAGAATACGGCTGTGGTGTCCATTTTTCTTACAATAAAACATAGTATACGGTAATTATTAAAGCCCCCTCTCCTACCCCAAAAGGCCGGCCTGGTTGATGAGCTGTTCTTCGGTGAGGGTCGGTCGGAGGATGCCTGTGCTCGGGGCTGGACCGAGGCCTCGGGCCGTAAAGGTAACTCCAGACTAGACCCCAGAGTAAGCTAGGAATAAAAAGGGTGCCATTTTTGGGTTTATAGGGGCTCATAAGGGAACCTGAACCCTAAAAAAGGGAATAAGGGCCTACTCTAGGTCCTAGCAGAAAGTTGGAATATGGATTAATGGTAGGATCCCCTATAATTTACCTTGAAGGGGTTACGATAATGATATTCCAACTTTTCTGGCTTCTACTGTAAACCCTAAGTCACACTAAGCCTTACTCAAAGGGGAAAAGGAGGGACCCTTCATGGGGACCTCTGATTCATGATTTAGGACAACGCATGCAGAGTTTCGACACTCACAACTGGGACCAGCCGATCTATGAGGGTGGAGTATAGCACCATGGTGCAAACTGGGGCAGCACAACGGAGCAGCGTATCATGTTGGAGTTCTTGGTTGCTGTTCTAACTTGGCGTCCTACTCCTGTCATCACCTCCAGACATTCATGCTGTCTCCATCATGGCCATTGGCCCTCGTGCTCTTCCTGACCGTGCACGAAAGCTTGTGTTACGTATTTTCTTGCTAAGACGTAGTACATATAACGAACCTTTAGTACGGGTCTCGCAAGCTTCGTCTCTATGTTGCCATTGGCATGGCCACTAGCAGTCCTTCCTACACCCTACACCCTACACCCCAACCCTTAAACCGTAAACCATGGTCCCTATGCTCGAGAAATGTTGCTGCTCGAGCTGCCATTGTCCAATACCGTCACCACATCCTTGATCAGCTCCTTGCGAAGATTTTGGCAGAATCTCCGGGCCTGCCCTGTAGACCTTCGCAAAATGAGGAACCTCCCACCCTTCCTAAGCTTCCCACACGTGCTGCTGCCTAATATGAGGGCTTGAATACTGGGAGTAGCGCTGTGAGGTTATGCTCCCTACGGTATAATAACGGAAAGAAGGAGCCCTTCGGAGCAAATGTTAGGCTTCTATATTACAGTGCCAGCCAGTGGCACAAAGCTCGACGCTGTTGTTGGCACCGAAGTACTTCACGTTGAGCGGCTTTCTGAAGTATCCTGTGCTGCAACAGCATCTGAAGAAACACACACACACACATTTCCGTGGCAAAGCGATAGAAAGGTTCTGGTTAATGCTACGACAGCACAAATCCTCAGACTGCAATTCTAGGAACACAGAACAAACAAGTGTTTGTTTCAGACTCCACCCAGAGAGCCCAATGCCCCTTAATTACGGAATATGGCTTAATTCATAATGTGAAGACCTATATAATAATTTAATCCATATTCCTTAATTAAGTGTATTGGGCTCTCTGGGTTTGCGGGTTGCGGTCTTCTTTGCCAGGGTACTGTGCAAGTAGGTTTACGAGTAAGCTGGAGAGATTACAACCATCGAGAACCCCAGTCACGGTGATCATTAGCCTGCCATCTTCTACTTACTTTCTGAGTCCACTGATCTTCTAAAAGAAGGGCTGGGGCTGGGGTCTAGGCAGTAGAGCCTTGGGGTTCGCATGGCCCATGCTACATTCAGGGGGGGCAAAGCTCAGAGGTTGCTCCAAGTCCGGGTAAACCTCAACCGTGAAGTCCCATCGTCTACTCTACGATCCTGCTGAGGTTTGGGGCTTGTTTTAAAAAGAGGTTTCGGGTTGAGGGTATGGGGCGCCAGGGCTTCGGGTCGACGTTTGAAAACAGGTAGCTGTATCCCCAAAGCCCGCCACCCCTGCAAAACAAGACGCTTGAAGTGTGCAAAGCCTAGTAAACACCCGGTTCCTGAATCCGCGGAAACTCTCCTTAGGGTATACTTGGAGGCCCTTTTGACTTAGTAAGTAGGGTTAGTAAGGTGGGTTATGGGGATTATAATGGGGTTTCTAGGGGATACTAAGTAGACTTACTAAGTCAAAAGGGCCCAAAAGTAGGGACATGGTTTAGGCGGTTCCGGGCTTGCAGGCTTCAGATTCTTCAGGATTTAGGGTTGAAAGGCAGCCGCGCGGCGGTTGTAGTAGTAGGTGAGATGAGCCTCATGGACTCCCGGCCTGACGCCGGGACATGCTCCACAAGAGAGGGAGCCTAGGGTCTAAGTTGAGAAATGCCGGTGTGTTCGTTTTCGGGCATGAAGGGTATTGAACGAAAAAACGGAGAGCCTGCTATCGGTTTCCACTTGGCCGGGGTATTCGGAACACTGTCTCACACAGACCTACATGTCAAAACTCAAAACCCCGACGCCTTGAAACCCAAAATCCTTGCTGCCTTTGACTTGCGGAGGCCGGGTGATATTTAGGTTGGTGGCTCGAGTTTGGGAGTTATATAAGCGTGGTCGGGTTTTTAGCCATGTGTCTAGCTCCATGATTTTCGCTACAGAGAACACTGCAGAGTCAACATGCCATTCAAACCAAGACCCCGGTGCTCAAGAGCAGCGGGACAGCAAGCGCCAACACGACGCGGCTCACAAATTCAGCTAATACAGGGGCCTTCATAAAAAGAATTCTGTCCTTGGGGGGGGGGGGGGGCACACTTTCCTATAGCTATAGCTATAAGAAGGACACTCCCCCAAAAGAAATTACAGCATTGGTGATTATGTAAGCCCTTATGCCACTCAGCCCCCATGAAGCCCGCGAGTCTGGACCAAGAAGACCAATACTAAACCCTCCAACGATTATACACGGCGAAGCCACCTGTCCGGATCCACCACAGCCTGGTCGCTGCCGGAACGACTGGGGTCGATTTGTCTTCGAGCTTAGCCTTTCGGGGTTTAGGGATTTCGGTGTTTAGGGGTAGAGTTTAGGGCGTAGGGCTCTGGGTTCACGGCTGTATGGGAATTAACGCTTCGGAGTTTTCGGTTCCCGCAATCCAGGCTCGGATTGCGCTGTTCGGAGCTTCAGGGCTGCAGGCCTCAGGGGAACTTCAGGCGAAGGTTGTCGCCTGGAGGCTGACTGGCTCAGTGGGAGGTTCACGCCGGCTTGTGGTTGTGGTGGCTTGAGCCAAGCAAGGGGGATTCGGCGTGCTTTGGGTTGGGCGGAAGTCGACGATGATCCTCCGATGGAAAGGCCAGCCTGAAACCTACGCCCGCAACTCTGCAATGCAATCGCGGACCTTGCATTTTATTCGCCATGAGTTCATAAGCCCCAAACAAAAAGTTTACACTTTCAGTTTTATAGCGGGTAGTATTATCCCAAAATGTATAAAGTGTATCCACTCAGCTACTCAGGCATGAAGCATCTCTGTCCAAGCCCCCAAGCAGACACCCTCACGATCTTGAATGGGATCTACAAACGAACACCCAACCCAGGTCTCAAGAAGTGCGAAGCGCTCGGGGGTTGAACAAGGACCTAAGGACGTACCCTCAGCCCTAATGTGGTGGCCTTAATAGTTAGAATAGGGCTTTGGGGCCCATTATAGTATAATGTTAAGAACCAGCCCCGCAAAACGGTACTGGCAAAACCCTCTAAAGGACCCCTATAGGTAATTATTTCCAAAACCAGAAACGCTAAACCCCTAAACCCTAAAAACCCTAAAGCCCTAAACCCTAAAGCCCTAAACCCTAAAGCCCCAGACCCTCAACCCTCAACCCTAAAACCCTAAGCCCTAAGGCCCCTACAGTAACTGAGACTATCGATCTTTCGGACGACCCACACACCTAATTAGATTCTTCACTAACTCTTAAAAAAATGCGACATAAAAGATAAGGGAGCCTGCGCGAAGGCGCTCATGAGCATCGCCATCTCAAAGCGAAGGTTCATCAGAGCCCAATCCTGCCGCAAGCGGTTTAGGGCTTAGGGTTGTTTTTGTTGCCTCCCGCCTGGCTAGGACGAACCTACGATGCAGGGTTTAGGGGTTTAGGGTTTGGGGTTCAGTGGATTGGGGTTTAGGGCTTATAGGGGTTTAGGGTTTAGGCAAGACGTCTGCGCACCATCCAAACGAGAAGCATGCCAAGATGCTTAGCGGTTTAGGGTTTCGGGTTTACGGTTAAATGGGCAGGGTGCAGGATCTTGCTGGCGGGGCCATGAAAAAAGGAACACGACATCCTAAGCTGAGCTCCTACCCACCCTCCTGCGGGGAGGAGGAGCAAGGCATTCCTAGACATATTCACGTACTATAAACTCACAAATAGCAAGACAATCCACGCTAGCTGAAGAAACCTTTCAATCGAAGCACTTGTAGAATCCTTATCGAGCTTTCTAGCAATCCGACAACCCAAAGCCCTCAAAAAGAAAGCCCAGCTGTTGGTCCTCGAAAGCGAAATGGGCAAACAACGGCTCACCTGCTAGGTATCGAAGGTCTTACCTTGGGTTAGTAGGGAATGGAGGAATGGGGTACCATTATAACTACTGTTACTACCATTCTTCCATTCCCTACTAACCAAACGTAAGAGGTGTTGGGGCTCAGGGGGAGTCCTGTACCCCAAAGCTTGATGGGGTCTTTTGGGGCCTTGGGCCTTGTGTTTGAAGCTTAAGCTGCGGAGCTTAGGCTCAGCGTGTTCAAGGCTTAGGAGTCTACTTGGAGGCCCTTTTGACTTAGTAAGTAGGGTTAGTAAGGTGGGTTATGGGGATTATAATAGGGTTTCTAGGGGATACTAAGTAGACTTACTAAGTCAACAGGGCCTCCAAGTAGAGACTAGGGCTTCGGGCTTAGTGCTTTTGGTTTTAAGTTGTTTTAGACTCAGGGTTTCCCCTAAACCCTTCTGCTGCAGGCTTTCCCTAAACCCTAAACCACCCCCTTTCTGGTGCCTACGGCTAATTGAAGGCTAGTTGGAGGGTGCGACCTTCTCCCAAGGCTTCAGGTTTGGGATTGATGCCAGCCTGCGGAGGTCTTGTGCGAATAAAGGGGGCCTTAATAGTTAGAAGAGGGTTCCTTAAAAGGCTCCTTTCACAGGATCTATAATAATTAGGGTTCCTGTAAGAGCTTTTTAGGGGCCTTGGTCATGGGACCAGGATGTTAAATTGTATTATGCTGTTTAGGGTTTAGGGTTATAGGGTTTAGGGTTTAGGGTTTAGGGTTTAGGCTTTTAAGTTGTATTATGCTCGATTTGCAGTCCCAGCCCTGCGCTGCACTGGGCATTGCATTGGATTTCGCATGGGTTGTGGGCTTACGGGTTGTTGACTTTTCGGGCGTTTCTACTATAATTCTAGGGCTCCGGTATTCTACTTGCAATTATGGGGCATGAACGACTCCTTCAACATCACAGCTAGACGAACTACCTGGCGCGAAGACACATGAGGCTTAGTGTTTAGGGTGTCCTAAAGATTTCGTCGGGTGGCAGGGCGAGGACCTACCTCCACCCGTCCCGTCGCACCTTCCCCGATGTCCAGCACATCCTGCATGGCGGGGCGTGTACTGCAAATTTAGGGTTTAGGGTTTGGGGGTTTAGGGTTTAGGGGCTTAGAACAAAATTCCGACAATGTGACATCTTGATGTGGAACGATGAGTCACAGTAGGATCCTGATTACAGGGACCCCCAATAAGGGAGGCTCATATTGGGAGTTTCAGAAAACCTGGAACCCGACTATAAAATGCTGACAGCTAGGAGCCTTAATATGAGAATGCCTTATACCCAAAGATCCCATAACCCCTTGATTAAGGGCTATACCTTAAACTATATGTGGGCATTAATATATTATGATTTAAAGCAATTTCCTTAATTAAGGGTTACTGGTATTGGGTTCTCTGGGTACGGCAGTCCCTATGCTTTTATGGCTCAGGGGCAGCTGTGTTTTGGTAGCTCCTACAAGAGCAACTGGTCCAGGTCCCGAAATCTACATCTTAAGACCCTGCCCTAAGTTTACTAAACCCTAAACCATAGACCCCAAATACTAGACCCCAAAACCCTAAACCTTAAGACCCCGTCCTACACTGTAGAACCCTAAACCATAGACCCCAAATACTAGACCCCAAAACCCTAAACCTCAGGACCCCGTCCTACACTGTAGAACCCTGCACCTCAGACCCGAAATATTAGACCGCAAAAGAGGCTCAGGCCTTGGAGGTGCTAGACGGTTTAGGGTTTAGGGCTTTGGGGCTTAGGGTTGAGGGTTTAGGGCTTAGGGTTGAGGGTTTAGGGCGTTGGGTTTAGAGTTAATGGTTTAGGGCTTTGGGTTTAGGGTTTAGGGCTTTGGATTTAGAGTTAAGGGTTTAGGGCGTTGGGTTTAGAGTTGAGGGCTTTGGGGCTTAGGGTTGAGGGTTTAGGGCTTTGGGTCTAGGGTGAATGGTTTAGGGCTTTGGGTTTAGGGTTTAAGGCTTTGGGTTTAGAGTTGAGGGTTTAGGGCTTTGGGTCTAGGGTTAATGGTTTAGGGCTTTGGGTTTAGGGTTTAAGGCTTTGGATTTAGAGTTAAGGGTTTAGGGCATTGGGTCTAGGGTGAATGGTTTAGGGCTTTGGGTTTAGGGTTTAGGGCTTTGGATTTAGAGTTAAGGGTTTAGGGCTTTGGGTTTAGAGCTTAGGGCTTTGGGTTCAGGGCTTTGGGTTTAGGGTAGAGTTTCGCCCACTTCTCTGGCAGCGCAGCCAAGGGAGCCCAGCGAAGATAAGCTCTGGCCCTTCGGTGAGGGACCCAGAGACTCCAATATGCCTTCTTTTAAGGAATGGTCATTTAAGGAATTTGCCTGGAATTAATGTCGGATCCCTAAATATGATTTAAGGAATATTAATTTAAGGAATTTGCCTGGAATTATTTTGGGATCCCTAAATATGATTTTCAGGAATAGTCATTTAAGGTATTTGCCTGGAATTATTTTAGGATCCCTAAAGATAATTTAAGGAATATTCAACTAAGGAATGTGCCTGAAATTATTTTAGGATCCCTAAGATGATTTAATGGAATAGACTCCAATACGCTTTCTTTGAGGAATACACCTGAACTTATTTTCGGATCCCTAGTATGATTTAAAACTCATTAATTAAGGAATAGACCTGAAAATATTTTCGGATCCCTAATATGATTTAACTAGGTGGCAACTTGGGAAACTTTTTAATTTCCCTTATGGTTCCTATAGAGGTACCCATTCATAAATACTTTTCAGAGCCCCAAAACTACAACCCAGGTTTAAGGAATATTCCATGAATTCAGGGATATTGGAGCCTCTGGGGGCGGCCAGGATGACACAGTTTGGGTTCAGCAGCTCGGTGTCGAGATGAGCGCAAACGGGCCAGGCGCTCCAGGCGAGAAGCTGCTAAGGCTGCAGCCGCAGCGCCTAGAGAAGATGCCCCTAAACCCTAAACACGCTAGTGGAGGTAGTTTCGGCCAGCGACTAAAAGGATTCACGGCTCCTCTCTTAGTTTGGTGCTGGCTTTTAAGCGCCCACGGGTTTCTACAGCGCAGAAGCCTGACAAGGCCCTTATGACGGGGTCTGACAGGGTGTGCTGTTAGTCCCATGGTCTCTTCAACAGCAAGGGGCCTTCAGACCTTCACCGAACACCCTGAACCCTAAACCCAAATCCCCAAAACCCGAGAGTCCTCCACTGTATGGATGTCGACTGGGACGAATCCCTCCAGCTCGGCCGCATCCTCGCCCTCGGGAGGAGCCTTGGGACAACTAACCAGTGGTTTTGGGGGTGCGTTTTGGCTCTTTAGCTCCGAAAATAGTAGGGATTATCATCATCCCTGGCTCCTTAGCTCCCATAAGATCAATGGTTAGAGCGCGAATTAACCAAAGAGTCTCCAGGGGCTTCGACGCTCTCAAGCCCAGGAACCAAAAGCCCTGAAACCTCCAAGAAGTAAATGTTACACTCAATGCTATCCCAGACTGTACTATACTATCCTATGTTATACTATACATTGTCTTATCTTACAGAATCATAGAAGAATATATTAAAGTCCAAGATTCGCCTGTTTAAAACCCCCAAGGACTCGAAGCTCAAGGCATGGCGACGACTTCAAACACTCGGACCCTGTTTTGAAAACCCTAATATGGAGGCATTAAACATAGCTTCTGAGGCCCCCTCTGCCTCAGCCTCGCCCTCACCACCTTCCTTCTCCTGCGCGTTGGGATGGCAGGTGTTTGGGTTTTAGGGCTTGAGTGGTTGTCAAAATTATGGTCCCTTCTTAGGTACCCTAAACCCTAAATTCTAGGTGCTGTATTATAAATAAGGACCCAAAAAAGGGACCCTAATATTGACGACCATCCACTTAAGGTTCAGACTTTCGGTTTTCGGATTCGGGTCCCTGCTCCCTTATGACCTAGGGGTACCTTTAGGGTTACTTTAAAGGGTTACTATAAGGGTATAACGGTATAAGGGTACTATTTTGTTTTTTTAACTATGTTGACGGCCTTGTCTCCTGAAAGGGTACTATTTAGGGTTTAGGGTTTAGGGACTATATCTGCTTGAGGCTTTCGGGTACTTCGTTCCTTGTGCAGGCTCCGCAAGCGACCGGGGAGTTTCCGAAATAGGGGGTACCTTATTTTGGGGTCCTTAGAATAAGGATCCTACTGTTTAGGGTGCTATATAAGGGTCCCCTATTCTCGAAAACTCCCACATGGACCCTTAAACCCTCAACCCTTCTCGAACGCTTCTAGATCCCTTCAGGGAAGCCTTGTGGTACCGTTTCAAGGTACTATATTAGGGTCCCCTATTTTCGGAAACCCCCACTTCTTGTGGAGCCAAGGTTCAGAGCTGGAGACCTGTGCCAACCCCTAGCCACCTCTCCTAGGATGCCCAGTAACCTAGGACCTAGGAAAAAAGAGCTCCCTTCTTGGTAGTGGGCAACTTTATAAGGAACCTAGGACTACAAAAAGGGAATAAGGGTACTACTGGGCATCCTAGTCTCATAGCAGCATCTTTATCACAAGGAAAAGGGAGTTGCAAGTTGTAAAACCCTTGTCTCGAGCATCAACAGCCAACACTCTTCTCGCACGTATAGGGGGCTGGTGGGGAGGGATACCCTGAGTTGAAGCCCTGAGCCTTAAGCGTGCTGACATAGGAGCCTGGGTTCAGGGGCCTGCACCGAAAGCCGAGAACATTACTTACTCTTCACACCCCTAACCTGTTCGAAGCTCATGGCGACCCTGCAACGGCTCCTCGTCTTTAAGGCCTGACCCTTTTGTCGAAGTTCCTCAACCACAACCCCGAATCCGCAGGCTCAACATTCAGCCCCACGTTTAGGGCTTCGGGAACGAGTTCATAAGCCCAAAAGAGTTTAATCTTTCAGTCTTAAATAGGGTTTCATTCTTGCAGAAAGCTTAAAGTTTATCAACCCAACTACTAAGTAAACCTTAAGACCAAAACCCTGAAATCCGGTGCAGGTCCCCTGTATTCAGGTTCCAGGCGTTACAGTTACAGTTTCAGTGTCTCCGGCAGATGCGGGGAAGCCTACTATAGGGGCCTTAAATGATAAGAGCAGGGTTTTGGGGCCCATTGTACTATACCTATAATACGGAACCCCCAAACTAGTACAGGTAATTACTAGGACCCGATATTAGAGCTTGAGCCGCGGGCTCGAAAATTGAATGCCCAACACCTCGAATCCCTCAAACCTTCGACCCCCCTGAACCCCCCATAAATCCCCACCCTCTAAAAGAAAAGAAGCTCAAACCCTAGGCCCTAGAACCCCAAAGCCCTGTATTGAAACCACAATCCCCCGAAAGGTGCCTTGATAAATAGAACAGGGATTTGGGACCCACTGTACTATCAATATAACAAGAACTCCCCAAAATAGTGTTGGTAATAATCCGAACCGTTTGCTGCTGTGGGGCCTTAATAATCAACAACACTATTTTGGTGTTTTACTTATTATGATTATTAAGGCCCCTGTATCGGAGGCCCAAAACCGTTGATTCCTATAGCGGCAAACCGGCCTCGATCTTTGGCTTGTTCAGCTTTTCCTGGAATTTCTTCTCCTGGCAGGAGCACTGGGGCGGTCGGGTTTCTTTTTCGAGGGGGGTGGGTTTAGGGTTTAGGGTTTTGGAGTTTAGGGTTTAGGAATTTCGGGTTTAGGGGTTTGAGGTTCAAAGTGGTTAGCGCTTTCGGGGTTTGGGGTTTAAGCTTTCGGGCCCGAACGGGGGTCACAGGCACACCAAAAGACTGTGGAGACTAAATGCATGCAGCGTGTTTTGTTCGCTTGGTTTTTGGGCGATGGATGCTCTGGGGAACGGATGAGATCCTGGTGGACGTTAACATGGTTTTCACCGATAGGGAGGGCATGACGTCGGGATTGACGTTATCATGGTTAGTCTGTGCTCCTGGGCAGGCAGGAAACTAGCAGGTTTTGTTTACATGCCTGCTTCCTCTACAGCCGTGACCCTCCAACCCCTGAACACGAAACTCTAAACCATACCGCTCTCTCTCTATCTCTCTCTCTCTCTCTCCCTCCCTCTCTCCCTCTCTCCCTCTCTCCCTCCCTCCCTCCCTCTCTCTCTCTCTCTCTCTCTCTCTCTCTCTCTCTCTCTCTCTCTCTCTCTCTCTCTCCCAGGCATTCGAAACGTCAAGCCCGGCTGCAGGACACAGATGGTCCCACGTGACACATGATTGGAATCCGAAACCATCTTGTCCACCCCTAAACCCTTGAACCGAACACCCTAGATTAGATTAGAACCCGAAACCCCGTCCTTCTCCATGCGCGTATTTGCAGCCTGCTGCCGGACCGGGTCGGTCTTGAACTCCTGCTCGGCAAAGCTCTCTGGCTTGAGGAAACCGTAGGGGTAAGGGTCATTGAAAAAAGGTCTACCTGGACCCCAAAAGTATGTAGAATAATAGCCTTTTATGGGTATTGGGCCATCATTTTACCTACTTTGGGGGGTTTAGGTACCAGTCTACCACAACCTGTATACAGCGTCCTAACAGATTTGTATTCAGCGGATTGAGCGGCTTCTACTAGGTTCGAGCAGGGTGTAAACGATTCCAACTAACCCCGGCATCCTTCTGTCTGTACTGCCAGTCGCCTTGCACACGCTGCCATTCCAGTACCTTTGTTGGCAGGTTTAGGGTTTAGGGGTTTAGGGTTTAGGGGTTCCTGCTCCGGTTCCACTCCTCCAGCAAAAATTCTAAGGTCGGGCATTGGAGTTCTACGGCTACTACGATGGCAAGCGCTTCCCAATACTTCAGGGCAGCTGTCGCCCATCCTCCCAAAGGTTTATTGCATGATGGCGGCGTATCACCACATGCGCCGTCGGCGACGCACTCCAGGAAACCAGTGCAAATGGGAAGTCTGTTATAAGTTCACAAGCCTTGCTATGATGAATGTGGGTACTTATGGGCGATCCGTCTCCTGCAAAGCAGGCCCTTGCTGCATTCACGCATTTGAACTCTGAAGCCCTCAAACCCGAAACCCAATTTCAAACACATGAACCCATTACCATTACCTCTTACTCTCTGGGTTCTGGGTCGAAGTACAAGTTGCAACCAGGGCGGGATTCAGGGCTTCGGGGTTTACGGGTTTGAGGGTTCAGCGTTTCAGGGTTGGGCTTAAGGTTAAGGGTTTAAGGTTTATGATGGTTTGCTTGCTTTCTCGGCTGTCTGGTTCGGAAACATCTGCTGACGCAGCGCAGTTGCACTTACTTTTCCCCCCTACTTGGCAAGGACGAAGCCCGCATTGCAGGGTACTTGCTTGAACAGAGTTTGGCTTTGGACATCCTAACCCGTTTTTGAGCACGGGCAAACCCTAAACCCTGAACCCCTAAACCCTACACCCCTAACCCTAAACCCCAAACCCTTAAACCCCTAAACCCTAAACCACCCCTGAACCCCTAAACCCTACACCCCTAAACCCTAAACCCCAAACCCCTAAACCCCTGAACCCCTAAACCCTACACCCCTAAACCCCAAACCCCTGAACCCTAAACCCCTAAACCCTAAACCCTACACCCCTAAACCCTAAGCCAATCACGACTTGTTGCACTTCTTGGAAGAGACCGGAACTGGGGAAGATTTGACCCTGAACCCGAAACCCCTCAGCCCCCAACTAAGCCTGAACCCTTGAACCGTGAAATCCTTACATGGAGGATCATGGTACTTAGTACGTAAGGTTATAAGTGCCTTTATTGGGGTTATAAGTACATATAAGTATAGTTACCTTATTTATAGCCGCACTTACTAAGTCCCATGATCCTTTAAGTATAGGTCCCCTTAAGTGATCCCTTGTAGAGCCTGTAAAGAACCCTGAACCCAGGAGTAGAAGGTTGGGGGGACGAGAATTGGGGGCCGCTCAGACTCGCGCACACCTCAGCACTACTCCCTGCAGGGGGTTCAGGATGTAGGGTAAGGGTTTAGGGTTTGGGGTTTTAGGGTTCAAGGTTTAGGGTTAAGGGTTTAGGGGCGAAATGCCATCATGTTGCGAAAGCATACTGCGTAACTCCGACGAATGATGCTGGTAAATATTCACGGTTCTCTCTCTTAAACGGACTCAGTCACATACCCTAAGGCTCCAAAGTAGTTCCTTTTTGGGGTTCACATATAGAAGCCTATAAGGTAATCCAAAAAGGAACTACTATGGAGCCTCTGGATATCAGCCGCGACGCAGACCACACCGACGTCCTCCCGAAACCCACAACCCAAAGTGCCACAGACTGGAGCTCTAACCACACACATAGCCATAGCCTGAAGCCCTAAACTCTCTGGCAGCCAAGGCACACGGTTCGTGAAGGTGTCGTCCGGGAAGAGATCTTCCACACGAGTGGTGATCCTTTGATGCTCTTGAATGCCCTTTCAACCCTGAATCCTTTTGCGGCAGGCTTCTCTCCCCCGGAAACCATGAATCCTAAACCCTGGCCCTGAACTCTAAACCCATTTCAGCACGGGCATCGGAGTATGCAGGCAAGCCGGACTCTCAAAGTCTTCACGAGACACCAGCAAACTTGAAATTCAATTTTGTCATGAAAAGGAACCATCTGCTTCCTACGATCCACCTTCCCTGGACTCTCAACCCCTCATTACCAGGTGTTACTGTGCAGGCTTCGAAAACCTAAGACAAGAACAGCCCAGGATCTTCTTCGCCTGCATCCACGACCTGAGACGTGTTTTCGAAAACGCTGGATCCTACGGCGCAGGCATCCTTGTGGGAGCCTATGCATACGTGCATACGTATCTCGGCGAGTGTGTACAACTGTATGCATATGTACATATATATATATATATATATATACATGCATAAGTGTATGTATATATATATATACATACGTACATACACAGGTCCAGATTGGTAGATGGAAAGGTAGGTAGATAGATAGATAGACAGATGGACTGACAGGTATATAAAAAAGGCAGTCAGCAAGCACAAAGACAGACAGATAGGTCGAACGATGGATAGATCTATAGATCGCTCGGTCGATACAGATAGATAGATCGATAAACGGACAGACAAATGTTTAGTTACGAGACAGAGAAATGGGCAGGTAGGTGGATCGGCAACTCCAAAAAACCCCTAAACCCTAAACCCCCTAACCCCCCTAAACCCCGTAAACCCCCTAAACCTATACTGAACTTGGAACCCTAGCAAAAATTATAATTCTAGCTGTTTCTTAGGGATTATAAAGACCAAAAAATTAAAAATTATTTCTCTAAGTACCCCTAAAAAACACCCTTTTTTGCATCGGGCCTTTACCCCCTAAACCCCAAACAGAGGGACAGAGCAACGGAGCGACTGACATCGGGAAGTTCATACATATTTCCATACATATTTACATACATACATGGGGACCCTCTTATAGGGTACCATAAGGGCTCCTTTAAGGGATTTATAAGGGTCCTAGAAGGGTTTAGGGTTTAAGGGTCCAAATGGGACTTTCCAAAAATAGGGGACCCTGATATAGTACCCCTAAATGGCTTGATCCTTATAAAGGGGACCCCCAAATAAGGTACCCCTAATTTCGGAAACTCCCATACATATTTACATACATACATGCGAGAGCATGTATGGGACTTTCCGGAAATAGGGGACCTTGATATAGTACCCTAAATAATAGGATCCTTATTACAAGGACCCCTAATTTTCGGAAACTCCCAATTACATACATACATGCAAGAGCATATGGGAAGTTGTCAAAATTAGGGTCCCTTTTTGGGTAGCTCAAATATTAGGTGCCGTATTATATTAAGGACCCAAACAGGGACCATAATTTTGACAACCACCCATATATGCGTGCATACAAAACCTACAAACAGACAGACAGACAGACAGAGACAGACAGCCAGCCAGGCAGGTAGGCAGGCGGACAGACCGACGAACGGATGGAGAGGAAGACCGGCGGACAGGCTTTAGGGGGTTTAGGGGTTTAGGGTTTAGGGGTTTGGGGTTAAGGGGGTTTAGGGTTTTTGGAGTTATACAGACAGGTAGACACAAAGACGGACATACAAACAGACAGACAGACATCGGGAGAGCTACGCTACCAAGTTTAGGAGTTGAGGCTCGGCCTCGCTTAGGGCCTTTGTCGGGCTCGGAGTTCGCAAGAGTAATAGGAGTTGCGCAGAGGGCCCAATACCCCCTTAATTAAGGAATATGCCTGAAATCATAATATGAAGCCCCTTATAATTGAAGCCATATTCCTTAACTAAGGGGTATTGGGCTCTCTGGGTGTCTGTATTACTACAAGCTTTTGTTGAGTTTCTTGTCCCGTTTCAGGATTGAAAAGCGAAAAGCTCGTAAGGGCTGGGCTTCATGTAGTCCTTGCTCGCAACTTCGCCGGCCCATTCGTATCGGATCCTCAGTTCGGCCAGACGGCTTTGGATTTTTATGGCCTGAAGGTTTTGTGTTTGAGGTTTTGGGTGTGGGGCTTGGGGCTTCAGGGTCTAAGATGGTGTACCAAGATAGCTGAAACATGCCTTTTGCAGCAGAACTCTTGAGTACCTGCAAGGAAGCCCTATGTCTGTGGGTTAGGGCCTTTTTGCACTCGCAGCTCGATCAAGCGAAGTTTGGGAAAGCCTACAGCGTGAAAGGGCACAGCAGGTTCACGTGACTTGCAAAAAAGGGGCCGCCGACAACTAGAACCTCAGAACCCCGCAAACACCGACCCTAAACCCTTAACCTTAAACCCTAAACCCTAAACCTTAAACCCTAAACCCTAAACCTTAAACCCTAAACCCTTAACCTTAAACCCTAAACCCTAAACCCTAAACCCTAAACTGACTGCTGGGCTTCTCTGGCAGGCAAGCCCTTTAGACTGTTTGTCAGGGAGGTTCTATGTTTTAGGAATAGTGCAGGGTTGCTACACATGTTCCATTTACTATAAGGTTTCTATAGCACTCTGTAAGAATTCTACAAAAACTCCTGTTGTATTGGCTGTATAAGTAGCCGTTTCACTTTGCAACAATCCCCCAACAATTGCTGAGCTTACAAAGTATGATATGAGCAAGCCCTCCCGACAATGAAACCGTATCGTATCTATTTCGGCCGTGCATTAGGCCACACAGTGAGCGAGTTGCAAACAGGGCTATGAACGAGGTGGCACCAACGAGGGTACCCCAAGCCCTGCAAGCCCCAAACACCCTCTAAACCGGTGACTCCTAGTAACCTTCCAAGCCCAAATCAGCTAGAAGCCAATGCATCTGATCTTGGAAAGCCCTTTCGAAACCCTAGGAGGTTCGCTATGTAAGGTTCCGGGACACGCTAAACCCTCTTCCCGTGACAGTGCAAACCGCAGCTAAGGCAACGTAGACTAATTTCCAAAAAAAGGCATATGCAGTAGGTTTGCTACTAGGGCCGGTACATACTACTACTACTACTACTACTACTACTACTACTACTACTACTACTACTACCACTACTACACCACTACTACTACTACTACGACGACGACTACGACTACGACTACGACGACGACGACTACTACGTCTACCTACCACTACTACCTCCGACTACCACTGCCAGCGCGATTCTTTATTGTTGGTATTATTCCCCAGGGTTCCTTATTGTGAGAACAGTAGAATATATCCCAAACATACTCTAATCATCGGGTCCTTGCGGACACCCTTATAACTACAACATACGACAACCCTCACGTAACCCTTCTGGGCCCTGTACAGGGAACCTGAAACGAACCCTATTGTAACTGTTAAGGCCCCTACATGACAGTACCCTTATAAATCACTTACAGTAACCCTTCTAGATCCCTTTAAAGGGGAAAAGGAACCCTGAAAGGAACCCTAGTCACACCATTAAGGCCTCTATGTAAAGCCCTTATAGGAACCCTCAAAATAAAACCCTTCAAAGGGACCCTTTAGGCAAAGGAACCCTTAAAGGAACACTACTTGGAGGATCATGGGACTTAGTAAGTGGGGGTATAAATAAGGTAACTATACTTATAAGTACTTATAACCCCAGTTAAGGCACTTATAACCCTACTTGCTAAGTCCCATGATCCTCCAAGTAGCCCCTAAACCCTAAACCCTATAGTCCCTATAGATCCCTATAAGGAACCCCATAGATCCCTTTAAGGAGCCCTTTAAGGAACCCTTACAGCCCTTGCTCTGGCCGAGGAGCTCCGAGAAGTTCTCCGTCTCGTCCGGGAGGGTGAAGTCGGCGAAGGTGCCTCGTCTACTGGGGCTTTAAAGATTGGGGTTGGGGCTTTAGGGTTTTTTTGGGGTTTAGGGTTCAGGGGTTTATGTTTTAGGGTTTGGGGTTTAGGGGCTTAGGGTTCAGGCTTTAGGGCTTTTTTGGGGGTTTAACGATTTGAATCTAGGGTTCAGGGTTTAGATGTTCTTTCCCTCCTACTTGTTAATGGTTCAGGGTTTTGGGTTTAGTGCTTCGTGTGCTGGTGTTATTGGCCCAGGGTCGCCAGCAGCGCTCCCGAAACATACTTAGCCTTGGGGTTCAAAAGGGTCTGTTGGGCCACGAACCTCCGAAACCTCCCAAGGACCCCCCAAACCCTTTTGCAACAGGGTTTCCTCTTCGCCCGGAGTTGGAGCAAGCACCCCGAAACCCTTAACCGAAAACCAAGGACCCAAACCCTACACCCATCCTCACCCGGCCTCCCAAAAACAATCTCAAACGCCTCAAGCTTTTTAGGGGTTTAGGGTTTAGGGGTTCGCAGGCTTTTACAAGGCATTACCAGGAGTTCATGGGGAGTTCTTGTGGAGTTCTCTGCAAGGTTTTGAGGTCTGGGGACTAATTTGTGGCAGTGGGTTAAACCCTTTAAACACCAAGCTGAAGCTGTACAGCTCGTAAGCTGGCCATGCAGGGTGCTTCGTTAGCCGGATTTCAAAAGCTTGGATACACAGGAGATTGTCCCGCAAAGGGACTACTTCGCTGCGAAGCTGTCACGAAGTATGATGTCTTCCAGTAGCCCCGTCGCGACCCGCTGCACGCTGGAATGACTCCGACAACATCCTCGCTCTATTGTTCCTCAGAGTTCCTTCTCATATTCATATTTGTATCATCATATAGACCAACACCCTATTGTTCCAAGTTTTACTGTCCCGGTCTTAATCGGATCACGCCTACCAGGGTGTGGTGCGGTGTCTGACCCAAACGATGGGCCCGGCTGCAAAACTGCGTAGACGAACCGAGAGCTTCGAGCTGAGAAACTGTTGAAGGTCACCGACACCATGTCGGTGGTAGAGCGGGGCAGGAACCAAAGTCTCGACTCCTGGGCCAGTTCAACTTAGAGGATCATGGGGTTTAGTAAGTAAGGTTATACGTACCTGGGTTATAAGTAGCTATAAGTATAGTTACAGTAGAAGCCAAAAAGTTGGAAACCCAATAGCCTCAGTCCTTAAGAGTAATGTATAGGGAATCCCAGCACTATTTGGCCTTAATCCGGTTTCCAACTTTATGGAGTTTACTGTACCTCATTTAGAACCCCACTTCCTAAGTCCCATGATCCTCCCAGAAGGGGTCAGGGCAGGGTCGGAGCCTTGCCTTCAGGTTTTTGGGTCCTGTTGGCGACCGGTCCCTCACCAGTTTAATTTGAACAGCAAAAAATCACGTCACATTTTTCAGTTTTCAGTCCAATCCTATTCAATTTAACCCATTACAAGTTAAATTTCTTCTTATTATTATTTACCGTGATAGAACCGATAGAAAAAGCTCATGGCACCCTTATGGGCTAGGGTCGCTCTGGAGGCTTTCCAGTGACTTTTCCGCTTGGCTTCCCTGCCTGAAAGGAAAGCCGCCTGATGTAGGGGCCTTAATAATTAGAATAGGGTTTTGGGGCCCATTGTACTATATTGAACATAAGGAACCCCCAAAATAGTATTAGTAATGATTTTTCCCTCTCGCATGGCACTTCAAACACTACAAGACCTCTTGACGTCATCCTAGAACCCCAAAACCTGAAGTCGCTCATAGCCAGTACAGTAGTATGATCGTGGTGATGATGATGACGATGATGATTGTGAGGACTGTCATTACTTGCTGCTATTGTGCCTAAAGTTGCAGCTATCTCTTCTACCAGTATTAAAGAAACTAACAACACTGTTCAGACACATTAGCAAAGCCCCCTACAATTCAAGGGTACTAACCGCGCGATTCAGAAAAATTACAAGAGCCCCCTACAGTACTACCATTCCATTAAAAAGTACTAACCGAAATCAGTATAAAAAAAAACACCCTCTACATGACAGGAAGGGCCTCCTCGTCCAGCTCGGCCACAGGGGTCGCCTCGGGCTCCTCCTTGGGCTCCTTCTCGTCGCCAGGCTTTGGCACTTCAGACTTGGATAGGTAGATGGCAAATCATATGTATGTATACATACATGCGATTGAATATATATATATATATATATATATGTATATATATACATATATATATGTGTATATATATACATATATATATATATATATATATATATATATATATATATATATATATATATATATATATATATATATATATATATATATATTACAAAGATACATTATATGATTCTGTATATATATATACACATATACATATACATATACATATACATATATATATATATGTTGGAAATTAGTATAAGTTACCCTCGAACCCTACCTTAAGGTCCGTCTACTGCCCTATACTTGTCGCAGGGTCGTGTCTCGAGCTTAAGCCGGCCAGGCGGCCGCGCCTCGAAAATCCCCAAGCCCGAAATACACAGACACAAATGGGAGTCTCCGAAAATTAGGGATACCTGATTTTGGGGGTTCCTTTAAAGGGGTCCTTTAAGGATTCCTTAAAGGAATCTATAGGGGTTCTGTAAAGGGTTTAGGGTTTAGAGTTTCCGAAAACTAGGGGTACCTTATTCTGGGGTCCTTATGATAAGGATCCTACTATTCAGTGTGCTATATTAGGGTCCCCTATTTTCGGAAACCCCCATTTAGGCCGCTGTATTATGTCCAACCTGTACAAACATCTTAGCGTGTCCCAGACTTATAACAAGAAGAACAGCTTAATGAAACAATCGCAAAGGCAAAGGCCTTCAGAGCCTTAAACACTTTCCGTATCCTCACGACGGTCATACTGATCTCCAGCCCGGAGGATTATTTGCTTGCATTGCTGACGCGGTCTTTCGAATAAATGAGATTCGCAGCAGATTTCGCTAAACCCCGCGCCAAACCTTCGCTCTTCAACCTCGCAAGAGTACATGCGGACCCAGACGAAACTGGCTACACTTCACGAAAGCACGCAGCACAATACAATTCTGTAAAATTCGGTTTAGGGTTTAGGGTTTATAAAATCAAAATCGAAAAGCACTGCTTGCTGAGAGATCTCGGACATTGAGCAGGCTCCGGGGGCTTACATGCTAGGCCCGACTCTGGGAGAGCGATGGCAGCGCTCATGTAGTTGAAATCCCAAGCCCAAAGAAAAAATTGTACCCTCAACAACTCCTACTCCGTGAACCCTAGGACCCCTAGAATCCCAAAGTACTTAAAGACAGAAGCTAAGCCCAAAATCCCCCTTAACCCTAAACCCTAAACCTAAATCCTAAACCCCAAATCCTAAACCCCTTTAGCTTCCAGCCTCCAGGGAGCTCCGGGGAACCAAAGGAGGGCCTGCAGCAAACCTTGAAGTTTGCAACACCAAAACCGCTAAGCCCGAGAGCCCTAAAGCCCCACCCCAACCGGAAGACGAGGATTCCAGCAGGGCTCCTTAAAGGGATCTATAGGGTTCCTTAAAGGGATCTATAGGGTTTAGGGTCTACTTGGAGGATCCTGGGACTTAGTAAGGTTATAAATACCTTAATTGGGGTTTTAAGTATAGTTACCTTAATTTATAACCTTAATTGCTTGCTAAGTCCCATGATCCTCTAAGTAGACCATGCCCTGACCTCCTTCATCTGCACGTCCGCATCTTCCTCGCCAGGCGAAAAAGCCATAAAGAGGTGTAGGTTCCAGAGAGATGTGCGTTCCCTCTTCACGGTGTTTACAAAAGAAAGCCTATACTTTAGGGCTCTGCGCCTTAGAATCGGAATGTGGGTTTCAGGGCGTAGGTTCTAGAAGTCAAGCTTGAGGTTTTCAGACTTTAAGGCTCGGGGATTATGTAGTATTTGAGGCTCTGTAAACTGGGTTTAGGGTTTGAGGGTTTGGGGTTTGGGGTTCAGGCGCCTGCGGCTGTTTCAGTTGAGGTTCATACGGCTGCAAAGGTGAGACGGTCAGAGGTTTAGTTTCGGTTTAGGGTTTAGGTGTTCAAGGTTTTCATTTGAGGTTGAAGGTTTTGGGCTTAGGATATGGGGCCGTAACAATTGTTCGTAGTAGTATGCCCTTATACTCCCTGCGTGTACTAGAATACATCTCCAAGGCCTACTTCTGCTCCAAATCACCTCCGAAGCCTATTCAAGGCATCGAAGCGCTCCATAGGTGGATGATGCTGATGCATGTGATAAAGCGAACGCCGGGCCTTCATCAAAAGAATATACGGGGGCTTGGGACATTCTATTATACCAGAAGATATACCCTGAAGCCTCTTCTGACCATGAAAAAACTTCCATCACACCTGGTGCAGGCCTTGCAAGAACCCAAACTCACCTGATAAGGAGCCCTTTCAGACATCCTATGCTAACCAAACAGACCTTTACAGATTTATACAAGCCTATAAAACCCTGTAAAGACCCGAAAACCCTACGAAACCCTATCATAAAACCCTATGCAGCGCTTCAAAATCCTACAAGACCTATAGACCCCTAAACCCTGAATTCTCCCTCACCCTAAACCTATACCCCCCTTAGAACCATAATAAATAGTACTTTTAATATTGTCTTGGGTTGTAAATGAAGAAAAATAAAACAAAAAGTTCCTAAGGAGACTATAGAAACACCAAACCCTTAAACCCTTTGCAACAGGCTTCGCACTTTACCCGGAGTCGGCCCCCTTAAATCCCTAAACCCCTGAAGGACCAACCCCTAAACCCCAAACCCTTAAACCCGAAACCCCAATTTCTATTCCGGACACTGGATCCTAAAATCTGAACCTAAATCCTGCCTTATCTTAAACCCCTAAACCCTAACCCTAAACCTAAAACCCCTATAAACCCTAGTTTAAACCCTTTTTTAACACTGGGCTTGCTGGCTGTCAGAATATTTGACTGTAAACCCTAAAATCTGAACCTAAATCCAACCTTATCTTAAACCCCTAATAAACCCAAAAACCCCCATAAACCCTAGTTTAAACCCTAAACCCTAAACCCTCTCTCTCTCTCTCTCTCTCTCTCCCAGGCATTCGAAACGTCAAGCCCGGTTGCACCCTAAACCCCTAAACCCTAAACCCTAAAATCTGAACCCAATGTCAGCCTTGGCTTCCTCCTTGACCTCGCCCCCCTCCTCCTTCATCTCCTCGTCTTTTGCCTGCGGTTTAGGGGGTGGGCTCCTTAAAGGGATCGTAAGGGTTCCTTAAAAGGCTCCTTAAAGGGATCTATGGGGTTCCTTATAGGGATCTATAGGGACTATAGGGTTTAGGGTTTAGGGTCTACTTGAAGGATCATGGGACTTAGTAAGTGGCGTTATAAACAAGGTAGCTATACTTATAACTACTTATAATCCCAGTTGAGGTACTTATAACCTTGCTTACTAAGTCCCATGATCCTCCAAGTAGTCGTGCTAGTAACGGCTTGTGGTTCAGGGCTTAGGGTCTAGTAGTGTAGTAGTAGTCGTCGTCGCAGTCATTGAAGTAGTAGGAGTAGTAGTAGTAGTAGTAGTAGTAGTAGTAGTAGTAGTAGTAGTCGTAGTCGTAGTCGTAGTCGTAGTCGTAGTCGTAGTCGTAGTCGTAGTAGTAGTAGTGGTAGTAGTAGTAGTAGTAGTAGTAGTAGTAGTAGTAGTAGTAGTAGTAGTAGTAGCAGTAGCAATACCACGCGCGCTCAGAGGCGGCCTGGAAGTTTCAGGCACTTTTGCCTAGTTTGCACGGTTTGGGGTGGGGTGGGGGAGGGGAGATGACATCCTGTTGCAAGTCTTCATGGCATGGATGCATGGTGCAGTTCTTCATGGTGTTGATTGCATGGTGAAATCCCGGAGCTTCGAAGACTACTTTGTAGATTTTGTGACTTCTGAAACCCTCACCCTGAGCTGAAGTATGCACGAATTGTTCGGCCCCGCCGGTACGTTCGGCAGTTCACGTCGCTAATCGAACCATCTGTTCTTTGATAGCCATTTCGGGTCAAGTTTTTCAAACTGGAGTTTCAGGAATGTGCCTGAGCCTTCCTGCTCTCATGTTTGATCGGGTTCTGTTTTCCTTCGCTTTCCTGTGTGAACTGTTTGCGTAAAATCGAGAAGGACGCGTGCCCCCAGAAGACTACAAATACCCGAAAACTTCAACAACTGCTTTGTGGATTTTTGACACCCGGAGCCCTAAGCTGAGTTATGCACGAGTTGCTCAGCCCTGCCAGTACTTTCGGCACTTCACGTCGCTAAACGCACCATTTTTGCGCGGTCCATTCTTCCTAGCAGCCCAAAACACGGTAGTGGTGCTCAAATCTGAAGACTGCGTTCACTCCGAAACACATGACAACACCAGGTCTTCCAGAGGGTGCGTCCCAGTAGTACCAGTAGTAGTAGTAGTAGTAGTAGTAGTAGTAGTAGTAGTAGTAGTAGTAGTAGTAGTAGTAGTAGCAGTGGTAGTAGTAGTAGTAGTAGTGGTAGTAGTAGTCGTAGTAGTAGTAGTAGTAGCAGCAGCAGCAGCAGCAATGGTCGCCGTCATCGTCGTCGTCATCGTCGTGGCGTAGCACCACATGATAATCAGGGAGGAGATAGGGTTTAGCTCCTGGCTAAGCAGTCTGCATTCTTGGGGTGGGAGTGTCGGTTTGGGGCCTAGGGTACGGGGGTTCAAGATTGTGGATACAGAGGATGCCGGCACTGCCGCTTGCATGAAAGACTCCCTCAGTCAATATGGGTGGTTGTCAAAACTAGGGTCCCTTTTCGGGGTACCCTAAATAATAGGTGCCGTATTATAATAGGGACCCAAAAAGGGACCGTAATTTTGACAACCACCCATTTAGTGTTGCAGTTGTTGGGTCTAGGGCTTCGGTGTTTCGGGGCTGTAGGGCCTTGGGGTTTTGTAGGGCCTTGACTGTTTTTTCCCACGGGTTGTGTGGGGGTCTAGCACCACCTCAAAGTTCAGGCTCACGCATACCAAGGATACTTCCAGGATTGAAGGTTCAGGCTTTATCTTAGGGTTACAATGTTCAGGGTTAGGGTTCACGGTTTAGGAAAGTTTAAGGTTTAAGGGTTTAGGTTTCCTCGACCGTCTCTGTAAATGCTCATTAGCTTCCTGTGTAGGACTTTGGAAGTAAGGGGTTAGTTTGTTTTTGTCTTGTGGTGGTAGAAGGGGTTTGCAGGGAGTTGTATATACTTTTAATGTAAACTTTGATGACTTCGCGAAAGCCGGTTTTCGGAGCAACACAGGCAGTGCGCGAAGTAGTGGTTGCCTCCGGCAGAATGGGCAAAGTGTGGCACCAGCACCGAAGACCTTGCACTTGTCCGCAATGCAAACTCCGACTGCTGCGCCGCATCACTGATATTTTCTTCTTTTGTTCTTGTCCATGTTAGACTTCTGCATAAGGCGTAACACCTCCAGGTGTCCTCTCTGCGCTGCAACGTCAAACGGGGTGGCGCCATCCTGCCTGGCCTTGTCCGTGTCTGCACTGGCCTCCAGCAGAAGGCGTGCGACCTCCAGTTGCCCCACCCCAGCTGCGATGAACAACGGGGTGGCGCCATCCTGCCTGGCCTGGTCCATGTCCGCATTGCTCTCCAGCAAAAGGCGTGCAACCTCCAGTCGCCCCGTCTGAGCTGCGACGTACAACGGGGTGACGCCAGCATGCGTGGCCTTTTCCTTGTCTGCATTGCTTTCCAGCAAAAGGCGCGCAATCTCCAGCTGCCCCTCCTGCGCGGCAATGTGCAACGGAATGGCGCCATCCTGCGTAGCCTTGTCCTTGTCTGCATTGCTCTCCAGCAAAAGGCGTGCAACCTGCACGTGTCCTCTCTGAGCAGCAATGTACAAGGGCGTGGCGCCATCCTGCATGGCCTTGTCCGTGTCGGCATTGGCCTCCAGCAGAAGGCGTGCCACCTCCAGCCACCCCTTCTTAACTGCTATGAACAACGGGGTGGCGCCATGCTGCATGGCCTTGTCCTTGTCCGCCTTGCTCTCCAGCAAAAGACGTGCAATCCCAGGCCGCCCCTTCTGAGCTGCAATGTACAACGGGGAGACGCCATCCCGCATGGCCTTGTCGGTGTCTGCATTGGCCTCCAGCAGAAGACGTGCGACCTCCAGTTGCCCCTCCCAAGCTGCCATGAACAACGGGGTGGCGCCGTCCTGTGTGGCCTTGTCTTTGTCGGCATTGCTCTCCAGCAGAAGGCATGCGACCTCCAGCTGTCCCTCCCAAGCTGCAATGAACAAAGGAGTAGCGCCATCCTGCTTGGCCTTGTCCTTGTCTGCATTGGCCTCCAGCAAAAGGCGTGCAACCTCCAGCTGCCCCTGCTGAGCCGCAATGAACAACGGGGTAGCGCCGTCCTGCTTGGCCTTGTCCTTGTCTGCATTGGCCTCCAGCAAAAGGCGTGCAACCTCCAGCTGCCCCTCCTGAGCCGCAATGAACAAAGGCGTGGTGCCATCCTGCCTGGCCGCCTTGTCCGTGTCTGCATTAGCCTCCAGCAAAAGGCGTGCAACCTGTGTTCGGCCGTGCTCGGACGCCTCGAACAGAGGGGGCGGATCGCCCAAATCTGGGTCTTGCGGTCTTTGTAGAAAAGCCTCCACTTCTGCTGACAGGCCACGTCTAGCTGCATCCCGAAGTGCTGTAACTTGAGGGTCCGATGGTGGGCAGAAGCTTAGAAGTACGACCTGAGCTTCGCCAGGTCTCACGGTTCCATCGTCATCTAGAACCACCTTGTCATCCAGGAATACAAGTCGTTGCCTGAACCTTGACACACCACAAATTCTGTGCAAGTGTTGCTTCAGTGCCCGGACGGAATGCATGCCGGCAGGCTGCATCTCGAGAAAGCGCGCCAAGTCAAGTGCAACGAGTTCTTCACCTGACACGGTCTGAATCCGCAGCATGGCCTCTGCGAATTTAATAAGCCGAAGAGAGATGGACTCAAAAGAACAAGCTTCGCTGCATGTGCTCTGTTCTTCAGAGCAGGCTTGGGCTGTTGATCCGCGTGCTGCGTCCTTAGATTTTGTGGATGTGTGGCCTCCTCAAGAATGTCTGCTGCGTTGGAAGTGCAGTGAATGTACGTGCCTTCATAATTAGAATAGGGGTTTCGGGGCTATCGTAGTATAGTTTTAACTATTCTAAGGCATGATAGCCCAAGCCCTATTCTAGTCGAAGAAGCATACTATTTTAAGTATTCTACTATGAACATAATAAGGAACCCCCCAAAAGAGTATAGGCAATTATTAAGGCCCCTACGTCAAGTCAGGCTCTGTGCTGGGACACGACCGGGCCGAGGACTCGATTCTGCGCTCTGCACACTTACTTGGAGGGTCGGGGGACTTAGTAACTGGTTAGTTTAGGGACTTATAAGTACCATAACCCCAAGTAGGGTCCCTGTTAGGATGCTTATAAGTCTACTTACTACCTACTTACTAAGTCCCCCGACCCTCCAAGTAGCATCCCGAATCCAAACTGAATCCTCTCAAAGGGGCCTCCTACACCCCACAGTAATGTAGGGGTTTGGGGTATATGATAGTATAGCTATAATAAGGAAGTTTAGGGTTTAGGGTTTAAGGTTTAGGGTTTAGGGTTTGAGGTTTAGGGTTTAAGGTTTAGGGTTTAGGGTTTTTAGGCCCTGCTCATGTTCAGGCCCTTCCCCACGTCATCGCAGTCACAGCTATCACTTCTGCTCCTGGGTTTGGGGTTAAGGTACTCGTACTGTTGATGATATAAATCCTGCATTACCTTAAGGACCCGAAACTATGGGAATTATGGTATATTCCTTATAATGGGTCATGCAGGATGTATATCATCAACCGTATCATTACACTGCGACTCCGAATAGAATCAGGAAGCCGCAGTATTGAAAGAGCTGACGAAGTGTTCTGGACGTTGCATTGCTTCTGAAGCTTTGGTCTCTCAACGTCCTGGAGAGTACCACTCCTTCAACATTCTATGAGCCACCTTGAACACCAAAAAGAAACAATATGTTGAACAGCCCCTTTACACACCATACCACAGTAACGATAAACCCTAAAGAACCCCGATGGTACGGTAGAAACGTTGCTAGGTATCCGAACAGGAACCCTAAAGCCAGTAGGCTTCCTAAAGCGCTTTCTGCTTGTATTGCAAAACCTAAACCCTAAACCCTTAAAGATCTGACCCCAAACCCTTAGAGAAACCCTAAACCCCTTTTTGCTAGGCCTGACCCCAAACCCTTAGAGAAACCCTAAACCAAACCCTGAGAGAAACCCTAAACCCCTTTTTGCTAGGCCCTAAACCCTAAACCCTCCAGGCCCTGATAAGGCTTCCACCAAATCTCAAACCGGGACCCCCTAAACCCGAAACCCTGAAGCCAAACCTCTAAACCCTGCAGAACCTGATAAGACCTCCCCAGAATGCAAACAAAACCCTTAGACAACCCTAAACCCTCAATTCTTTTTTTCAGCATGGGCTTGGATTGTGTGCCAAAGAACACTCCTCAACAGCAGGGCCTTCTCCTTTCAAACCCTCAGTTCTTAACCTTAAACCCTTTCTTTTGAAGCAACGGACACCAGGTTCCGAGGCCTCCGCAGCAGCGCCTTCTGCAGCATCGGGAGCCTCGGCCTGCCACTCGGGTTTGTGTTTAAAGGGTTCTGTTTTAGGGTTGAGGGTTTAGGGTCCTATAAGGGGGTTGAGGGTTGAGGGTTTGGGGCTCGCGGGGTTTATGGGGATTTGGGGTTTGAGGATTTTGGAGTTTAAGGCTTTAGGATTTAAGGTTTGGGTTGTTGTTTCATGGTTTCGGGGTCCCTTTAAAGAGTTCGATGAGGGTTCCACTACGGGTCGCTTTAAAGCGTTCTTTATGAGTTTCGATATTTCGGGGTTGCGGGGTTAAGGGCTTCGGGTTTAGGGGTTCACAGGTTTGGGGTTCAGGGGTTTAGGGGTTCGGGGTTTTGGGGTTTCGACTCGCACACTCGCACGCAGGCTGGCACGGCTCCATGAGGTCGAGACTGCTACTGTGACATGCGACAGGCACGGGGTTTAGTGCTTAGGGTTTAGGGGTTTAGGGTTTCCCGTTTGGGGAGTTTAGGAGGTTTGGGGTACTATTACTTACAGTTCCTTTAACGGTTCCGGGTTTCGGAACCAGGGTTCCCGCAAGGGCTCTATCAGGGTTTAGGGTCAAGGAACTTAACTTCCAGCTAACATAAATTTCCTTCAATTGTTCTATAAAAGCTTAACTTAAATTACCATAATGGGAAGCTTCGCAAATAGTTTGGTTTCCGCAATTCTGGTAAGTTACATTGTTATCTGACAAACCAGAAAATAAAGGTTTCGGGTTCAGGGCTAGTTTAGGATTCGCTGTGTGTTGAAACTCGGTAGTTGGGGGTTAAGAGTTCAGGCATCGAAGCTCTGGAGAATTAGGATGTAGCGGCTGAGTACCCTAGCCCCCCCCAAAAAGGCTAACCTTTTGAATGAAACTAGGATTATATAAGCCCCAAAAAACCCTAAACCCTAAACCCCTAAACCCTAAACCCTAAACCTTAAGCCCCCAAAAAGGTTAAAGGTCACCTACTCAGCCCCTAAGAGGACATAATGCGATGCGGGGACTCTCTTCGGCCCCTGGAGCCCCTGGAGCCCCCCCCTAGTAGCTGATTGAATAAGGCAGGGCTCCTTAAAGGGATCTATAGGGTTCCTTAAAGGGATCTGTAGGGTTTAGGGTTTAGGGTCTACTTGGAGGATCATGGGACTTAGTATGTAAGGTTATAAGTACCTTCATTGGGGTTACAAGTATAGTTGCCTTAGTTTACAACCTTACTTACTAAGCCCCATGATCCTCTAAGTAGTAGCTGATTGAATAATTAAGGCTCATTGAAGATCTTCAATGGGATGTACTTGTCCAGTTTCCTAGGAAAACCAATGAAGCTTAACCTTTAGGGGTTGTATAGGCCCCGCAAGGTCGGAGGCTGCATGCCCTCCTACTAAGACGTTACTGCTACTGGAAGCCTCGTGACTTAACAAACCCGAAACCCTTTATGCAGCAGGCCTCGTTGTCCAGCAGCCCGGTTACAGCAAGAGCCCCCCTTTCCCCCGGCTTCTTCAAAGCAAGGAGAGGGGTCGAGCTGACACTCGCGACGACACTATCTGATATGACACTACCTTACAAACCCGAAACCCTAAGCCCTAAACCGTAAACATCCCAATGTTAGGGTTTAGGGTTTAGAGTTTAGGGTTTAGGGGGTTTAGAGCTCAGGGTTTACAATGGCCCCCCTTCGGGAGAAAGAGGCAAACAGGAAGCTCTGGGGAACTAAAGGTTAACCTTTTTGATTGTATAGAGGTTATATAGGGATTATACTACCCCAACAAGGTTAAAGGTTACCTACTCTACTACTAGGTATTTCGGCTGTTCAGATTTTCATTAGCAGGATTCAGGTGGTTTGCAACCTTCTTCGTTTTACATCTTCGCTATGAGATTGAGCCACTCGGGTAAACCCTAAGCCCTAAACCGTCTTGCCTATCTGATCTATAACCTTGTACTGGTCGGGCGCCCTGCTTTCGGGCAATGTCCATGTCTAAATTGGACTGCAGCAGAAGGCGTGCAACATTCACCTGCCTCCTCTCTATGGGCTGGCGCCAAAATCCATGGCCTTGTCCATGTCCGCCTTGGCGTTCAGCAGTAGTGCAACCTCAAGCTGCCCGCTCTCAGCTGCAATGAGCAAAGGGGTTGCGCCAGAATGCGTGGCTATGTCCATGTCCGCGTTGACCTCCAGCAGAAGTTGCACAATTTCCAGCTGCCCATGCTCAGCTGCAGTGAACAAAGGGGTGGCGCCAGCATGCGTGGCCTTGTCCATGTCCGCCTCGGCATCGAGTAGAAGTTGTGCAACTTTCAGCTGCCCATGCTGAGCTGCAATGAACAATGGGGTGGCACCTTCCGATTGGGCCTTGTCCTTGTCCGCGTTGGACTCCAGCAGAAGGCGTGCAACATCCAACTGCCCATGAAGAGCTGCAGTTAGCAATGGGGTGGCGCCGTCCTGCATGGCCTTGTCCATGTCCGCATTGGCGATCAGCAGTAAGCGTGCAATCTCCAGCTGTCCATTTTCAGCTGCAATGAACAAAGGGGTGGCGCCAGCATGCGTGGCCTTGTCCATGTCCGCCTCGGCATCGAGTAGAAGTTGTGCAACTTTCAGCTGCCCCTGCTGAGCTGCAATGAACAATGGGGTGGCACCTTCCGATTGGGCCTTGTCCTTGTCCGCATTGGCGATCAGTAGTAAGCGTGCAATCTCCAGCTGTCCTTTTCCAGCTGCAATGAACAAAGGGGTAGCGCCAGCATGCGTGGCCTTGTCCTTGTCAGCATTGGACTCCAGCAGAAGGCGTGCAACATCCAGCTGCCCCTGCTGAGCCGCAATGAACAACGGGGTGGCGCCGTCCTGCATGGCCTTGTCCTTGTCCGCATTGGCGATCAGTAGTAAGCGTGCAATCTCCAGCTGTCCTTTTCCAGCTGCAATGAACAAAGGGGTAGCGCCAGCATGCGTGGCCTTGTCCTTGTCAGCATTGGACTCCAGCAGAAGGCGTGCAACATCCAGCTGCCCCTGCTGAGCCGCAATGAACAACGGGGTGGCGCCGTCCTGCATGGCCTTGTCCTTGTCCGCATTGGCGATCAGTAGTAAGCGTGCAATCTCCAGCTGTCCTTTTTCAGCTGCAATGAACAAAGGGGTGGCGCCAGCACGCGTGGCCTTGTCCATGTCCGCATTGGCGATCAGTAGTAAGCGTGCAATCTCCAGCTGTCCTTTTTCAGCTGCAATGAACAAAGGCGTGGTGGTGCCAGCATGCGTGGCCTTGTCCATGTCCGCCTCGGCATCGAGTAGAAGTTGTGCAACTTTCAGCTGTCCCTGCTGAGCTGCAAAGAACAATGGGGTGGCACCATGCTTTTGGGCCTTGTCCTTGTCCGCATTGGACTCCAGCAGAAGGCGTGCAACATCCAACTGTTCATGAAAAGCTGCAATGAGCAATGGGGTGGCGCCGTCCTGCATGGCCTTGTCCTTGTCCGCATTGGCGATCAGTAGTAAGCGTGCAATCTCCAGCTGTCCTTTTTCAGCTGCAATGAACAAAGGGGTGGCGCCAGCACGCGTGGCCTTGTCCTTGTCTGCATTGGCCTCCAGCAAAAGGCGTGCAACCTCCAGCTGCCCCTCCTGAGCCGCAATGAACAAAGGCGTGGCGCCATCCTGCCTGGCCGCCTTGTCCGTGTCTGCATTAGCCTCCAGCAAAAGGCTTGCAACCTCTGCTTGGCCGTGCTCGGACGCCTCGAACAGAGGGGCCGGATCGCCCAAATCTGGGTCTTGCGGTCTTTGTAGAAGAGTCTCCACTTCTGCTGACAGGCCACGTCTAGCTGCATCCCGAAGTGCTGTCACTTGAGGGTCCGATGGTGGGCAGAAGCTTAGAAGTACGACCTGAACTTCGCCAGGTCTCAGGGTTCCATCTTCACCTAGAACTGTGCCATCATCAAGAAATACCAGCCTTTGCCGGAACCTTGACACACCACAAATGCTGCGCAAGTGTTGCTTCAGTGCGCGGACAGCATGCATCCCTGCAGACAGCGTCTCGAGAAAGCTCGTCAAGTCAAGGGCAACGAGTTCTTCACTCGACACGGTCTGAATCCGCAGCATGGCCGATGCTGAACGGAAAGGATGCAAGCACAAGCTTCAGCTCCGCATTCTTCTTTGAGCTTGGAGAGGCAAAGGATATTAGCCCGTGCTCTCTCGCTTTCTCTGCATCCATGAACTGTTATGTGTGTGGCAAATGCGGCCTCCTCAAGATGTTCTGCAACCCTCACCCCCTGGAGGGGCCTTAATATACCGAAAGACAAGAGAGCACGATAACAAAGGAGCCCTACGGCATGATATTGGAACCTATTCATGCCTCCTATACTAAAACGCATATAGCACCTAGACCATTCTAGTAGCCGTTACCCGGAAAACGAACCCAACAAGGAACCTCCAAGAATCCCTCCAGTCTTTCACAATCTTGCCTTTGCAGCCTCGGCCGCCTTTCTCTGCTGCTCCTTGAGAACTTCTCCGGGTTCGGGTGTTTATGCTCCAGGGTTTTAGGCGTAGAGTTTAGGGTGTAGAGTTTAATGTTTCTTGGGTCGGATTCGCACCAGTTCAAGCACGTGCTGCTTACACCAAACCTCACACCAGTATCATCCTGAGTTGTCCTTTAAGCCCTTGGAAAGTTATTTACTATTTTCTCTACAAAAGAACAGAGGAAATTAAAAAAGATCCCAAAGGACAACCCAGCATCATGACATATGCTCAACACCGATGCTAGCACGACCCCAGCAGCTAGACGCATGCATGATCTGAGGAGCTAGTGATCCACAGGAACAATGCAAGATCCTGCTCCCGTGCCGAATGCTAGCCGTGCCAGTGGATCGATTGGGATGCTATAAGGGTTAATAATTAGAATAGGATTTTTGGGGCCCAATACACTATAGTTATAGAAGGAACCCGCAAAAAACAGTAGTAGTAATTATTTAAGCCCCTACGATAACGGTCGCTGAGTCCCTGAACCTGTCTCCAGTGAGCGAACCTATCAGTCGAACTCCGTTTCATGGGACCTTCAGAAGGTTTGGGAACGCGCAAAGATCCCAAGACTCCTTAATTAAGGAATGTACCTTAGGCCCCTATAACTTAAGGTATATTCCTGAATTAAGGGATATTGGGATCTTGAGGTGGCTCGAATGACCATGACATTCCCTTTTCCTCTTGCGAACCGTGTTCGCGAGCGGGCAAAGCCCTCATCCGAAGTTCCAGCCTGGACATCCAGCCCTCGGTCATAGGCCGGTCGTTCACTACAGCCATACCCGGTACGTGAGTAGTGCTGTCGCCGGTGAGACGGGACCGTGGTCAATGCAACTGGCCAGGGTCTGTAGCTGGTTGGTTTAGGGTTTAAGGTGCTTCGGGTTTAGGGGTTTAGGGTTTAGGGTGCTTCGGGTTTAGGGGTTTAGGGTGCTTCGGGTTTAGAGGTTCGGCTATTGGGGTATTAAAATTCAAGGCTTCGGGGTCTGAAATATTCTAGGGGAGTCGAGAGGGCTGCAATAAGGGTCTTAAAGCTCCTTCAGGGCGCACTGGAGTTTTCGTAGAGTCCTGACCCAAAGCCCGCACCCCACAACACTGAAACCCTCAACTAAACTCTAAGATCCCTATACTCTCAGACCCTTAAACCACAAGGACCCCTAAGCCCTACACCCTGAACCCTAAATGATTAAGGAGACGGGTTGCGCGCTGACAGGTTGGCCTGCTCATGGAAGGACCTAGATACTATAAAGCTTTGGTGTCACGGTTTGCTGGTTTAGGGTTTAGGGTTTTAGGGTTTAGAGGGTGCAGGATGTGGGACTTACCGGCTACAACAGAGATTGAGTTTCTATGGTTGTGTACGGGGTTGAAACCCTTGGTTAACCGATTAAGGTTTCAACCCGAAGCTTCTAACGCTTATAAACCCTAAAACCCCAAAAAGCTCTGCTGAACCCTTTGACCCTTAAACCCTAGAATCCTTAGAACTCTTACGCCCTTGACCCTCAAGGGCTTAGGTTTAAGCAAGGGGTGTACTGATCTTCGGGGCAGTAGAGGCCACGGACACTTGAATTGCGCATATAAGGGCCTTTGAAACTTTAAAGTGTAGGGGATCTATAGTAGGATACTATATAGGGGCCTCAAAACAGTTAGACTAGGTTTACTCTTCGAGGGGTCCTTTAAAGGGATCTATAGTAGCGTTCTACGTTGCATAGATCGATTTGGGGGGTCTCTCAGGGTTTTATAAGGAGTCTGTACAGGTCTACTGTGCATTCGTGTGCACGTCTTATGGTGTTTGATGGGGCTTGTAGACTCCAATTGTCAATAAGGGTTTTATCCTAAACCCTAAACCTGTATCAAGCTACAACCCCAAATACAACTACGACTCATCAAGAGGATGTTGGGGTGAACGGTTCTCGGGACTTTTTGATACAGAATTACAGCATGAGAAGCGCGTCGCTACACAGACACCTTCACAGACATCTGTCCTTGCTGAAGAAACTGTTACTGTCTCTGCGGGTTTAAGAACCCTTTGTATTTTTAAACCCGTAGCGAGGCCCGGGTGAATGACAAGAGAAAGCGTAACGACGCTGACGCAACGTAAGCCCGAAACGCCCGAACGAGCGCCTTCCAGATACTTTAGAAGGGGCCCCCACCCTGTAATAGTGGTATAATAGGAATATAATAGGGCCCTAATATAATTCTTATAGTCACTATTACAGGGTGGGGGCAGCTTCTAAACACTAAGTATTTGCTGGGGTTTTGGAATTCTTTCAGCCAGTGCTATCACAAACTCCGCTCTATGCCCTCAACCCCAAACCCCTCCACAAATAGAACCAAGTTACTTCCAAACCCTTGAAAGCATTACATGTTGCAAAACACCAGGAGACCTTGAATACGTCAAAGCGCTAGACCCAGAGACTCCAATATCCCTTAATTAAGGAATATTCCTGAAATCATAATAGGGGTCCTATTATTATTTAAGGTATATTCCTTAACTAAGGGATATTGGAGTCTCTGGGGAACACCAAAACAACTCAATTCGCCCCTGGGCTCCTGCAATGCCAGCTGCTGCGCCCGTAGAGACTCCAGCTGCCTCTGCCTCTCCTTTCGATCGCGCGGGGCCTTTGGGGTCTGTCTGAGTTGTCCTTCAAGCCCTTTGGAAATTATTTACTATTATGGTTCTCTACAAAAGAATAGGTGAAATTAAAGAAGATCCCAAAGGACAACCCAGCTTTGATGGGAGGCCAAAAGGGGGTTGAAGATTCTTGGGGTAGGGATTCGTTAGTATGAGCCCTAACACGGGAACCCTAGTCCCTACTAAACCCCCATAGGCTAAAACCCCTTTTGGCCTCCTATGAGTTGCAGCACTCACACTCGGACGAACCATGGCGAGGATTCCGGTACGCGGCGAACAGCACATGTCTTGAGGGTGTAGGGTACAGGAGCTTAGGGCTACCTGCCAAAAACCCTATAAGCCAACCCTTTGAAACCGATAAACGACCGTTTAAACCCGCTATAGAACTGAAAACTAACTTAACGACACGCATCAGAAAGAACATTAAGACCCGCACCCCAAACCCTGCAAGGCCCACTGCGAAACTTTTGAAAGCACGAAAAGAACCCACAAAATAGCGGCTAAAATGACTATAAGACTTCTCAAAACCCGGTCGAAACCGCAGCAAGCAACTATATTCATTCCGCTATTAACGAAACCTTTGAACAACTCCACGTTTGTCCAAAAAGTAAAAAAGATAAGAAGACAAAATCGACGAACAGGCATTCAACCCAGAAAGCTTGATAGAAACCTATTCAGCCCCCGCAAAACCCTGTACAAACGCTGCACAGAAACATTAACCCTTCTATAAGAGCACTGAAGGAACCTGTTCGAACACTAACGGACCCGCATAAGCACTATAGCCCCTTCGCACCCTGTAGCAAAACAACACCGATCAAAGATCTTACCAAAACTAATCTCCATACCAAGAAGTGATGAAAACAAACATTGCAAACTGTCAAAGCACTGAAGCCCTTTATTTCAGAACGACCTTCAAACATATTTTAGACACATTGTAAAAAAAAACATGCTTTGCAAGCTTCTGTGTGAACCCCTATCAAGACACCACAAAAGAAAGCCCTACAATCCTAGGTGGGGCTTTTAAAGCCTTTGAAAAATATTAGTAGATAAGATCCTCTTAAGCCCAATAGGGGAAAATATAAAATGTCCCAAAGCCCTACCTAGAATCTACAAGCGCCCTGGGAAACCCGCTCCTTGTCTGCCTCTCGCACTTTCCACTCGGCATCGAGCTTCTCCTTGCCAGGATTTAGCGTTTAGGGGTTTAGGGCTTGCTTAGAGTTTAGGGTTTAGGGGTTTCGGCGCTCACACTCGGACAATCCAGGCGAGGCATATGAGTTCGCGTCTGCAAAGTTTAGGGTTTAGGGTTTGCTTAGAGTTTAGGGTTTGGGATTAGCGTTTAAGGTTTTCCGTGGAACAGCGCGTAGGCGACAGTATCTTGAGACAAGGCTGTGTCGAGTGCATCGTACTATGGCGAGGAGCTGCGACAGCCTGTCTGTAGCCGCCTTTCCCTTTATCTCCACCCAACGCCGCGAACACCCAAGGATTTAAAGCTAAACTCATGCCAAACCGCTTTCAGGGCAGGGCAAGGGCGAGGGCGAGGGTAAGGGCAAGGGCAAGGGCAACGGCAGGACCCTCAGCCTATTCCTGAAGCCCTAAACGTTGGAGACTTAGACCCTGAACCCGACCCCACCACTCTCCCGGGCCCTAAACCCTAAACCCTAAACCCTAAACCCCTAAACCCCTAAACCCCTAAACCCTAAACCCTAAACCCTAAGCCCACCTGCTTCTCTGCCAGAAGAACGCTGTGAACCCTTGCCTTGAACGCCTCGCCGCCGTGGGTTTCCAAGGGCTCTAAGAGAAGGGGCCTTCATAATTAGAATAGTCTTAAAAGGAAGCTACAAAGGCCACTATAGAATCCAAGGGTAATAGGAGGGACCCTTAATACAGGACCCCTAGGTAGCCCCTTAAAGGGTAGGGGTCCCCACTAAGGGTCCCTCCTTTTCCCCTTTGATAGAAGGGCTACCACAACTTGGAGGATCATGGGACTTAGTAAGTAGGGTTATAAGTGCCTTAATTGGGGTTATAAGCACTTATAAGTAAAGTATAGTTACCTTATTTATAACCCCACTTACTAAGTCCCATGATCCTTTAAGAAGGGTCTAGTGTAGCGACTGCTGGGTTTCTATGGATCTAAGCGGATGTCAGGGCTTGGAGGTTTGGAGCTTCAGCGTTTTGGGTTTCGGTACACTTTAGAGTTTAGGGCTTTGGGGTTTTGGGGTTACATAGGCAACTCGCGCACTAACGCGAGGATCTGTTGTAGACATTCAACACTTCTACTGCTGGTAAGGATGAGGAGGGTTTCAATGTTAAGGTTCCTGCCATTCTGGACACTCTTGTCCTTTTAGAAGTAATAGACAGAGGCCTATACCTATATCCCTTATTAGTAGGAATTGCTTAAGAAGGTCTACTAGCCAGTCTGTTTATTCTTTTGAAGAACCATGAAAAAGGACAAGGCCGATTCTGGAGGGAAGCGGGATTACTGATCAGGTCAAAGTCGGGAGTCTATGCAGTGCTCCCCCACGACTCCAGAAATAATAAAATTGGCCCCTCAAACCTAGAGCCCCCAAGTACCCTTTATAGCAGTCCCTATAACTACCTCTTAATGAGAAATACTAGTGCCCTTTAAAGGGTACCTGGGGGGCCCCTCAAACAGACATCGCTCGGAACCCTCCGCCTTCAAAACCCAGAGCCCTAAGTTACTAAGGCAGGGAGCGCCAACCCTAAACGAAACAGCCCGAAACCCCAGACAGGAACCCCCAAATCACCAACCCAAACGAGGAATCCTAAAACCTGCACCCCATGTAAGGCCATGGCGTTTTATGTAGTTTTCAGGTTTCTGTAGGGACTAGAGCTTAGGTTTCTGTGGAGCCTCGAAACAAGGACTGCCAGCACACCGCAGCCCCGAGTCCGACTCATGTGCTTTCTTAAGCTCGATTTTTTCTACGCCCTAAGTAGTCCCTAGATAATCCCCCGATAATAGTCTCCGGAACCCATTCCCCCATTTACCAAGAACCAGGCAGTAAATCCTAAAGCCTGTGCAATTCCCAGGTAGGGTATATGGTTTAAAGTTTAAAGCTAACTCCTACCACTCCGAGCTCCTGCTGGCTGGCCGTGTTGTTCAGGATCCGCACACATTTCTACGTTTTGCAGGACTGAGTCAAAGGAATACTAAACGCACAGTGTTACGGCTCAACTTGTGCTGCAAGTGAAGACTTCAAAATTCGTTTCGGAGGCTTGGTGGTGGGGCCTTGCATCGTTTCGGGAGTGGGTGGGTTACTAGTTGGACAATGCCTATCAGTGGCCTATCAGAAATCCTGAAGCCTGAGCCTAAGCCAACAATGGCCCAACCTTTCAAGGTGCAGGAACCCCCAACTCACCCGGAACAGCCGTCGCCCCTAAACCATCATCCCGAAACTCTTGGACCGAACTACACCCTGAAATCCTAAACCCTCAACCGTAAAATCCCAACATCCTCAACCCTAATATCCTATACCATCAATCGTCAAATCCTTTTTGCAGCAGGCCTCGTTGTCCAGCAGCCCGGTTACAGCAACCGCCCCCTAAACCCTCAACCGTAAATCATAAACCATAGGGCCCCGGGGCCTCTGGAGGCTCACCGACCACCACCAAGGCCACGCGCTTGAAGTGAGGGAAATCGAAGCGAAGGGCGAGATCCTGGTGGTGGGTGTCCGTATGCAGAGTCTGGGGTGTAGGGGTTGGAGTTTATAGGTTTTTAGGGTTTAGGGGTTAGGGGTAGGGGTTTAGGGTTTAGGGTTAGGCTGCAAGGAGCAGGGTTTCGGGCAAACTTCGCGGCAGTGGGAAGATGATAACAAGTACGTATGTTGACACAAGCGTTCTCCTTCCCCCTTTCTTTTCTCTGACCGTGTAAGTGTCCAGCGGGCGTAGCAATCAGAATCAGGAACTTGGGTTCAGGATGACCTTTTCAAGGTTTTGTAGGAAAATACTCAGGAGAGTATATGATTATCAATCGCTTGGACTCGGATGGCAGGCGTTTTCGACAACCTTACTTTAGGGCGGCGTTTGGAGCTTTTAGTGTTGATGGCTCTGCCTGGAGCCTAGCAACCAAGTCATTGTGACGGGGGCTTTAAAAGGTTTCTTAACAAGTCGATATGCTTTTGTGGGATTGTGAAGCAGCTGCATCAGGGTTTAGGATTTAGGTTGTTTTTGTTTAAGCACCTTTTTCCGTCTGCAGAGAGTCTCTACTCAGGAAGCCTTGGCTTGAAGGCAGGATTTAGGGGTTTAGGGTCTACCTTAACCCTCGATAACCTACCTTTTTAGGGTTCCTTATTCTGATTTCCTTATATAGGTCCTTTAAAAGGTAGGTCCTTCAGGGTTAAGGTAGGGTTTATTAACACTCGAATTCCCGGAGCCAGGGCATCCTAAAAGCAAGATGGGCGACTTCATGGCACGCCAAAGCCCGGAGCATGCGACCTGGTGGTTTTGAGGCGTTTGGATGCTTGCCAACAATAGGGACCCAAAAAGCACACAAGCAAAATCTCTCTCTCTGTCTCTCTCTGTCTCTCTGTCTCTGTCTCTCTGTCTCTCTGTCTCTCTGTCTCTCTGTCTCTCTGTCTCTCTGTCTCTCTGTCTCTCTCTCTCTCTCTCTCTCTCTGCCAGTTAGTTGGCCCTGCCTTTTTGCTGCCTTCAGTGATCCCAGGCAGACCTCGAAGATATGCTGAAGGAGCTTTTGTTTCCCGTGCTCTTGCAGATCTTGTCCCCGAGAAGACACATATGACAGGAGTTGGACGAAGAGGTCCAGGGATCAGAAGCAGAACCAGATCAGGCCTGGTTCTAGTTTTGCCACAGCTACCCAGCTAATGCCAAAGAAAATTGTTGTTTTTGAATGGAACGTCCATGTTCCTGTCTTGGTCGTTGTTATAGTGTGGAGGTGTGCGTGGCCCGGGAACAGGGTCCTGATCATTCCGTAGGCATGTTGGCTGAAGCGACCAGATGGCTCGGATGACTGTGTTTATGAAAAAACGCTGGACTTTCTCTCTGCTTTCTTGGCTATATGGGTTAGATAGCTTCTTGCTCGCATATAGATCTACAGCGATCTAGACTGTTTTAACTTCTTGGCCACTTGGTAGTGATGCTTTGACCTGCGGACGAGTCTTCAGCTGAAGAGGGAGATGACAAGGACTGCATCGCCGGCAGGTACCTTTCATGCATTGCTCCACTGGCTCAGCAAGCCACTGACGGTCGTCGGTCGTTTGCTGAGTCAGTGGAGCCCTGCATGAAAAGCCCTGGCATCCCACAACCCAGGCCAGCCACCAGTTCCAGAAATCATCTGAGATAGATTGGTGGCCTGGCATCAGATGGAAGAGGATGCTGCAAATACAGAACTGGATACAATCGGCCTTGCTTGATCTGCTGGAAGAGGAGGATGCACAGGGGCATGCATCAAGTGAGCTATGTGCTTCGGGGGATACAACTGCTGTGGATCCTCAGGTAGCCTGATTTCAGACCTTTTCTAACACTATCGATGCATTGGGGACTGAAATCACAATGTCGCATAGAAACATGCCTTGGCAGAGCAGTGCTGGCTGAACAGATAGCCAGCCTGCGGGTCCGCCCCTTCTGCATGCAGCAAGGCTACACAAAAGACCTTCCCTACTAAGCCATGGTAGCAGGTTTGCTGCATCGGCCCCCCAGCTTCTGTTGGGGGACTGCTTCCATGGACAGGTGTAAGATGATTTATCGCTCACACCTGCCTGTCAAGGGGAGGCACAGTGTTGTGTCCTTCAGTGTTGCCTGCTGTGTTGCAGTCCTTTGTGGTTCGACTGGTCCTGTGTCGCCCTTTCGTCATGCTTGGCTATAGTTGGCTTTGTTCTGTACTGCACTTGATTCTTGAACCTTGGCCCTTGAATTCCTCAAGTCCTGCTCTTTGTCTTGCGCGGTCGCTTTTGGCTTGTTCTTCGTTTCAGTTTTGGCTCTACCAAGAGGCAAGCCTGCAAGGCAACCCAAAAAAACATCGGGCTTGCCTTCAAACCGTTGGCCGGGTTTGGAGCTCACACTCTTGGAACCATGTTGTGTCTGACAGAGCTTTTGGCCAACATGCTCCAGCCTTGGGAAGCAGACGACAGCAGGGCAATGTGCCAATGTGCCTGCTGGGCTCTGGGAAGGACACCATGGAGTACAGGGAGTGGATGTGGCGGTGGGGCGAGACCCGCATCTGTCCATATTACATGGGAGGCCTCTTGTGATCGATTGACTCGCTTGACTCGCTTGACTGTTTCGTTTCTTCGTGCTTTGACCGGTCCTGTGTCGCCTTTTTGTCAGTTATTGCCGGATACCGCCTTTGGGTTCCTGTGTGAATGTTTTTGTGACCGACAGTGTTTAACATGAGTAAGAATATGTGCATGGCACATTGTGGCATGAGATTGGGTTGCCCTTGCTGCATGTCGTTGTGTGCATCATGATGATGTGCTTGCCATATGCTGACCCAGAGGATAATCCTTGTAGTATGCTTGATACCTTTGATTTTCATGCTTTGCACTACAGTCTCGGCCGCTCGGTCGGTGCAAGGGGTTGTCGTCCTTGGAGCACTCTTCATATCTTCGCCTTGGGCCTGCCGTTTGGGTCCATCCTCTTTTCACTCTCTTCTGTCATGGATAACCTTCTTGATGCCTTGGCCTTGGGCTCTGCATCTGGACCTTGGCCTTCGTTTCGACACAGCATGGCGTTTGGCATGAGATTGCGTTGTGTTCCCGTTGCCGCTTGTCTTGTGTTGTGGCATGACTTGCTGATTGCCATTTGAATGCGAGCCAGCAGAACCTATGCTTACCCAGTGGAAAGGAGCCCCCGAGGAGGGTGTGGACAATTTCACATGCAGGGTTGGCCGCCTGCAGGCGTGGTTCCATTCCCGCGGTGTTAAGGCCACGCCGACGTGGCCGATGATCGCTTTAACGATCCAGGGATATCCCATATAAACCCCGTTATAATGAAGCCCACAAAAGTAGGGATACCCCTATAAAGTGCTTATGCTTACGTCCTTTTGGGGTCCCTAAAACAATTCAGCAAAACTTCCCAGTCGGCCCTCCCACGGCATGTCGACACTTACTTGACCTAAGGCCGCTGATACCCTAAAAGCGCATCCTCATCAGAAACCCGCACAGTGCCACAAAGGGACCCTAAACCCTAACCCTAAACCCTATAAACCCTAAAGCCTAAAGCCTAAACCCTATAAGCCCTAAACTCTACAAACCCTAAAAATCCTGAACCCTAAACCCCCAAACCCCTAAACCTAAACCCCCAAACCCCTAAACCCTGAACGTCTAAAGCCTAGAGATCCCTTGAAAGAACCCTTATAGCACCCCTTAAAGGAACCCTCTGAACCTCTAAGGCCTAGAGACCCTTTATAGAACCCTTATAGATTCCTTTAAAGGAACCCTTAAAGAAACCCCTAAACCCCTAAACCCTCTGAACCTCTAAACAGTAGAAGCCAGAAAGTTGGAATATCATTATCGTAACCCCTTTTAAGGTAAATTATAGGGGATCCTACCATATTCCAACTTTCTGGAGTTCCCCTAAACCCCTAAACCCTAAACCCTAAACCCCTAAACCCTGAACCTCAAAAGCCCTGAGGACCTAAACGCGCCGTTTCTTCCCGTTTTGCTCCGCCCGGGGGAGCAGCCCAGGAGACCCATTCCTAAGTTGTCCTTTAAGCCCCGATTTAGGGTTTAGGGTTTAGGGTTCAGGGTTGTCCTTTAAGCCCCGATTTAGGGTTTAGGGTTCAGGGTTGTCCTTTAAGCCCCGATGTAGGGTTTAGGGTTTAGGGGTTTGGGGGTTTAGGGTTTAGATTTAGGGTTTACCTTTACCCTGAATAGCCTACCTTTTTAGGGTTTCCTATTATGTTTTCCTTGTATAAGTTCTTAAAAAGGTAGGTTCTTCAGGGTTAAGGTAGGGTTTAGGGAAAATTGTTTGCTATTATGGTTCTCTACAAAATGGTAGGGGAAATTAAAAAAACATCCCAAAGGACAACCCAGATTCGGAGGAGCAGATCCTCAGCCTGAGTTAGGCATCTCAAGGATTTTAGGGTTTACGCTGGGTTTAGGGTTTAGGGGTTTGGGGGTTTAAGGTTTATGAGGTTTAGGGTTTAGGTTTAAGGGTTGAGAGGTTTAGGGGTTTGGGGGTTTAGGGGTATAGGGGTTTGGGGGTTTAGGTTTTAGGGGTTTGGGGGGTTTAGGGGTTTGGGGGGTTTAGGGGTTTGGGGGTTTAGGGTTTAGGGTTTGGGGCTTTAGGGGTATATATAGGGGTTTGGGGGTTTACGGGTTTAGGGGTTTTGGGGTTCAGGGTTTAGCTGTAGGCTGTCATAGGGACCTTGTAAGCGACTGAATGCTTTCTTAGATTTGGGAGTTTCCGAAAATGGGGCACCCTAACATAGCACCCTAAATAGCAGGATCCCTGTTACAAGGACTCCAAAACGAGATACCACTAATTTTCGGAAACTCCCATTTTGAGCTTCACGCGTCTACACAATAGAGTTCGGGACGTTGGAGTTTTACGAAGGCAGCGTGCAGAGATTAAGCTAAGGTTTAGGGATTGGGGCTCAGGGCTAGAGGTTCAGAGATTGAGGTTTCACGCAACGAAGGTCTGGTCTTGACAAGGTGAAGTAGGCGCGGCTTGGGGAAGATGGAACCAACATCTTGGGTGTACGGGGAAGGTCACATCAATATTCGGCTACTGGGAAGCTGTGTCGACAATCGCTGTGGTCACTTCATCTGAACACAGTTTAGCCCACAAAAGCTTAGCATGCCTGCTCCGGACAAGAAAAGAAAACAGCTTAAGCCCCAAGCTGCGCTAAGCGTTGGATTCCGTGAGCGAGACTTAAGGTGTTGGAGAGGTGCTGGCAGTTCTTGACTGGCAACAGCACTGCCAAAGGCTTGTGAATAATCAATCTTTGCGTTTGTTTCGGGCCTTGTAAACATCTTCCTCTGCACTGCAGGCGTCTACTGTAGCAAAGGTAAAACTCGGTGTTCTTTCCTTCCCGACCGGCAACACGATCTTTCAGAGCTTGTTTTGTTTACTGCAATGGTGGGGTCTCCGGGTACATTATACTATTGTACTATATAACTAGAATAAAGAACCATGGCTAATTAACCCCGTCATCTATGACATTTCTATAACATTAACACTGGAACACCGAGCCCTAACCTTAGCTAAGTCGCAGCAGCCGAGCAGCAAAGTGCCAGAGACCACAAGTGTCGCATGCGACGAAGGCGCTGTGGTAACTGACCACATCTGGACTCAGGTCGGAGCCACCCATGCTGTACCTTCGTTTTTGTTTAAAGCATAGGATTTCGACTCACACACTCGCACGAGGGTGTCATGGCTTCAGGCAATAAGCCCGCTGAGATTTATAGGGTTTCGGGATGGAGGTTTGTGAGGTTCACGTTTAGGAGTATCGGATGGCTTAGCGCTTAGACTTTGTTCGGCCAAGGAGTCAGGCTTTAGGCTTCGTAAAGACGATGGCTTCGGAAACGATTCCAAAAATAGGGGGCACCTTATTAGGATCCTACTCTTTTGGGTACCATATCAGGGTCGCCTATTTTCGGAAACTCCCATATCTTTGTAGCTTCCTGTCGTTGGTTGGTTGTTGTCGTCGTGGTGTAGAGAGCTTAAACCTTAACCCCTGAAGCACCTTGCAATCTCCGAGCAAACCCTGAACCCCTAACTACCGTAAACCCAACAATCCCAAAACCCGAAAAGAAAGAACCCAAAAAAGAAGCCTCCTAGGGGCCCGTATCAAACCCTGAAACCTACCGTGCAAACCCTTTAGAGCCCCGAAATCTCACCCTAAACGCTGACAAAACCCACCTTCACCCAGAAGGACCTACCTTTTCAAGGACTCATATAAGGAAACCGTAAATTAAGGAACCCTAAAGAGGTGGGTTATCAGAGCTAAGGCAAGCCCTAATCCCTACAGAACCCGCAAAAATTCCCTGTAAACCGCTACACATCCTGAAAGAGGAGCCCTTTTTGCCACTGGGCTTGGGGTAGCCAGATCCTTGCATCGCGGCCTTTCGTGGTCACCCGACTCTGTGCAGGTGCATCCAGAAAGAGCCCTAGGCCTTAAACCCTTTGTACAGCTTAAAACCCCACATCCTAAAAACCTCTGCAGCCCAAACCCCAAAACCCTCTCTCAAACCCTAAACCCAAAAACCCTAAAGCCCTAAACCCTTTTAAAGCCCACGTGGCAGCAAGCTGAGTGCGACCTCCCAGCGACCAGAGCAAGAGAGGATGGCGCTGTTCAAGCTGATGAGGTCCAGTGGGATCCTGGTAAGTTTCCGGAGTGTAGCGTTATAGGGGTATTCTTGCTTGGAGGCCCTTTTGACTTAGTAAGTAGGGTTAGTAAGGTGGGTTATGGGGATTATAATAGGGTTTCTGGGGGATACTAAGTAGACTTACTAAGTCAACAGGGCCTCCAAGTGCTGGTTAGAGGGATTCTTTGGGGTTGCTATATGGGCTTAGCATAGACGACTTCATAACCAGAAGAAGGTTTTAGGGCATACCATAGAAACATATGGCCAGTTGTTTAGGGTTCCAAGTCAAGGAGTGGTTGATAAGAGTTGCTACAAGGGTTGCTCTTGGGGAGGCATATAATAAGGGTTTGGGAATCGGTTTAGAGTTTAGGGTTTAGGGTTTAGGGTATCATGCAAGAATTTTCGAGTTTGGAGCTTTACATCTGGATGAGGCTCTGGGGTACATTACAGCGTGTCCATGCGTAACAAGATGAGCTCATTCTAACTATACCGACCCCTTGCCGTAATAAAGGCGCCTTAACAATTAGAATAGGGTTTTTGGGCCCACTATAGACAATAATTATAATAAGGAACCCCCAACATAGTATTGGTAATTATTTAAGCCCTTATAGTACTTGGAGGCCCTGTTGACTTAGTAAGTCTACTTAGTATCCCCTAGAAACCCTATTATAATCCCCATAACCCACCTTACTAACCCTAGTTACTAAGTCAAAAGGGCCTCCTAAACCCCTATAGACCCCTTAAGGGAACCCTTGATAGTACCCTTTAAAGGAACCCTAAGAACCCTTTAGGGCTTACTAAGTCAAAAGGGCCTCCAAGTAGGGGCCCGGATCGGGTCCTCTGGGCAGGAAGACGCGCGAGGAGATCGAGGGCAGTTTGCCATTGGCCTGTCACACGTCGGACAGAAAGGATCTGGCAGTTTCCGAGACTTAGGAAGACCTTATTTAGGGGTCCTTATAATAAGGATCCTAGTATTTAGGATACTATACTAGGGTCCCCTATCTTCGAAAACTCCCATCTGTGGTCGTGGGACTTCGTAAGTAGATTAGACGCGAGCTATTCTGCGTCAGAACTAAGCCCCCACGGGATAAACGAAACTTATACCACATAAGATATTGAGAAGTTGCAAGTTTCGCAACCCTGAACTAGCCTACCCTAAACCCAAAACCCCAAACCCCAACCTACCCCAAACCCTAAACCCTACACCCCAAGCCCTAAACTTACACCCTACACCCCAAACCCTAAACCCTACACCCCCCTAAACCCTAAACCCTACACCCCAAACCCTAAACCCCAAACCCTAAACTTACAGCACGAAGTCCCCAAGATCTTGCGGGAAGACAACAGCTCCGGGGCCACATCTCTTCCCCGAAATCGGGCGACCGGTGTACTACTGTCGATGATATAAACCCTACCCTTCCTTCAAAGGGATCTATAAGGGCACCTTTAAGGGGCCCCTTTAGGGGATCTATAGGGTTTTAGAGTTTAGGGTTTAGGGTGATGATATAAATCTAAGATACATTAAGGACCCCAAACTATGGGAACTACGCTATATTCCTTGTTATGAGCAATGCAGGATTTATGTCATCAGCCGTTGGCTTAGGGTTTCAGGGATGGCAGGAGGAGGGCCTGAACAACTGCAACAGACATGATAAGACTTGGTCATATAGGGTTTAGGGTTTAGGGTTTAGGGTTTAGGGCATGTATATATAGTTCGAACAAGCAAAGTAGTCAATGTGCTGGTGTTGGCATGTAGGCTGATAGTACTACTATGTATTACTTGATCCTTCGCATTTTGATCTAAAGCCAACGTACAGACATCGGAGGATAGTACATATGTGTATCTTTGTGACAAAGATATGGGAGTTTCCGAAAACAGGGGACCCTAATATAGCACCCAAAAGAGTAGGATCCTAATAAGGTACCCCCTATTGTTGGAAACTCCCATATGCAGAAGTTGATATCAGCCGATGTTTAGCCTTTCGCAACCGAGCCCTTAAACCCTCCAAAGTCAGAATGTGTGGAGAAAGCTCGGGCAGCTCGCCGTCTTTCTACAGGACACTGGAAGCTCGTGGGGTTCAAGTGTGAGGTAACGGCTTGAAGCAAAAAAAAAGGCATGAATAACTAGAATAGGGTTACCTTTAAAGGCTCCTTCAAAGGGATCTATAAATAAGGGTTCCCACACAACCGTCATCCTTAGAATAGGGCTTTCTTTAACCGTATATTATACTATAGTGACAATAACGACCCCCCTTAAAAAATGGTAGAGGTAACCATTGAGGCCCCGATACTATGCCGGGTAGGCCTACTGGTGAAAAGGAGGAGCGGAAGGCTCAAGAGAGGCGAAAGCAAAAAGTGGACGGAGGGTTGTGATGGGGAGGCCAAGAGGGGGGTTTAAGATTCTTGGGGTAGGGATGCCAGAATATGATCCCTATTATGGGAACCCTAATCCCTACTAAACCCCCATTCGCGAAAACCCTTTTTGGCCTCCTATGAGGCTGGAAACAACATCTCCAAAACTGTAGCCCAAACAAAGTGTCTGGAAGAGTCGCACAGCATGATGTGGAAAGACATGTGGTATAGTTTACCTGGAGGACATGTGAAAGCAAAAGGATGTTTTGCGAATTTTGGGGGGGGCACCAGAGCATTCATCAGCAAAACTTAAGGGTAAAGACCGTGTCCACCTCTGGCGGAATTGTTTCACACGCACCTGAACGCAATGCTCCATTAAATCATGCAGACCCCTATCTTTCGTACCCTACATGCAAAAAGAAAACAACGGAGCCTGCCTGACTTCTCTGCAGCGCTTATGACGCTGTTGTAGGTGATGGTGTTCGGTTGCACTCTGAGGACCTGATGCCACAGCCAAGGGTTTGGGCTAGGGCTTGGTCTTCAAAGGTTGGAAGTTCCGTGTAAGGCCATCGAGTCTTTCGAGGCTTGGGATCGTGTTGCCACTCGCCCGAGCCGAAGCCGTTCAAGCAGCGTCTCAACCAAAACTGTGGCCGGCTGACATGGGCAGCTCTCCGAATCGAGCCCAAGGTTAAGCAAGGAAGGGGGGCCTGACATCCCGGACGGTCTTACGCAAGGACCACAATACATGCTAAACCAGGTTTAGAGCTTCGGAACCCTTTTGCAACTGGCTTAGGAACCCTCAACCCTTTTGCAGCAGGCCTCGTTGTCCAGCAGCCCGGTTACAGCATGAGCCCCCCCTTTCCCCCGCTTCTTCAAAGCATGGTAGATTCTACTATACCTAAACCCCCAAAACTAGGTAAAATAATGGCCCCATACCTATAAAAGGCTATTATTCTGCATACTTGGGGCCCTAACTCCTAACCCCCTGAACCCTGAACAGGGTTTGGGGGTTTTGGGTTCAGGAGCCCTGAACAGGTCGGCCTGCATGTGGAAAAGGAGCCACCCTGCGAGCTCCCACTGCGCAGCCACTTCGCAGGCAGTCACAGCACCTTGGGTTTGGAATTATCGTTCTTCTAGGCTAGGGCACCTAGGGTTAAGGGATTATAGGAAACTCCAGAAAGTTGGAATATGGTTTCTGGGTAGGATACCCTATAATTTACCATAGAAGGGTCAGGATAATCATATTCCAACTTTCTGGCTTTTACCTTAAAGTTTATAGTGTTCAGGGCTTCAGTCTGTCTGCTTGCGCAATTGTGACCGAAAATGCCGTTCAGCTGGTATGTCGGTCGAAACCTCATACTGGGGCTGCTCTGTCGCATTTTGTATACCCTCAACAGCCAGGGTATCCCTTTTCTTACTGCTCGATTGGCAGAAAATCCCAGCATCAACAAAGATGCCACCACTAAACCCTAACTCACCCCTAAACCCCTAAACTCCTAACGTTCTAAACCCCTACACCCCTAAACTCCTAAACCCCCAAACCCCCTAAACTCCTAAACCCCCCAACTCCTCAACCCTAAACCACGTCCTGCTCTTCCGAGGTCCTAGTCCTACATCTCCTGCGGCCTGAAGAACCTTACGTCCGAACTCGTCTGGGGTTCAAGACCCCAGAAAGCCCAATACCCCTTAACTAAGGAATATAGCTTAAATCATAATATGAAGCCCCTTATAATTTAAGCCATATTCCTTAATTAAGGGGTTCTGGGTTCTCTGGGTCTCGTCTACCTGAAGGATCATGGGACTTAGTAAGTGGGGTTATAAATAAGGTAACTTTGACCCCAATAAAGGTACTGATAACCTTACTTACTATGCCCTATGATCCTCCAAGTAGGATGCCCTAAAAGGGTTTCGGCGCTCACACTCGCACAACAAGTTTCGGATTTAGGGCCCTAAATCCCGAAAACCCAAACTCTAGTCTAAACCCTAAACTACCTTTACGCCCAGGCTTCGTGAAACCAGCTGAATTTCCGACCTCTGAAAACCTAGATCGTCAACCCGTAAACCCCCAACTCCCAAAAACTCAGCCTTAAAGCCTAAATGCCAAAAGCCAGAAACCTGAACGGACGGTTCAGGGTCCGAGTGCTGCGTACGACAACAGTAACATACGCAACGGTTTGTAGGCTTGAGGATTTGGGAGTTTCCGAAAATTGGGGGTACCTTATGGGGGTCCTTATAATAGGGATCCTGCTATTTAGGGTACTATATTGGGATCCCCTATCTTCGGAAAACTAGCACCGTACTAGCCGAACGTCTCAGAATCTTGTGGTTTAGGGTTTTGGTTCAACCCTGCTACACTTCGTGTTGGGACTGGAGAAGAATTAAAACAACAAGCTTTCTTGGCTGGACCCCCATGTGGCCACCCACATGCTTTAATTGCAAGAAACGCCAACCGGCTATATACTTTCGTTGCAGCCTTATCCCAAAACGGCCAGGCACTGTTGAAGCTAATCACATCCCTCTCGATGGCGAAGCTGTCCATAACGCCCTTGGGCTGCCCAGGGGTTCAGAAAGGGCCGAATTTGCCGTACTTGTATCTGGAGCATCAGCAGCAATTCGCAAAAAACAAAACGAAGGCACAGCGGGAATAGCAACGACGAGGAGAGGTGCAAACGCCCTATTCCTTGTCAGTATCCTAGGGAACTACAGGTTGCGTAATCTTTGGGATTAAATAGGGACAGTAGTGCCCCAAACAGAATTTCAAAGGCTGCTTACTCTGCTGCTAAGCTCCTGCACTGCAAGCACTTGGAGGCCCTGTTGACTTAGTAAGTCTACTTAGTATCCCCTAGGAACCCTATTATAATCCCCATAACCCACCTTACTAACCCTTCTTACTAAGTCAAAAGGGCCTCCAAGCAGGACCTGTAAGATTCCCGGCTTGGAGCTTGTGATTCCACTACTGACATAGGGGAGTTTCCGAAAATGGGGGGACCCTACTATAGCACCCTGAATAGTGGGATCCTTATTACAAGGACCCCAAACTAAGGTACCCGGAAACTCCCATAAACTCCATGTAGAGGGGCTGGGCCCAAAGCCCGAAAGCAGTGGGGCCAGCTGCCCACAAGCAGAAACCACAACAAGTGCCAAAGATGACAACTGCAGACGAAGTCATGGTAACAGCAGCGGTGCCGTCGTCAAGTCGCGGCAGCAGCCGCAGTCGCACTAATGGCAGCTACTCTCTCTCTCTCTCTCTCTCTCTCTCTCTCTCTCCCTCTCTGGCTCGCATGCTCAGGAGGTCCTGTTAGAATGCTCAACACTGAACCCTAAAACCCTAAAAACTCTAAAACACTAAACCCTCTAAAAACTTAAAACCCCAAAACCCTAAAATGCCTGACAACCCTAAAACGCCTAAACACCCTAAAACCCTAAAACCATAAAACCCTACAACCCTAAAAAACCCTTAAAAACTAAAAAACCTAAAAACCTAAAACCCTTAAACACCCTTAAAAACCTAAAAACCCTACAACCCTTAAAAACCTCAAAGCCATAAACACCCCTCAACCTGCAACCAACCGGCCAACAGCTCCACAGCCGCAGACCACCGGCCGCCCACACCACAGGCACTGATAGCCGTGTTCAGGCACAAAAGATTCCTGGATTGTTTTTTTTTTGTTTTTTTATGGGCCCTTTTCGAACTGCAGAACAGTTAGATTTCCTGTACTAGGACGAGCCGATGGTTGGGGCCTGGTTTAGGGTTTAGGGATTAGAGTTTAGGGGGCTTGAAAGATTCCTGGCTGAGGGAGATCAAAGGTTCAGGGGCTAAGGATTGCAGGATCGTAGGGCTTCGGGACGACAGCATTTTAGGGCAGGGTTTTTCCCTCCTACCTAGCAAGGACGAAGCCTGCATTGCAGGGTGCCTCAGAAGAACAGTTGCGTGGCAACAGCTGCACATATACAGGATATTTAAGCAGCTAATTATGACTGGTTTCTTCTAGGGGTTTAGGGTTCGGGGTTTAAAGGTTTGACAGCTGTCGTAGCTTTCTTTGCTTAAGGCTTAACGGCTCAAGGTCCAGATTTAGGGGCAATAATGATGATGTAGAGATACACACGCATCAAATTCGCCTTTTCGTTCTGTGCAGTGAACCTGCTAGAGTCGGACGGCGCCAAACGTTTACAAGAATTCATGTAGCTTCCTGGTGGCGGCCGCTTAATAACAAAAACTCAGTCAGGGCTTCTGGGTGGAGAACTCAGACCTTTTCGATGCTGTTGTCCCCTATCCCCGAACAGCTCCAGAAAGCGTTGGGTGCTCGCGGCTGTTCGTGACACTCGGCAGAGTCAAGCAAGGGTTTTAGGGCCTCCGGGTTTTGGGGTCTTCGAGTTTAGGGCTTGCTAGGTCGTGAGTGTAGAAGCTAGATTGTGCGGATCTTGGTACTTCACCTCTGGACACGTCCGTTGTGACCGTAGCGATGACCATGACCCCAAGCCGACAAAGCAAACATGAAGACCCAAAAAGAGCAAACTGGACCTTGATGATTAGAATAGGGTTTTACGGGTTGTACTATGGTTATAATAAGGACCCCCAAAACCCTGTTCTAATTATTCAGGCCCCTATATTAGATAAACCCGAAAATCGCTTCTGGCTGAGACGAGATGCGGGCGCACTTTGAGGCCCATCATGCGGTGCAGGAGACCTGAGAAAAACCCAGGCTCTCTGCACTTGTATGGAGGCAGGTATAAACACATCTCTATAATGTGCGAGGTCTTACCGAACGCTTCAAGACTTGTTTGATAAAGCTTCTTAAGCAACCCTTAAGGAACCCTTATTCCCTAACCCCTAAACCCTTTAATGACCCCTTTCTAGAACCCTAAACCCTCAGCCCTAAACCCTGAACCCCTAAACGTTCCTTAAAATCCTGAGGCAGCGGCTCAATGCCAGGGCCCAACGGCCGATCTGCTCGCAGGCTTTGATGGTGCTGCTGAAAGAGAACCTAGGATCAGGACACTCTAATATAGGGGCCTTGAGAATTAGAATAGGGTTTTTGGGCACCATTATACTATATTCTAATACAGGGTTTAGGGTTAAAGGGCCTTAACACATCCCAAATAGTTTCCTTTTGCCGGTTTCGTTCGAAGGGATCTGCGGGTGTCTAGACAGGGGTTGAGTGTGTGTGAAGGGGGGGGGTCGTACAGCGACTTCAATAATGTTAGTTAGATCAGGATTCCGGGGGTGCATTATACGCAGTGCTACCATTATATAGGGACCACGCGCGAGATACTATTACTAATAATCCCGTCCCTACCGTAAGCGCTGCCCCACTGCTCATTCAGTTTCGAAGCCCAAATGTAAGGGTCTCTACTTGGAGGGTCGGGGGACTTAGTAAGTAGGTAGTAAGTAGACATATAAGTTCCCTAAAAGGGACCCTAATTGGGGTTATGGTACTTATAAGTCCCGAAAATAACCAGTTACTAAGTCCCCCGACCCTCCAAGTATCTCTATGTTTGGGGCTGAGGACTGAATTTACCGCCTGTAGCGTTTTGGGGCGCAGGGTTTCGGTGCTCACTCTCGGACCATCTTCCCGCGGCATGTGGTGGCTTAGGGTTTATGGGTTTTGAGGTTTCTTTCTTTTTTGAACCCTCGTGTCTTTTCACCGCAAGGCATCCAGACTATCGTACCGTTAGGACTTAGGATATTGGTGGCTTTCCGGTTTCAAGGCTTTGGGTGTAGAGTCTTATCCACGCGTCGGCCTCCGGCATACTACAGCCTTTACGGTTGGGATCGTCATACAAGTCTTAAAAATTAACCCAAAGGAATACACGAATGTATTGTATTGGTGGTTTGCAGTCGGGTTTAGAGTTCAGGACTTGTCAACTCTCGATTTGTGCATTTGGGGCCGTTAGGGTTTACTCAGTACAAAGGGTAAGAAAAATCCACAAAGCCCTAAACCCGGAGTTGAATCCCTGAATCCTGAACCGTAACACCAAAAACCCTAAACACTGAACCTCACGCCCTGAAGCCCTAAACTTCTAAACCTCTACACCGCACCCCTAAACCCTGAAACCCTAAACCCCTAAACCCCTAAACCCTTAAACCCTAAAACCCTAAACCCCTGAACCCTATTGAAACCGGACTTGATGACAAACCCCCCTTGTTTGCAGCAGGCCTCGTTGTCACCCTTCACCCTCTAAGCTCAACCCAACACAAATAAGGGACCCTAGTCTAGCACCCCAAATAGTAGGATCCCCATTATAAGGACCCCAAAATATGGGTACCCCTAATTTTGAGAAACTCCCAAATGGTAGATCTCATCCCCTGACACCCTTTTCAGTAAACCCTAAACCCCTTTTCCACAGGCTTGATCCCTAAACCCTAAACCCTAAAACCCTAAAATTTAAAACCCTAAACCCTAAACCCCAAACCCCTAAACCCCTAAACCCTAAACCCCCCCTAAGCCCTAATTTTGAGAAACTCCCACTTCGTCATGCCAGGAGCTCGTTAGGCAGCACGGCGTCTCGCTCCATGGCGCCCAGGAGCTCCTCAGAGCGAAGCGAGCAGAAGTTGAGGCTTAGGGTTTAGGGGTTTAGGGTTTCTTTAAGGCTTCGGGTAAGGGTAACGAGGGGCCTTAATAATTAGAATTGTTATAGTAGAGCGGAAGTTGAGGCTTCCTTTAAGGCAGCGGGGTTTTAACAGTGGTTCCTTTAAAGGGATCCTTTAAAGGGTTCTATAAGGGATCGAAAATGGGGTTGTGTAGTAGGGGCCCTAACAATTAGAATAGGGTTTTTGGGGGTTCCTTCCTATAGTTATAGTATAATATACCCCCGAAACCCATTCTAATCATTCAGGCCCCGATTTTACCTTTAATCTTCGCGTGTTGTAAACGTTCTTTAAGGGCTCTTTAGGGGTTTCCAGGTTTCGGGATCATCCGGGGCTACTACGATACTGACTGCAAGTCTTCCTGTTAGGATCGCCATACGGCCTCTATCACGGCTCTGGGGATGTTGGACAGAAGAGGGTTGAGGGCTTACAGTAGGGTGGGCTTCGGGTTTTAGCTGTAAGAACCTCAGAACCTTCTTCTGCTTTTGGGGGGCTGAGGGTTGCTAAGTTCAGGGTTGAGGACCACATTTTGTGATTTTGTGATACCCTGATAAAAGAAATCATGGATCCCTATTCTGGTAATTAAACTAAACGCCGTAGCAAGAACCTAATACTTGGAGGATCATGGGTACTTATAATTACATACAATCCCAATTACGGTACTTATAGCCATACTTACTTACTAAGTCCCAATGACCCTCCAAGTGAAACCCTTTGAGCACGGACTTTGAGTGTATGCCGGCAGCTATGCCCACGGGACATGCGCGGATATTTCTCACCACACGTTCCAAGTGAAACCCTAAACCCCAAACCAAAAAAACACGGCCGCCGGGTCGCGAGGGCCACAGTCCATGCACTGCCGCCCTGACAGGCACTGAGGGCGCTGCTGTAACCTCAGAGGGCGTTGCGTGCACGCATGCATGTATGCGTTTGTGTGTTTGTGTGTTTGTGTGTTTGTGTGTTTGTGTGATTGTGTGTTTGTGTGATTGTGTGTTTGTGTGTTGGTGTGTTTGTGTGTTTGTGTGATTGTGTGTTTGTGTGTTTGTGTGATTGTGTGTTTGTGTGTTTGTGTGTTTGCGTGTTTGCGTGTGCGCGTGTTTGCGTGTTTGCGTGTGCGCATGTGCCCGTGCGAGTGCGCGTGCGCGTGCGCGTGCGCGTGGGCGTGGGCGTGGGCGTGGGCGTGTGGGTGTGGGTGTGGGTGTGGGTGTGGGTGTGGGTGTGGGTGTGGTGGGTGTGGGTGGGTGTGGGTGTGTGTGGCTGTGTGTGGCTGTGTGTGGCTGTGTGTGGCTGTGTGTGGCTGTGTGTGGGTGTGTGTGTGGGTGTGTGTGTGGGTGTGTGTGGGTGTGTGTGGGTGTGTGTGGGTGTGTGTGGGTGTGTGTGTGTGTGGGTGTGTGTGGGTGTGTGTGTGTGGGTGTGTATGGGTGTGTGTGTGTGTGGGTGTGTGGGTGTGCATATGTATATATATATATATATATATACATATGTGTGTGTACACATGTAAAAGTATTCAAATGTAAAAGTATATGTACATGTAAACATACATACATGCCTTGCATTTTAGGGGATATCGAGAAACAGCACACGCAGCCCTTACACAAACCCTTATATGCCGTCGAGTTCTAACGAAGACTCGTGTGGCTGAGCCTCCCTTAGAAAACTTACCTTTCTGAGGGTTCCTTATTATACAAAAACCTGATCTACGTCATTGAACATATATGTTGTTTGGGGTTAAGGTAGACCCTAAACCAGCCGAAGCCAAGCAGCTTATCACATTGCGCCTCACCGCCGCGAATTCCATGCCTGATATAAGGGCATTAAACATCAGAGTTTGGTTCCAGTGTGTATTTTACGACAATTATGCCAGGGAAGCCCGAGGAATGTTGTTACTGAGGATACAATCCCCTGTAGCCAACAGGCTCCGTATATACTCCATCGTGGCATTAGGTCCCGACATGTTTGGGTCTTGGGTAGTTCCTCAGTATCAGATGCCCAAATCCTCGGGAGGTAGCTGTTCCGCTGTCGACCCCTGCGGCTCGGGCTGCCTCTGCCAAGTCTCCCCTAAACCCTAAACCCTCCTAACTTCAGCAGGGAGGCTTTGAAACAAGCAAAGGAGCAAGATAGCTCTGGGGCTGCACCCCTCGCCCCTAAAGCTTTTAGCCATGACCTCAAAACTACATCCCCATAGCCCAAAACCAAACCGCAAACCCTTGTAGCATTTAGCGTTCCAGCTTTAGGGGTTGAAGGTTTAGGATCCGCATGTTCATGTCAAGTGCAGCTTGCGTGGCAATCAAGCAATTCCAGCGCGAGCTGCCAGCGGCAGCCACGGTCACAGGCAGAAATGGCACCGCTGTAACTTATGACATTCCTCGGTTAGGGGTTGAGGGTTCAGGTCCCCTAGACCCCTTTGTTGAACGAGCACTCTCTCTCAAGTGCCTCCCTAAACCCTGGAACCCTAAAGCCCCAAAACCCTGAACCCTCGAGTAAGTCATTCCTCAGAGTCGTACTACACCCTAAACCCTACTTGGAGGCCCTGTTGACTTAGTAAGTCTACTTAGTATCCCCTAGAAACCCCATTATAATCCCCATAACCCACCTTACTAACCCTACTTACCATGTCAACAGGGCCTCCAAGTAAGAAACCCTAAACCCTATAGATCCCTTTAAGGAACCCCTATAGATCCCTTTTAGGACCCCTTTAAAGGAACCCTATACTTACTAAGTCAAAAGGGTCTCCAAGTAAGGATCTGCAGCTGCAGTCTTGGAACGAAGGCTCGGGTTTTTTGGTCTTTGCCACCCTGACAGGGCCTGGGGGGTCTGAGGAAAGGGTCGTACGTAGTAGAGGCCTTCATAATTATAGGGTTTTGGTGTATACTATACTATAAGTAATAAGTATCATTTATAATAAGGAACCCTCAAAATAGTATAGCAACCTGATTAAGAGACCTTGGGTCTAAATTTGGGTGCTGTTTATGAACCCTAATATTTTTGGGCGGGGTTATCGGACCACGGCTTCTCAAAAGGGTTTAGGGCTTTGACTCTCGCAACTCGCACTAGTTCATGGTTGGGATAGGATTAACAATTTAAACTTTTATTCCTTAATAAGTTTAAGTACCCATAAACATGTAAAATGCTACCCAACTATGACAAAGGCACAAGGCAGTCAAGTACAATGTCGGCACAAGGCTAACTCAACAACTAGTGCAAGCCAAGAGGAGGAGCCCGTAACATCATCAAAATTGCGTTTTAGCAAAGGAATCGACCATCTCAACAGGCCTTCCGGAGGCGACATGACACAACCCACATCGACGACAATTTCATAAGACACCTGATGAAGCTAGTGTCCACGAACAGGGCAACAGCATAGGAGCTAAAGGAAGCTTCGAAGCATAGCAACAAAACACGACCCCAAGCCCAACACGAGCCCAAAAAGACGACTCCAATTCAGCAACTGCGCCAATGCTTGCTCGACCTACCATGCTAGGCTGCTAGGTCATGGCGGTGAGGTACCCATCAAGATTTAAACCAAGAACAGAGCGGACAATTTTCCTGGCTCACCAACAGATACCAAGCCACCCAAATTCACACCATCTTCACTGCCACCTCTATTGCGATAAAGCCCTCACAGCCCAGAGAGATTCACTAGACCTACGGCAAAACCAGGTTTGGGATTTAGGGCTTAAGTCTTCTATCACCATCTTGTATATCGGGCCCTACTTGCTTAATTGTTGGAGCGGGCTTTGGGGCACATTATACTGTAACCGATTCGCTTTTCGGTCGTTGGGACGGAAAGCCGGTGGGTGCACTCATAACCCTCTTCTAGTGTGTAAAGCACACATACTAGACCCTTCTAGACAACCGTATAGATCCCTTGAAAAGGCACCCTCTTCTAGCTATGAAGGCGCCTCCCGAAAATGCTAGCAAGTACCCTTATTCCCCAAGCCGTACACTCTAAACTATGCTCCTCCCTTTCATGCTAGCAAATACCATTATACACCTAAACCTTGAAATTCCCACCCAAAACACTCAACCCCAAAACCCTAAACGTTCCTCCTGAAAGGCTAATGGCAGCTCGAGATTCGGCGGGGAGTTGGCCTCGCCCATGCAGAAAAGAAGCGCCAGGGCTCGTTCCCACTGCCCTCCTTTGGGCTGAGGGTTGAGGAATTTCTTTGAATGATCAAAAGGGCTTAGGGGTTTAGGGTTTAGGAAATTCAGAGTTGAAGGCGTAGGGGCTTTTGATTTATTTAAAGCTATGTGTCCAGTTTCCCAAGGATAGAGGTGTTTAGGGTTTAGGGTCGCATACATGTCAACCTTTGGGAGATATGGGGTTAAAGTACCTCAACGAGGTTGAAGGTTTGCTTTCTCTCAGTTTTCAAACCAATGATACAAACTAACAATAAAACTGATAAAACAAAACAGGGTTCTGGACATCAAAGAAATGAACTGACAAAAGTTCTGGATATCAATGAACTTTGACTGAGCCTCCACTCTCACAGGCGCTGATGGCACCTATACTGAACTTAGAACCCTAGCAAAAATTAGAATTTTAGCTGTTTCTTAGGGATTATAATAACCAAAAATTAAAAATTATTTCTAAGTACCCCTGAGGCACTACTGTAAGAGACGACGCTCGGGGTCAGACGAACTGTTGCGATGCTCCCCAGCAGCTCCTGGGTTGCTTCATAGGGATCCTTAGGGTGTAGGGGGAGGGGGGGTAGGGGGCCTTAAGGCCCATAATAAGGACTAATAAGGCCTATTTAAAGAAATATAGTCCCCTACACCCCTCCCCCCTACACCCCTAAGGATCCCTATGATTGCTTAGGCTTCGGGGCCTTAATCATTAGAATAGGAATCTTGAAAAGGGTTCCTTTACAGGGTTCAAAAAGGGATCCATAATAGGGTTATGTAGTAGAGGCCTTCATAATTCGAGCAAGGTTTTGGGGACTCATCATACTAAAAACATACTATAAGTAATAAGGAACCCTTGAAATAGTACAGGTAATCATTTAAGCCCCTACAGCTGGGGCTTGCGTTCGATGGTTAAGGATTTATGCCTTGCTGAAGTTTATGGTTTAGAACCTCAATTTAAGTTACCATGAGAAGGGAACGCATCTTTTCTTATTTATGTGTCCTATCTATATGTGAATAAAGATCACCACCAAGACAGCAAAAAAGAGCCTGCTGTTATATATGCAGGTGTATATTTACATGCCCCTAGCTCTATCGCGACCTACTTAAAAACCAAAAAATTCTCAACATGCACCCGGTCTCCAAAGAGAGCTGCCACCACCCAGCCTTTGCACAGGCACTGATTGCAGCGTTAAGGCCTATGACGTCGGGCCTGCCGCCTGCGTTGTTGAAACGAAGGAAAACGAATTTTTTGCTGCTACAACAGTTTTAAGGTTTACAGCAAACTCCATAAAGTTGGAAACCGGATTAAGGCCAAATAGTGCTGGGATTCCCTATACATTACTCTTAAGGACTGAGGCTATTGGGTTTCCAACTTTTTGGCTTCCACTGTAAGTCTTGAAGTTGGTTAGAAAACCCCAGGCAGCAAAAAGCAAAAAAGGATCTTAACCTTGAGCCAGACGCCGGCGGTGCCGAGGTCTGCCAAAAGCACCGAAGCTTTCTGCCAGAGCCCCAACCTGCTTTCTTGCTAAAGAACTTGTACCACAAAGTTACTATACCAGGAAATCTCTCTCTGTCTCTCTATATCTGTATATACATATATATATATATATACAAATGTGTGTAACATACTCGAGAAAGCACAAAAAGAGGCTTCGAGGTAGGTTTTGAGAGGGTAGCATGTGTACATACATACGTACCTACCTACCTAACTACATACATACACACACATGTATATATATATATATATATATATATATGCTTACATACATGTTATGATGTATTGGCATTTTATGTATGCATGAAAGCTGGCATAATCGGTACACATATGTGCACATAGAAATTGCTTTCCCTAGCATGTCAGTTTGAACCAGATCGCTCAACTAGAGCCCAGCAACTTCTCACAGGCGGAGGCCCCGCTGTTGAAGGAGATCACGTTAGGGCGCAGCTGCACCAGGATCATGTACCTTAGGGCTTAGGGGTTAGGGTTCAAGGTGATTTTTTCCTCCTGCATGGCTGAACGAGTCGCCATGCAGCGCGGTATGGTTTCGGCGCTCACACTCGGATAACGGTAGGGTTTAGGGTTTTCGGGTTTAGGGTTTAGGGGTTTCGACTCTTACAACTTGGGCAATCCGAGGCGTCTGAGTTCGGCTGCTCTTACATTGAAGAGCCATCAGAGGGAAATAATGCGCTGCTTCTTCTTATACTAAGAACTGCAGTAACCCAGGAATACAACGGGCCCCCTTCTTGGCTTGCTAGCTTTTTTTAAGTGAACTAATAACGGCGCTCTCAGAAGTTATATAAGTTATACAGGGATTATGTTACCCCTGAGCAGGCTAAAGGTTTGCACCCTACGACCAAGCCCCTAAACCCCAAACCCTAAGACCCCGAATCCTCGACCCTGAAGCTTGACTGAGGCACCGCAGAAGATCCAGGGCGATCTGCCACTCCTCCGATTTGTCACAGGCGCTGATAGCGCTGCTGCAAAGGATGACGCCAGGAGCCAGCAGCCTGGAATACATGCCTGGGTCTGGCTGCTCCGCCGCTACACTACTGATTTTCTTACCAGCTTGAAAAAATGTCTATGCAGCTGTTTGTTGGTGGGCTTGGCTTCTTAACAGGTTTGATGTGCTGTCTGTATCTTACCAGGCATTCTCTTAGTGCCCTGATTGCTGCAATTATTAAGTCATGCAGACTGCTACTATGATTACATGGTGTTGCAATCACCCGCCGCATAGAACGTATGGCAACTTCGGCGGACAGCTTGAGAGGGTGAGGGCTGTCAGGGGATAAGAACTACCATTTTGCAATAAGCATTCTCTCCCTTCTCCTCGTCAGTACTAATCCATCAACTCTTGGCCTTCTTGGCGCAACTACTCTTCATGTTCATGACCACTCCCGCTCCTTCCCGTAGCCCGGCATGAAAAAGTAATACAAGACAAGTCTTCATATCGAACTTTTGCCCAAAAAGGTCGAAGATGCAATGCAGGAGCTGTAGGGACACCTGCCACTGGCCCACCTTGGCACAGGAGCCCACTGCGGACCCAAAAGCCACAGATCCCGGGACGACTCTCCACGCACTTGCCGACCTCGTCCCCTCAAGGGCCAAAGGCCACGGGTTGCCTTACTTGTGTTTGGGTGTTTGGGGGTTTAGGGGATTAGGGGCCAGGCTAAGGCTTAAACCCTTGAGATTACATAGGGCCATAGGGAAAAAATACCGTGCCCCTACAAAGGATAAAGGTTGCTCACTATGCTAGCAAGTTACATGTGGCCATGATCTGCACTGGTACGCAGCACCGCCAGCCGTGAACACACAGAGCTTGCACAGGGCCGAGACCACTTGTCTTTTTGGATTTGTTTGAACCAGTGGCGGCAGAGCAACAGTTGTGGAAATCTTCGGGGCCTCTACGGAATAGTACGCCCCCATTCTGCATCCTGGACCCTCGAAGAAAGCTAGGCGGACAATAAGATGACTATTGAAACGAGGTGGATGGTGAAGATGCAAACCCATTCTCAATGATGCATGGCCGCGAGAACAACGATGACAATGAGACTGCAGGGTTAGAAAAAAGATGGCGCAACAACTATGTTGAGGGCATTCGTGATGCTGGTGCTGCCACCGCTGATGCGCATGAAATGCTTCTGATATTGATGCTGCTGACGATGGCTATTGCCTCACGACGTGCGTGCACCAAGGACGGAACAACAAACGAAACTTCCTTCTAGCACTGGGGCTGCTTCATGCCCGTATATCAAAATGATTAATTGAAAACCTACGGCTGCACAGATTCTGGATCGAAACCCTCGTCAGCACAACAGTCAGCGTCACATCCCTGTCCTGGCGTTCTGCCTTGATCAGGTTCGACCGGACCTGTCAAGAAGTGCCGGATGAAGCTTTGAAAGTTAATGCGCTTCACACCTGAAACCCCGGGTGCTCTGTAAAAATCAGCCAGCGTAGAGGCAACAACTAGAATAAGGCTCCGAGGTAACGGGCAGTATACTACGACAGAAACCCAAACGGACCGCCTCCATCACAACATAGTTTCGCGGTACCAGTGGGGCCACGGCGTAGACAAGCCGTCCTTTTCACAAGAAAAGTTGGGGGGGGTTCGGGGTGGGGTTTTGGGCTCGTTGATTTCGGGCTTCTGAGTAGGGCTTTAGGGTTTTAGGGTGTTCGGTGGTTTTAGGGTTTTGGTTTGAAGGGTTGTAGGTTTAGGCAGCTTAGAGGGTTGGGACTCTGTGGGAGGGCTGGAACGGAGGATTGCTGAGTTCATTCTGATCGTGGCTGTATGAAGGCTTCACAAGGAAGCCTACTTGTCGGGTATCATGGGGAACTAAAGGTTAACCTTTTCGGTTATATGGGGATTATATCGGGACTATACTACCCAAAAAAAATTAAAGGTTACCTACTCGACTACTAGGGAAGCTCTCAGAATGCACCTTCCCCTGTGTCGGTAACGAACACTCCTCAACAGCAGGGCCTTCTCAACACAAAAACCCTAAACCTTAAACTCGAACCCCTAAAAACCCTAAACAACCCTAGACTCACCCTTTTGCAACTGGCTTGCAACGTCACGCCAGGACAGCTGACTCGCTTCGGGCTGCACTCGTGACAGCAGGGACTCCGAGACCGCTGGACCTGGACTCACCCTGAACCCTGAACTCTAATCCCGTTTTTACAAAGGCTTAACTCTAAATGGGTAGATCTCTGAATTAGGGTCCCTTTTCGTGTCATTGTTGTCACGGTGCCGTACTATTGTGCTTGGGGGGACCTAAAGAAAGACCCTAAATTAGAGAACTACCTAGATCCTTTACCCTAAAGTAAACTCTAAACCCAGTACCCTAACCTCTAAGCCCGGGAAAGCTCTTGAGCTAAAAGCGAGGGGCGGGGCGACAGCTCGTCCATGACCTCACAGCTTTCATGGGATTTTTGTGTTAGGGTTTTTTTGTTGAAGCTCCTTTTTCCAGGGGGGCAGCTCCAAGCAGCTTTGGGTTTCGGCGCTCACACTCGGACAATCCAGGCGAGGCATATGGTTCGGAGTCTGACAATGTGAAACACTCTAAAGGGCCAGTCAAAGGATTAATCGTATAGGGCTTAGGGTGTTAGGGCTCAGGTGATTTATGCAAATGGTGCGGACTTTGAGGAAGCGCAGCTTTGCAGGGGCGTTTAAGAAGGTCTGCGTTTTCTTTCGGGTTCGGCCTAAGGCCTAAACCGCTTGAATCCTAAGCCATTTCCGAGGTTTGGGCTTCAAGCTTGAAGATTGCTTACCATGGGACTGAGAGCTTGAAGGCTTGAAGGCTCAACAACTAAAATAGCATTCCTGTGCAAAGGAATCTACAGCGCCGTTTATAAGGGGCCTGAATAGAATGAATGGAGTCAGGTTTGCGGGTATGCCATAAGCTTGCGGATAGCTTCAGATTTGAGGTAGCTAGCCTTGCCGAAGCCCCCCCCTAAAGCCAGCACAGTTTTGTGCACAACTACCCCTGGACCCGTTTCAGAGAAGCCCTAAACATTGCAGGCAATAAAACAGAAAGCTCTCATCATCACTAAACCTTTTCTGCATCGCGATTACCACACAAGCCAAACCCGTAACCCTGAACCCTAAATCCTAAGAGGTAAGTCCTACACCCTGAATCCAAAAATCTTCCGAAGCCCTTCAAGTAGATATCGAAACCAACCGCATCTCGACGATTGCTGGGCTGCCTGAATGCCGAAGTTCACATCGGGCTTGTCGTTGCTGTTCTTCAGGGAAGTTATCCTCTTATGGGGCGGCACAAAAGGTTTGCATAAGTCCAACGGTTCTTTAGGGTTTTCTAAATGCCCCACTCAAGTGTTGAGAGGTTCTATGAAGGCACTAAGAGGATTTTACAACAGGACTCTTTAGCATCTTGGGTGTGGCAATAGAAGCGTTTAGTTGATTCAAGGTTGAGGTTTTCAGTGGTGGGTGCGTTCAGGGTTTAGGGCCCAGGTTGAATTTAGGGGTTCGGTTTAGTGAGCGTGGAATCCCTAAAACCAACCTCTATAAACTCTATAAAGCCATATCCCCCACTAAGGCCCCGTAACAACCCTAAAAAAAAGCCTTTTTGCTGCAGGCTTGCTGGCAAGAAACCCTAAACCCTAAACCCCAAACCCCTAAACCCCTAAACCCCTAAACCCCTAAACCCTAAACCCTAAACCCTAAACCCCTAAACCCCTAAACCCTAAACCCCTAAACCCTAAACCCCTTAAACCCCTAAACCCTAAACCCTAAACCCCTAAACCCTAAACCCATGGAGCTCTACAGCTTTTGGCTTCGCGTCCTGGGCTTCCCGAGGCCGCTCATGGTGGCCCACTCAACGATCTTCCGGTCCTGGGCGAGAAGGCGAACAGGGTTTTTGCTTCGCTCCTTTTTTTGTCTAGGGACTCTTAGGGTTGAAGGGTTTTAAGGTTTAGGGCTTTTAGGTCCTAGAGTTTAGTGCTTCAGCTAGGGTTTAGGGTTTAGGGCTTTTAGGTTCTAGAGTTTAGTGCTTCAGCTAGGGTTTAGGGTTTGGGGCCGTTTTAGGGAAATCGGATTTAGAGCTGAAGGTTTAGGGGTTTGGGGCTTTGTGCTTATGAGTCGAGGGCTGCAAGGAAATAGGTTTCTGTTGAGCTCCTTTTCATGTCTAGGGAAAGCGGGATTAGGGTTTAGGGTTTAGGGTTTAGGGCTTTAGGGAAATTCGGGATTAGGGCTGAAAGTTTAGGGGCTTAGGGGTCTAGGGCTTTGGGCTTACGGGTTTGCCCAATAACTCGGCCGTCAACGCGGGAGACACTTGGCCCATCAGCGTGCCGGCCTCCCTCGCTTCCTCCATCTCCGTGGGTTTCCCTCGACTTTCCAAGGCACTTTTTTGCAGCAGGCCTCGTTGTCCAGGCCCTACACCCTGAACCGCTCATCCCGAATGCTCTCAAAAAAAGCATCACCACCCAAACCCCTCAAAAGATCCACCACATAGAACCCCAACAAAAAACCTAGTCCTTCTTCTGGGTCCTATCCTATAAACTCTTTCAAGAGTCTGTGCAACTTATGAAGAAAGATGCGATTTATGTTTTCCGTCTGGGTCCTGTTCTGTAGATTCTTTCACCCTAAACCCTAAGCCCTAAAGGCCCTAAACCGAGTCTGTGTAACTTCGGAAAAGAAGGCGGACGACGGGCCGAGGCGCACTGATCTCCACGTAACCCGGGTGCTGCTCCAGGAAGTCTGCGAGCCAGTCGAAGGTTCCTGATGGGTTTAAAGTTTACGGTTTAGGGGTTTAGGGTTTAGGGTTTGGGGGGTTTACGGTTTAGGGGGTTTAGGGTTGGGGGGTTTAGGGTTTAGGGTGGTTTAGGGTTTAGGGGGTTTAGGGTTTAGTCAAAGGTTCCTGATGGGTTTTTTCCTCTCCTACTTGGCAAGGACGAAGCAGGCATTTTCCTTGATGGGTTTAGGGTTTAGGCTTTAGGGGGTTTAGGGTTTAAGCAGAAGTTCCTGATGAAGTACAGGTTTAAGGGTTTAAGTGTTCAGAGTTCTTGAGGATGTTCTAGGTGTTTGATGCTTGAACAGTCGTTGAGGCTTTCATGTGGTTTGGGAGAGACCTACTTGTCGGGTATCATGGGGAACTCAAGGTTAACCTTTTTGGTACTATCGGGATTATATCGGGACGATACTACCCAAAAATGGTTAAAGGTTACCTGCTCGACTACTAGGGAGAAATGCAGAACGCAGATCAGAAGCTCTGGGTTCTGTGATGGGAAAGCTTGGACATGGTTGCTCTGCTTCCTCCTGCGACAATTCTCCCTAAAAAGCTTCACTTCTGCCTTTAGTGAAGAACTCCGCCAGCCTTCGTCCGGCAAAGAGACAGGGAAGATGACCTCAAACTTCCCATCCTGCGGTGGTGTCCAGGGTCTGGGGGTCTTTTCAGAATTCGGGTATCGAGTTTTATATAGACCTGAATTTGGATGCAGCACCTTAAATTAAATCGCTTCCTGCCAGGCATTGTCCTGGCTGCAGGCGACAAGCCGCCTCCCCCAATAAGGTTTGGAAATCGTAATCCTCATATGATTTTTTTTTTGGAGTTGAGGGCTCAACGACTTAGGCGAACACTCTTTGCAAGGAAGGCGAAGGCGGCATGGGGCTGGTTCAGAAGGGAAAGAACTGCACCGAACGACGATCACGAGACCCTAAACCCCTCCATTAACCAATAGCTACTAGACCCTACCCCTCCACGACCTGAGAATAGCTGGACGGAGCCACCACGGCGTCTTCCGCAGCAGCCTCCTCCCGATCTGGAAGCTTTGTTTCGGCTTGGGTTCAGGGTTTAGGATGGTTTGGGGTTCAAGGCACAGTGTAGGATTCGCTTCTTCGTCGCTGGTTTAGGGGTGTAGGGTTTATTCATTTCCAGAAAACTTGCAACACACTGAGCCTTGGATCCATTCGGCTATGCTCCCAACACCGGATCTCGTGGCGGAGCATGCAAATCGTGTTGCTGTTCGCAGCCACCGAACCTTTTTGCATCCAGGACTCTTGCAATCAGCCGGGAAAATGCACAAGACAGCGCGTGCAACCCGAAACCAAGCAAAACCCATGAGAAACCCAAGTCTGCCCATGAATAGAACAAGCATGAGGGTTTAGGGTTTAGGGTTTAGGGATTAGGGTTTAGGGTTTAGGGATTAGGGTTTAGAGTTGGGATTCTAGATACCTCCCCTTCTTATGGAATTCATGTCCATCGCATAAGACTTCCCAGCCTAGCCTGACAACTTTTCTTGTGGGCTCGTAGATCCCCCAACTTTTCAACTCGCTCGGATGGAGGCTAGGATACCCAGTAACCTAAGAATAAAAAGGCCTCTCTTTTTGGTATTGGGTAACTTTATAAGGAACCTAGGACTACGAAAAGAGAATAAGGGTACTACTGGGCATCCTAGGAGGTATTCAGTCAAACCCTGGAGACAATTCGTCCACCTGCGTAGCCCTCAACCGAGTTTAGGGTTTAGGGCACCCTTGTCCTTTTAGAAATAATAGACAGAGCCCTATACTTATATCCTTAGTAGGAATTATTTAAGAAAGTCTACTAGCCGGTCTGTTTATTCTTTTTGGGGGGAACCATGAAAAAGGACAAGGCTGGTTTAGGGTGGCGTAAACCATCAAGCCGGAGACCCAAAGCCCTAGACCTTTAAGCCCTACTTGGAGGCCCTTTTGACTTAGTAAGTAGGGTTAGTAAGGTGGGTTATGGGGATTATAATAGGGCTTCTAGGGGATACTAAGTAGACTTACTAAGTCAAAAGGGCCTCCAAGTACCCGCCTAAACTTCCCAAACACCCCCCGAGCCCTAAACCCCAAAACTTCCCGGAACCCCTAAGCCCTAAACCCCCCAAACTTTAAAGCCTCATCAGCACCTAGAAGTCGCCTGAATGGAGCGGCATTTGAAGGACAAGGGCGACATCAGCATGGGCCCAAAGTGCACCTGGGGCTTCTTGGTCGCTGAGTTCATAAGCCCAAAAATGTGTAGTCTTCCAGTTCTTTAGGTGATAAGCTTATCCCAACAAGGGGAAAGTGAACTCATTCAGCTATTCGTACTCCCTCCCCGTTCTATATATCTAGACCCAAGAGTAACCTAGGAATACAAAGGGTGCCCTTTTTGGTTTAAAGGTTTTTATAAGGGAACCTGAAATCTAAAAAAAGGGAATAAGGGCCTACTCTACTACTCTGATAGGGGATCAGTTGTCTCCCCCAAACTATTGGGGACCCTAAGATAGTACCCTAAATAGTAGGATCCTTATCATAAGGACCCCAATATAAGGTACCCCTAATTTTCGGAATCCCCCAGTTGTCTCCCCCAAAACTAAAGGGAACTCCAGAAAGTTGGAATCTGGAATAATGGGGCAGGATCCGATATAATTTACCTTAAAGGGGTTATGATAATGATATTCCAACTTTCTGGCTTCTACTGTAAACCCTAAGTCACACTAAGCCTTACTCAAAGGGGAAAAGGAGGGACCCTTCATGGGGACCTCTACCCTTTAATGGGCTACATAATAGGTATATAATGGCTTTTACTTTAAGGCTTCAATTCGCTCGGCTTTTGGAGGTTTTGGGGTCTGAAGGTTTAGGAGATTCAGGGCCTCTGGGTGAGGTTTGGTCCAAGGGTAAAAGGAGGGACCCTTAATAAGGACCCCTAGGTATATGGGAGTTTCCGAAAACAGGAGTACCTTATTTTGGGGTCCTTATAATAAGGATCCTACTATTTAGGGTACTATATGAGGGTCCCCTGTTTTCGGAAACTCCCATATTCCCTTAGTATAGCTCTTATATACCCAGTATATTTTAGGGTAGGGGTCCTTATTAAGGGTCCCTCCTTTTCCCCTTTGAGTTTAGGCTACGGCTCGGGGTGTGGGGCTTCGGGATGCAACACGTGCTTGGAGGCCCTTTTGACTTAGTAAGCCCTAAAAGGTTCTTAGGGTTCCTAGGGTTCCTTTAAAGGGTACTATTATGGGTTCCCTTAAGGGGTCTATAGGGGTTTAGGAGGCCCTTTTGACTTAGTAAGTAGGGTTAGTAAGGTGGGTTATGGGGATTATAATAGGGCTTCTGGGGGATACTAAGTAGACTTACTAAGTCAAAAGGGCCTCCAAGTGGGGTTTAGGATTTAGCGCGTCAGGAAGTTCGGTGCTAAGGGCTTCGAAGACGGGTTTCGGGATGTCTAGGGCTTTTAAAGATTTTAAGGTCTCAGGTCATAGGAGGCCAAAAAGGGTTTTAGACTGTGGGGGTTTAGAAGGGATTAGTATTCCCATACTAGGGTTCATATTAAGAAAATTTTCCCTACCCCAAGAATCTTAAACCCCCCTTTTAAGGCCTCCCATCATCAGAGCATCCTGATAATCTAAAGGTCTTGGTAAGGATAAGTTCGGCATGGAACCTTGCAGCGTTGGGGCAGGGTGGAATCGTGTTTTGAGATCTACTACGGTATACTGTAGCATAAACAGATTGAGGAACCCTAAGACATAGTCTTACTAAGTATTACGACCATAAATTGCACCGCCCACCTGCAGAGTGACGTTGCGGAAGGACACATGTGGGAAGAGCGTGTGCCCTTTCAGCTGCTCTGGCAACGGTTGCGGCTTGCATACCTCGGGTATAGGAGGGTGCTTTTCGTGCAGGCTCTTTGGGGCTCAGGGCTCAAGAGGTGCCGGAATGTAGGAATTGGAACGCTTAGGGTGCCCGTCCCTAAACTGATCCTAGGTGTCCGAAACTCTTATCCCAAAGTCCCTCGGCGGCCGAACTTTGCGAAGCCCTCGTTGCTGAAGTCCCGGAATTGCCCAACCCCAGACCCGGAAACAGAATTCACAACAGATTCTGGTGTGACCCACTTTACTTAGACCAGTGTTGCCCGAGGCTTCTAAAAGCAGCCGGGGAAAGTCATACTTGGAGGATCATGGGACTTAGTAAGTAAGGTTATAAGTAAGGGTAACAATACTTATAACTACTTAGATCCCCGATTAAGGTACGTATTTCCTTACTTACTAAGTCCCATGATCTTCCAAGTAGCAGAACTATGCAATGATTCTGAGGCTGAAGGACAAGCTCCTAAAACAACAGCAAAGACTATGTACAACTTAGCCTCCGGCAACTCTGACCTTCAACCCGAGGGAACAGGGGTTTATAAGGGTTTTAAGTCAACCTATAGTCTTCATTGTAGTTACTTTTTTGGGGCTACCTTGTAGGATCCTAAATATATATATATATATGTGGTTAAACTAAAAAGAGGAACTGCAATGGAGACTATAGGATGTACTTCGAGATGAAAATCTCAACGCCAGCCCGGCAAGCTGCCCTGCGCCCATCCTTGAACAGGCTGACAGTGTTGCAGTTGGGACTGGCCTTGGCTTTGATTCTAGGGCTTTCAGGGTGCATTTTGAAAGCCTGAAGGAGTACAGTTAAAGCTAAGCTACGGAGGAATCCTTCATGTATCACAAAATATATTCAACTGAGAGTTTTGAGGACTAATGGTTTAGGAGGGTTTAAGCTTTCAGGTTGCGTAGTGTTCTTCCGAGGTCTATGCCGGCATCGCAAGATTCACTTGGGAAGAGGCAAGGTTCGAGGGTTGATGGGAGGGCTTACAGGCGGAATGGGTTAGTGTAGAAACACATTGTCGCCTTCGCGAGACCTTGCATCACGAGGTTTAAGTACATACGGGGGCAAGCCCAAAACGCTTGGTATGAAAAATCAAATGTCCTGAACAGTAAAGCTGTGACACGGGGAGCTCGCCCCACAGACAGCATATTTGGGCCAATTGTCAGCCACTACCACCGCGAGGAATTTGACACAGGCAGTTCAGTCCTATATTGCCGGCACATCCCAAGCCCATGGAAACTGCAAACTTTGGAAATCAAAAAAAAGATCATAAAAAAATGAAGACCCGTAAACACACAAATAAGCAAGACCTACCCCATAAAGTCTGTCATGGGGGAAGGGGGGCGGGCGAGATGTTTTAGTTGCGCTGTTGTTTGCTGTGTTGTCTTATTGTGTTCTTGAAGTGGTGCTCTTGTTTTTGTTTTCCTGCCTCATTCTCAGGGAAAACTAAAACAAAACACAATGCGATACAGACGGCAGACGACGCGATCTTGTGGTCTTGCGTGTGTTCGTGTTGTTGTTTTCGTTTGTTGCCTGGGTGCCGTGTCCACATATTATGCATTTTCTTCCATCTGTTGAAGAATACCCCGAGTTTTACAGGGTTCGTTTTGTTAGAGTCTAGCCAATTCATCATGATGCACCATGGTGACATCCTCCATTGGCCCTTCCCATACTGAAAGAATGATTGCAGGGAGCGGTGCCAGGTGCTGGAAATGTACCATCAACATACAAACACCCCGAGTTATCACTCAATATTCAACTCACGCCTGCAAAGTCGACGCCGCTCTGCCCTACAGTAAAAGCCAGAAAGTTGGAATATGATTATCCTACGCCCTTTATGGTAAATTATAGGGTATCCTACCCTGAAACCATATTCCAACTTTCTGGAGTTCCCTTTAAGACTAGAGGGTGCAGCTTTGAAGAAGAGCTGGGAGCTGGGCTAAAATTACCTCAACCTGGGCTGGCTTAGATATGGGTCGTTGTCAAAATTAAGGTCCCTTTTTGAGGTACCCGGTTTAGGGTTTAGGGTTTAGGGCCGAAATAATAGGTGTCGTACTATAATAGGGACCCGAAAAGGGACCCTAATTTTGACAACCACCCATATTACCTGCCCAGACCAGTCTTACGAAGTCTACGTCTTCTGAATGGACTATCGAGATTCTCGGTCTCATGGTTGGTGAACCTCCTTATTTCAGGGACACTCTTCGATTGGGGGGCCACTGCCTCGTCCTTGCAAAGGCCCCAAAGACCCACATAGATTGAGCATCGCGTCCTCAGCCATAAATCCTGAACCTGCGACCAAACCCAGAATCCTAGCCTTATGAACTTAACGCTCTCAGACCTTTCATGACCACTCGGTAAACTCAGTTCAAGAGAAACGCTGACCGTGACAATCATACCTATTCGACCAAATCTCCCTAAACCCGTAAGCCCTAAACTAGGTGGGGCGTTTAAAGCCTTTGAAAAATATTAGCAAATAAGATCCTCTTAAGCCCAATAAGGGAAAATATAAAATGTCCCAACGCCCTACCTAGTAAACCCCTAAACACCAGAGTCCCAGCCCTGCAGTCAAAGAACTGGGTCCAAGTTCAGCAGCACGCCCCACACATGGTCGCGGACAAAGCGCTCAGCGACGGAGTCTTGGCAGAGGTTCAGGTTGTGGGTTTCGGAGTTTAGGGTTGCGAATGGGGTTTAGGGTTTTTTCCCACCCGCCCAGCTGTAGGGTTTAGGGTTGCTAGCCCGGGAACCAGACTCAACGCAATACAGCAATACATGTTAAAAGGAATCGGGGCAGGTTTCAGAAGTTTAGGGTGATGCATCCTGCTGATCCCCGCTTCATACGTACATTAAGTAGTCTCTTCATGAGTAGGCTCTATAGGGGTGTAAAGTTCTGGAACCTTCCCCTGTTGACGCGGTCGGGGAGCTTTTCTGCTTGTTGAAGAGGAAGCAGCCATCCGCGTCGAAGCAAACAGAGTCTTCCTCGGCTGTTCTCCGGGAACAACAGGAGACAGACTAGGTTCTCCGGGGTCCCCATCATAACAAGGGCACCATTTTCCTGAGATTCAGTGTTACTAAGGCACTAAGGGAACCCTGAAACAAAATGGGCAAAAAGGGTACTACTGAGGCACCTGGAGGAAGGACGACGAGAGAAGAGGAGAGGAGAGCACAGGGGGTGTAGCGGTGGGGGTCGTGGCAGAAGGGTTGGGGTGTTGAGATTGAAAGCCTCGGGATTGACAAAAACACCGGCGCTCACACTCAGGGGGTTCAGGGTTTGGGGCTTGTGTTATAGATCGCTGCTTTCGGTGCTGTAGATGCATCTACCATCCCCTCGCGGCAGGTCTGTAGCAAGCTCTCCTGCCTCATCACGACTTAGAGCAGTTGGCATGTCCAAAGCACTGTGATCTCGCTTGGTATGCACCCCCAAACGGTCCTACTCCCTTTCAAAACCCTAAGCTTCAAGCACTACACCCTAGCCCCAAAGCTTAAACCCCTTCGAAACCCTAAGCCCCACAAAGTACCCGAAGCTGCCGAGCAGCCGTCTCCCCCAGAAAGAGGGAGGAGCCCTGTTTCGAGAAGCCCACGCGGCACAGCTGTCGCCTCAGATCTCACGGGGCTATTACTCAAAAGAAAGGGGTTAGGCTTCAAGATATATGGGTGGTTGTCAAAGGTACGGCCCCTTTGGGGGTACCCTAGATATTAGGTGCCGTATTAGAATAGGGACCCCAAAAAAAGACCCTAATTTGGACGACCACCCATATGCTTTAAAGATCAAAATTCAAAAGACAAGGCTTATGAACTTATGAGGGAGCATATGGAAGTTCAAGCCGCTACCTCATAAGGTTTGTGGGTCGTGGGTGCAAGGTTCGGAAAGTAGTGAAGCTGAGTTCATAAGCCCCGACAAAGTCGAAACTACGAGAAGTTTATCCTCTCTAACACGTTAAACCTAAAACCTATAAATAGATCCACTTCGAAACTCCAAACACCGCAAACCCCCGAACCCACGACCCTAAACCTAACAACTTTGAGGGTACTCTCATGATGCAGCTTCGTGTCGGGATCGGCGCGATGGGGTTCATTCGGCCACCTGCTCTTCTCCACTGTAGATGGTCTAGGGTTTATGTCATGAGGGGCTTATGTAGGGGTTCAGGGTTTAGGCTAGGGTGTCGTGGGTTTAGAATGCACTTGTGCTCAGCTGTTTTAAAGGCTTGGTGTGTGGAAACCTGGAGGCCTTAATGTTTGAATAGCGTTTGGGAGTTATCGTATACTTTGACGATGACAAGGAACCCTAAGGACAAAAGATATCTCATTAGCCAGGCTTATCTGTTCTGCTTTGCCATGCGCCTAGTTCGGTGACTCGACGGCGCATCCGTGATGAGGGACCGCACTCTCGCCCATAAACTCATGTTGTCAGGCGTGGGGTGTTTCGGGGAACAGTCTACTCATGAAGCCTACATAAGAACTAACAAATACTACCTGGACCCTACGGAACCTACCTTTTTAGGGTTCCCTAATATGATTTCTTTATATAAGTCCTTAAAAAGGTAGTTTACGTGGGGTTAAGGTAACAAACCAAGCACCCCAAGACTTGGTGCCCCTGTCCCGGACTCTAAATCCCCAAATTTCTGATGCCTGCGACAGTAATTCTGCAACCCGGAATCTACGATTCCCACTAGGCCCGTTGAGAACCCTAACGCCCTAAGAACCCTAAAACCCTAAGACCTCTAGGAACCCTATAGGGACCCTAATTAAAACCTTAACAACCCTAAAACCCTAAAGGACAGGGCCTTCTGGTCTGCCAGTAGTAGTCGGCTCTCATGGACACTTTCAACAAACAAGCATAAGGGCACGGTTGATGATATACATCCTGGGGTACCCGTAATAAGGAATATACCATCATTCCCATGGTTTGGGGTCCTTAAGGTAATGCAGGATTTATATCATCAACAGTATGAAGAGGTTACCGAGAACTCTGGAACAAACTTCAACAAAGGAACAAGGAACCTCAACCCTTTCGCAAGGAACCTTCAACCCAACACGCACATTCCGAATCCTGAACGAAACACTCCAACGCCAAATGCCTGAAAGCCTATAATAAGCCAGGGCATTCAAGCTTGTCAGGTTGTCGGTTCGGGCACAAATCCGTCCCGACCGAAAACAGGAGTAGAAACCCTCCGCAACCCTGAACCCTTAAAACCCTTAACCCAAACCCCGAACGCCAAACCCTGAACCCCCGAACTCAAACCCCGAACGCCAAACCCTGAACCCTAAACCCCTTAGCCGGCCTGAACCCAAACCCTGAACCCTAAACCCCCTAACCGTCCTTAACCCAAGCCCTACACCCGAACCCCAAACCCTAAACCCCTTAACCGTCCTGAAACCCCAAACCCTAAATCCTAAACCCCTCAGCTTCTCTGAAGAAAAAGCCGGGAAACCCAAACCCCGAACCTCAAAGCCTTAGGTCCCCAAACCTTAAACCCTAAACCCTTAAGTCCCCAAGTCTTAAACCCTAAACCCCTCGGCTTCCCTAAAGCAAAAAGGCAGCTCGGCCTGGGATGGCAGGCAGGAGCACCTCCACCACCCGGACCTCGAAGAGGTACCTGCAACAGGGGCTTTAAGGGTTTGGGGTTTAGGGCCTTAAGGTGTTGGGGGTTTAGGGCCTTAAGGGTTTGGGGTTTAGGGCCTTAAGGGTTTGGGGGTTTAGGGTTAAAGGTTTAGGATTAAGGGTTTAGGGTTTGAGGGCCAGACTAGCAGTAATCTGAAATAGGGTTCTCATGGAGACTTAATATGCTTGCTTGCCGAAGTTTTAGGGTTCGACATCGCAACTGCACACCTTCACAAGACGAACACGGCCGGGATGGGCAGCACTTGGATCTATCCTCCGCCCATCTCAACATCCTCCTCTGGATCTAAAACCGGACCTAAGTAAAGCCCACCCTAAACCCAAAACCGTGAACCTTCGAGCTTAGAGCTTCCACGCTCACTATCCATGTGGCCCCTTCACCCTAAAGGGTTTCGGGTTTAGGGTTTAGGGCTTAGGATGATTAAAGCCTCAACCCTAACCCCTAAACCCTAAAATCGAAACTTACTAACCCCTAAACCCCTAAAGCCCTAAACCCTGAACCACAAATCCCAAAACCCTTAAGCCCTCAATCCCTACGCCTCCCGGATTTCACGCCCACGTTCGCGCGGGAGGCGGCAACCAGAAACTGGAGCCCGGCGTCCTGGGCGGGGCTGCGAGGACTGAATACTGTAGGGGCCTTAATAATTAGAATAGGGGCTCCTTTAAGGGGATCCTTTAAAGGGTTCTACAAGGGATCTAAAATGGGTTTATACTGTAGGGGCCTTAATAATTAGAGGGGGTTTAGGGCTTTATTAAAGGGATCCTTAAGGGCTCCTATAAGGGATCTAGAGGGTTTAGGGGTCATAAGGTAGGGGCCTTAATCATTAGAATCGGGGGTTCCTTTAACGGGGTCTTTTAAAGGGTTCTACAAGGGATCTAAAATGGGTTTATACTGTAGGTGCCTAATAATTAGAATAGGTTTTGGGGCCCATTATACTATAGTTACACTGACATGCATTTAGGGTTTAGGGTGGGATCCTTTAAGGGCTCCTTTAACACAATTCTTAGGGTTCATGGTTTTGGTTTTGGGGTTTTGGGTGCGGGTTTAGAGTTTGGGGTTTAGGGTGGGCATCCTGGTGAGATACAAGGGGCCTCGATGATGAGAATAGGGGTGTTTAAAGAGGATCTAAAAGGATTACGACAAGGGGGTTCGTATAGGGGTGAATGATTAAAACTGGATTTTGTGGGCGATTATACTATAATCATGCTATGGAGCCCTTCGAAAACATCGCTAATTCTGTAGGCTTCTGTACTTGATGTCTAATGTTTGAAGTGCGTTGGGTCTCGGGTCTCGCCGAGCCTCACGGTAAGAGTCTTGGCATTGGCCTCGCGCTTTCTTCCTTGTAACACCGTCTCACCACCCCTAAACCCTGAACCCTAAACCCTAACCCAACATAGGATTTAGGGTTTAGGGAAGCCCTAAACCCAAAACCCCAAAACCCGGAACCCTGAGCAGCGCTGAAGGCTCATCTTCAAGGCCATAAACCTTAATGCCCTAGTGAGACACCTACTAGTAGACCCCCTCTCTGTCTCTCTGTCTCTCTCCTCTCTCTCCTCTCTCCTCTCTCCTCTCTCCTCTCTCCTCTCTCCTCTCTTCTCTCTCTTCTCTCTCTGCTCTCTCTCTCTCTCTCTCTCCCTCTCTCTCTCCCAAGATGCCCTTAATCTGCAAGAGCCGGGACTCCAAAGCTCTCTCTAGCGCTTCGTCAGCCCGACAACGACTGAAAGAGCTGTTGATCACAACTGTTGCAGCATGTCGGCTTAGGGGTTTAGGACTTGGGGTTTAGGGCTTTGCAAACTCTCGCAACTCGGAGGGTTTAGGGGCTTAGGATTTAGGGTTATTTGGTGATTAGGATTTAGGGTGTATACGGGCTGCAGCAAGCATGTCAGCACTCTAGGAGTACCCCAAATCTTCTCCAGCCTGTGCAACCACGGACCATCCTTTCTGCCGATGCCCGCACGAAGGCTTTCACATGCCACCCGGAAGCTATTCCACGGATACACCGAGATCACCGAAGAGATTCACCCATAATGTAGGAGCTTTAATTATTAGAATAGGGTTTGAGGGGCTCCTTATGATAATGCCATATGCACCCAAACCTTGTCCAAACCGTATTCTAAGCATTAAGGCCCTTACATTGCTAGCGGCTCACGCACGGTTGCAGGGCGCCGTTATCCTTGGCCTTTTGTCAGCCTTGGCCTCGCTTAAGAGGCGGACCACCTGCATTTCGCCGCTCTGACCTATACTGAACTTAGAACCCTAGCAAAAATTATAGTTTTAGCTGTTTCTTAGGGATTATAATAACCAAAAGTTAGAAATTATTTCTAAGTACCCCTAAGTGGCTTGCAATGCTCATAGGAGTGGCGCCGTCATCCGTAGCTCTATCCATGTCTGCTTTGGCCTCCAGCAAAAGGCGCACAGTCTCCAACTGCCCAACATAAGCCGCAACGAACAGAGGGGTCGCACCATCTTTCTGCGCCTTGTCTTTGTCAGCCTTGGCCTCCAGCAAGAGGCGTGCAACCTCCAATTGTCCTTGCTGAGCCGCAACGAACAAAGGAGTGGCCCCATCATTCTTGGGCTTGTCCTTATCAGCTTTGCCCTCCAGCAAGAGACGTGTCATCTCAAAGTGCCCGACATAAGCTGCAACGAACAAAGGGGTCGCACCATCTTTCTCTTTCTGCGCCTTGTCTTTGTCAGCCTTGGCCTCCAGCAAGAGGCGTGCAACCTCCAACTGTCCTTGCTGAGCCGCAACGAACAAAGGAGTGGCCCCATCATTCTTGGGCTTGTCCTTATCAGCTTTGCCCTCCAGCAAGAGACGTGTCATCTCAAAGTGCCCGACATAAGCTGCAACGAACAAAGGGGTCGAGCCATCATTCTGTGCCCTATCCTTATCAGCCTTAGCCTCTAGCAAAAGGCGTGCAACCGCCAATTGACCCTCTCGGGCTGCAGCAAACAAAGGGGGGGCGCCATCATCCCGCGACTTCTCGAAATCAGCCTTGGCGTCGAGCAATTGTTGCACAACCTGCAGGTGGCCTCGTTCAGCTGCGAAGCACAGAGGTGTAGCCCCGCCATCATACACGCCTTTGTTCTTGTCAGCCTTGGCATCCAGCAAGAGGCGCACTACCTCAAATTGCCCTCCCGCAGCTGCAGTGAGCAAAGGGGTGGCACCCGTACATGTGCAGTTTTCCGTGTCAGCCCTAGCCTCAAAGAGTAGATGAACGACCTGCAATTGCTCGAAAGCAGCTGCAATGAACAACGGGGTGGCGCCGTCAGTCGTGGCCTTGTCCTTGTCAGCCTTTGCCTCAATCAGAAGGCGAGCAATCTGCGATTGTCCTTTCTGAGCTGCCGCAAACAAAGGGGTAGCGCCATCCTTTTTGGGTGTGTTCTTGTCAGCCTTGGCCTTGAGCAAGAGGCGTGCAACCTCCAGTTGCCCAACATAAGCTGCGACCAGTAGGGGGGTCGAGCCATCATGCTTGGCCTTGTCCTGGTCAGCCTTGGTCTGCAGCAGAAGGCGTGTAACCTCCAATTGTCCCTGCTGAGCTGCAACGAATAAGGGAGTGGCGCCATCATTCTTGGGCTTGTCCTTGTCAGCCCTTGCCTCAATCAAAAGGTGAGCAATCTCCCATTGTCCCTGTCGAGCTGCAGCGAACAGAGGGGTGGCCCCATCAGTGTCGGGTTTGTCCTTGTCAGCCTTGGCCTCTAGCACGAGGCGCACGACCTCGAATTTTCCAGCATAAGCTGCAGCCAATAAAGGGGTCGAGCCATCGCGCTGCCTGGCCTTATCTACGTCGGCCTGGGCCTCCAGCAAAAGGCGTGCAACCTCCAATTGCCCCGCATGAGCTGCGGCGAACAAAGGAGTGACACCATCGTATTTGGGCTTGTCCTGGTGAGCCTTGGCCTCCAGCAAAAGGCGCACAACCTCCAGATGTCCCTCATGAACAGCAATGAGCAGTGGGGTGGTACCACTACGAGCCGTCTCTACCTGAGACTTGGCCTCCACTAAGAGGCGAGCCAGCTCCAAATGACCATGTCGAGAGGCATAGAACAGCGGGGTCGGACGACCCAAGTCTGGGTCTTGTGGTCTTTGCAGAATCTGCCTGGGCTGTTCTGGGGCACTATGTGAAGATGTAGTGTCTGAATTGCCCCTTCTTAATACTAAACCGAAGTCAGAAAGTATGTTCTAAACCCGTAACCCTAAAAACCCTTATCCCGAAACCCTAAACCCTAAAACCCTCAACTCCCCTAAAGCCTAACTAGGTGGGGCTTTTAAAGCCTTTGAAAAATATTAGTAAATAAGATCCTCTTAAGCCCAATAAGGGAAAATATAAAATGTCCCGAAGCCCTACCTAGCTAAGATGCTCCACGGCGGATGTCAATCCGTTTGCTGCAGCAGACTGCAGCTCCTGCACCTGCTCTTCTGATGCCGGCCTGCAGCTAGGATACCCAGTAACCTAAGAATAAAAAGGCCTCTCTTTATAAGGAACCTAGGACTACAAAAAGGGAATAAGGGTACTACTGGGCATCCTAGGCAGTGTAATCAGAATTTAGGGATTAAGGTTTTTTTTATTGGTTTTGGGTTCAGGGTTTAGGGCTTATTGGTTTTGGGTTCAGGGTTTCAGGGTTTAGGATTCAGGGTTTTGGGGTCAGGGTGTCGGGTATCGGATTTAGGGTTTCGGGTCCAGGGTTTAGGGTTTCGGATTTGGCATTTCGGTGGGTGTAGGCTTTCGGGCGTTGGGGCCCGCTTAGGGGTTCCTGGAAGGGCTCTTGCTAAGGGTCGCTAGAGGTCCAGGCAGGGAGCCTTCACGAATGGAATAGGGCTTTGGGATGTGGTACAGCAAGAACCCAAAACCCTAAACCCCTAAACCCAAAACCCTAAAGCCCTAAACCCTAAACCCCTAAACCCTAAACCCCTAAACCCCTAAACCCTAAAACCCTAAACCCTAAACCCCTAAACCCTAAACCCCTAAACCCTAACAGCAAGAAGTAGGTGGGGACAAAAAGTCCCCGGCCTGAAGCTCAGAAAAGCCCCCGGCCTGAAGCTCCTTCCCAGAGATCCCAATACCCCTTAATTAAGGAATATACTTTAAATGCTACGTAGTAGGATCCCTAATATGATTTAAGCGATATTCCTTAATTAAGGGGTATTGGGCTCTCTGGGAAAAGCCCCCGGCCTGAAGCTCAGAAGCAAGAGTTGAGCTTCGCCTGCTCTCAGGACGAGCTCGTCATCGTCGTTCCACACTACGCCATCATCGAAGACCAGTCGTTGTCGGAATCTTGGCCGCCCGCACAAACCTTCCAGGCGCTGCTTCAGAACCCGGACAGGGTGGCTATCTATCGCAAGTTCCCCGATAAACCTCGCCAAGTCAATCGCAACGAGGACTTCACCTGAAACCGATCGGATTCGCAGCATGGCCGGCGATCGTGGATGTGATCCTTGAGCCTAACCTGCCTGCAGCACTTGAGCCACATGACTACCAACTTCGACAAGTCTCCAACGACAACATGAACTTGAGGGACCGTTCGGCGCATGCCGTTGAGACTGTAGTGAACCCTGAACCCTAGAAGTACAGAAGCCGCACCCGAAGCTCAAAGCCTCAAACCTCAACCCTTATAGAACCCTGAATAACCCCTATCCTATACACCTTGAAACCTCATGTTTCGGCACATGCACAAACCAGATACATCGGACTGCGTGGTTCGTTAGCGCGGTAAAAAGACAGCAAGCCGGACATATCCGAGTTTGGGCCATGTTGTATATAGTCTGGTTGCAACAAGGATCCCGAAGGAAGAGTGCTACCGAAGACCAAAGCTTCTAAGTCATGTGGCTCCAAGAGTTTCGACTGGTAGGTTCGGGCTGAAAGCCTAGACCTAAGAATAAGTTCGGGTTTAGGATTTAGGGTTTAGGATTTAGGGTTTAAGATTTAAGGATTTTTCCCACCCGCCCAGCTGACAATGTCGATTTAGGATGATTTAGGGTTTAGGGTTTATCGCCGCGCAGCGGCAGTATTTTCTATGTAGGTTAGCGTCCCCACAGTCGCAGCGGTGTGGGGGGCAGGCATATCTACATATGGCATTAGAATTCGATTCCACGCCAAACATTCACAAATTGCTTTCTGTTTCTTTTCCCACCCGGTGTGAGCTTACACAGGCCACCACCCACTATTACCTTTCAGGGTTTAGGGCTTACACCCTCAATTCCCACCTCTGGTCCTGGGCGCGGGGGGGAGGGAGGGGCCAAGGAAGGCCTGGGCGGGTCAGCAGGGGGAAAGGCCCAGGGGGGCCAAGGGGGGTCAGAGGCCAGGCTCTGCTGATGTGGCCATACAAAGTCCTTACTAGCAAGGTTTCCTACGGAGGCTGGACGGGGACGCCCATTATTCTCTCGAGAATGGAAGGAATTTTCCGTGAAAATCTGGGGGGCCACGCAAGGGGCCTATGGCATAGCTCAGCCCTAGGGACTGAATTAACCATTCTCCCCGGTGGGTACGGCCGAAGCAAGCCTGTGTGGGAATTTAGGGTTTAGGATTTAGGGTTTAGGGTTCAGGGTTTAGGATTTAAGGTTTAGGGTTTTGGGTTTAGGGTTTAGGGACCTCAAACACTAAACCTCAGTCGCCCAAACCCTAAACCCCCGTCACCTTCGGCGCCTTAGGCTAAACGGAGACTGACCCCGTTACTCTCAATCCCCTTAGTATTTACCTATACCTTTTTTTTTGGGGGGGGGTCCGTATTATAATTATCGTATGATGGGCCCCAGAACCCTATTCTAATTATTAAGGCCCCCATGTTACACCAGCGGCTGCAACCGTGCCAAGCGTCCGAGAGGGCCATGAGGACCTGAAGAAGCTCTCCAAGGCAACCCCCAGGGTTTTTGATTGGGCTTTAGGGTTGGGTTTAGGGTTTAGGTTTTCTTATGGGCCCTTTTCCGTCTGGGTATAAGGTTTACCTTAACCATGCAGGACCTACCTTTTTAAGGACTTATATAAGGAAATCAGAATAAGGAACCCTAAAAAGGTAGGATATGCAGGGTTAAGGTAGGGTTTAGGTTTTAGGATTGGTTTGGGATTTCATGAACTCATCTTCAACTCCATTAGCCGAAGATTTAACCATGTTACCCCTAGACCATATCAAAGTATGTTGCTTACTTCAATGGGGCCTCTTTGAAGGGCGTGCTCTCGAAATTTTCTGCCTTGGGAATAGTTCAGCTTCGAGTCGGCCATCAAGGATTACAGCCATTGTGAAGCAGCTTATGCGACTTTCTGCATGCCGGAACATCCACACCGTTTAGAGTTCAGGTTTTAGGGCTTTCAGAAACTCAAGTGCTACTGGCCACAAACCCCCAAAACCTGAAACCTGAAACCGTAATTGCAGGATATAGACTTCAAGGTTTAGGGCTGCTTGCTGGTCCCGCCCAGTCTCTAAACTCTCTGCAGCAAGTGGACGAGCCCAAACTGGAAACCCTAAAACCGTAAACCCTTGATGGAGATCTTCTAGGAGGAGCGGGCAGAAGAATCCTTACAGTAAGTCTGGTTATAAGCACCTTAATTGGGGCTATAAGCAATTATAAGTCTACTTACCCTATCAATAACCCTAGTCACTAAGTCCCATGATCCTTTAAGTAGAGGGATCCCCGACTTCTCCCCAAACCTTGACCCTGAACACGTCAAGTTTCGACCTCGAGCCTCGAACGCGAAACCTCCTGACCCATATGGGAGTTTCCGAAAATTAGGGGTACCTTATTTTGGGGGTCCTTATAATCAGGATCCTACTATTTAGGGTACTATATTAGGGTCCCCTATTTTCGGAAACGCCCATATTGTGAGCCTGAACCCTTTCTGAGGAGGGCCTGCAGTGCACATTGCGCTGATCTCTCAGCCCAACTCCGCATCTCAGTTCCAAAACTGCTAATGGGAATCTATAGGGTACTATATGGGATCTATAGGGTTCCTTTAAAGGGATCCTTTAGGGTTCAAAGGGGTTTACTTGGAGGCCCTTTTGACTTAGTAAGTAGGGTTAGTAAGGTGGGTTATGGGGATTATAATGGGGGTTTCTAGTGGATACTAAGTAGACTTACTAAGTCAAAAGGGCCTCCAAGTAAGTGAAGTCAAAATCTCAGATTCTTAACTGCAAGGCCCTGAAAATTCAATTCCGAATCCTAAACCCTTCAGACCCTACAGCCCGAAAGCTCGGAATTCCCACAAGGGTCGGTTTTGAAAAAATGCCCTTGCTGGAAACCCTAAACCCTAACCGCCCAAACCCTAAACCCTTCTCCCGAAACCCTAATCCCTAAACCCGAATCCCTAAATTCCCACCCGGCCCACCTTGCCGCCGCTGGTGGGCACCACGTTGAGGGTGCTGTCCTGGAGCTTTGGCCGTGTCGGTCCAGGCCGAGGGGCAAAGAAAGGATGGACTCCCAACCCAAAAGTGCTAATATTAGGGGCCTGAATAATTAGAATAGGGTTTTGGGCCTGGGGAATATCATACTGGAAATATAGAAAGGAAATCCCTAAACCCTGAACCCGAATCCCTAAATTCCCACCCAGCTAATAGGGTTTTGGGGAATATCATACTATGAATATAAGGAACCCCCAAACAAAAAGGTATGGGTAATTCTTACGTAAGGCCCCTTTATATGACGACTATACCCAAACCTCTGAAACCCACACACAAGCGGCTCAGGCTCTTGTCTGGGTTTCTTTGGGTTGCAGGGTCCAGTTTAGGGCTTTGAAGGTAATCGGGTTGCGAGGGGTTCGCGGGTTCTGGGCCGCAAGCTAAGATGGAAGCTGAACTGGCGGAGTACTTGTCCACTGTCCTTTCAACAGTGGGCTATGCGGGGCTTCATGTTAGTTTAGGGTAGGGTCATGAAGGATATACCCCCAACCCTATTCTGCATTAAGACCCCTACAGTACACCTCACAAAGTCTGGGGCCGTGGAAACCTGCGGCTTCGCCCCGAAAATCGCTGACCTTTGCAATCTCAGCACCAATGTATGGACCTTAATGATCAGAATAAAAGTTGTGGGCACATTATACTATAACTATAACTATGATCACCCTATTCTAACTATAATTATAACTATGAAGGTCCCTACACTGCACACTGCCAGCGTCATGAAGAAAAAGGAGCTTGTAGAAGAAAACCACAGGCAAACAGTAACCCCAAGAACATCCCAGAACACTTGGAACTGCTCGGTTGCACTCTGCCATAAGCCATAAACCCTAAACCCCCAAACCTCTACACTCCTCAATCCCTAAAGCTCTAAAACCCTAAAGCCCTAAAGCTTTAGAGCCCTGAAGCCCTAAAGCCCTGAAGCCCTTAACCCGACGAAGCCCAGTTCTTAGCCCAATTGGCTCCCAAGCCCTCCTCGGCCACTATGCCGACGGTTTCGCTGATCCGCGCTCGTGTGTCCTTTCGGGTCTTAAAGACCGACTCACAACGGCTCAGGGTTTAGGGTCTAGGGTGTGGGGGTATACGGTTTACGGGTTTACGGGTTTAGGGTTAAGGGGTTTGGGGGTTTAGTTTTCGGGCATTTAGGACCGTTTAGCTCGGGTTTGTAGCATATAGTTGGAAGTTTCCGAAGAAAGGGGACCCTAATATAGTACCCTAAATAGTCGGCTCCTGATGATAAGGACCCCAAAATACGGTACCCCTAATTTTCGGAAACTCCCAGCTAGGGTCGAAGGCTTAAAGTAGAAGCCAGAAAGTTGGAACATGCCTTCAGGAGGATCAGTGCTAGGATCCCTCATACTTTACCTTAAGGGCACGAGGAGAATGATGTTCCAACTTTCTGGCTGCTACTATAGTTACTGGGGGAAGGGACAAGTTTGACAATACAACGCCGGCGATGACTGTGGCTGTCTGTCGTGTGATTGGGCAGGCGGCAAGCCGGTACACTAACCCTCCCTAAACCCTGAACCTTAAATCCTAGACCCTATACCCGAAATCCTAACCCCTAAACGAAATCCTAAGACTTAAGGGCGAATACAACTTCGTACAACTTCGTCTGGCTTCAAAGTTCAGGGTTCGCAGGGCCCGATCGTATCAAAGCAGCCGCCCTCTGAGATTCACTGGACAAGGCTACCGAAGAGCTTGAAGGTAGGATGCTGTGGTCTAGCTTTCTGGGACAGATTGAGGTCCCGGGGTAGCGTGTCGGGTTCAGTCTGATTCAGGGTTCCGGGCCTCTCGGGTTTAAGGTGGCCCTGCATCGCTAGTACTTCTCAAGCCTATCCTCGCCATGGTTCTCCTATACTACTGCAGGCGCCTTCATATAGGGTTTCGAGGTCTCCTTAGTATAACTATCTTCCAATATACCTCCAAGCCCTATTCTAATTATTAAAGCCCCTATGTTACACTTTTTGTCTGCTTGCACTTGCACGTAAAGTTCACCGGCCTGGACCCTAAACTAAGTGCCTCTAG